GTCGCACAAATTTTCTCGCTGTTTTTCTCGCTTTTTCAAGCTCGAACAGTCGTGAGAAAAAAAAAATTAGGCAAATACAAGGACGAGATTTTCTAGAGAACGGTGACTATTTATCATGAGTATTTTTTTTTAATCAATTACGAATTCCTCTTCAACGGCTTACAAGATTAACGAACTACCGTACAAATAGGAAAATTAAATAGACAGCTCGAACGCGAGTAAGGGGGAAAGAGCTGAGAAAAGCTTGCGATACGAGCGAGGAAAAACGTATAACGCGTTAGGTGGGGGGCGTGGATACGTGCCGAGCGTGAAAAAGTCTGAAAAGGATCTTTAGCGCGTACGAAGGAGCTCAGCGGCGAAAACTCATAAGTTTCAATTCAAGGCGGGATCAAGGCGTTCACGTGTCTATTGTCCGGAGCAGTTAACTACGAGAGAGAAAAGGATACCCAGTTAAGACCCCTTCAAAATAAAGAAATATATATGCGCGCGGGCGACTCATCGATTTGCTTCCTCTTTATTTGGCTGGCAACTATACTGCACGGGCAAAGTGATACTTTGCGATCCATCGAGATTTTATATGAGATTCGAGACAAAATGATTAGCTTATGAACAACAATGGACCTTAAAGGAAAGGAAAAGTTTTTAATACGGACACCGAATATTGCAGATAAAAAATAAGGTATAAATATAGCTTTTAAAAGACGCACGTACACGTCCTGACCCGGCGTCCGTAAAATAATTCGTTATCATTGGGCGAGAAACGAAAATAAATAGAAGCAGTAGCAGAGCAGCAGCCGTCAAGCTGGCAGCAATTGGCAACGAATATAGCTCGATTATACACGCGCCCGACTCGCGATTCGAAGCGGAAAAACAGCTAGCGAGCATAGATCTTATTATACTGCGCTCGAGTGCACCTCGGTAATACCTGTAACCGATCAACACATGCGCATGCCTGCCTAATAATAATAAATATAAAGAGAAATGCAGAGAGAGAGCGAGAGAGAGAGAGGCGAGAGTCGAGCGCGTCTGTGGCAGCGGCGTCAGGTAATAAACCGGAAACGAGTATCTAGCCTAGCCCGAGCCAAATGTGCATCAGCATTCGCGCTCGTGCCTTATGACGAGATTATCATTGCGCAATGTATAATAAGCATCTGCGAGTACTGCGGACTTTGTGTAATCCGCGGGCGCTTACATACACAAACATAGACAAGCAACGAGCCCAGATTAGTATTAACGCGAAGGTGATCTCTCCCTCTCGGTGCAGTGCGATTCAATGCGGAATCGCATCGATCGCGACGAGCTTTCTCGCGCTTAGGATTACACAAAGCCCGCGACGAATCACCGATCGGAAAAATCACGACTCCTCGTGCTCGCAAGCACGCCACGCGACGCGGATGAATAATTATATAAATAGATCCCCGAAGTGACGATCGGAGAGTGACGCACACTACCCGCAGAGTATATGTGCGCATCGTGAAAATAATAACATCGGAGAACCATGAGATGGTCGCTCGATCGTCAGCGTTCATTCGCGTCCAATAAATCTGTCTCTCGATGCGAACCTCCAGCGCATTATTTATTTGGTATAAATATAAGCGAGAGACCTTTTTTTTGCGCATCTTGCGCGCGCGCGTGAGGAAAACATATGACAAATTGCGTATACCGCACGCTGCGCTCCGACTTCAAGGGCACGCACGCGTGTACCGCCGCGCGCGCGGGTGAAGCGTCGTACACACGTATATTACGCGCGGCCATTCGACTAATTTTACCGCGCGCGAAAAGTCCGACACAGAGAGAGAACGCAGCAGCAGCTATACTACTCGCGCGCGCGCGCAAGGTGGAAAATTAGGTCGAGACTGCACGTATTAACGCACACGAGCCGTAAGACGCCTCGCAGAACTAAGCGACGGACTTTGAACATTTTCGCAACGGCTCCGCGAGAATAAGTTCAAGCGCAAATTCCAGATTGATGAGACTTTGGACATTGGACTTGCGCGGCGTGACGTATTTTGATATCGCACCAAGTTCGAGATAATTGTCGTAACAAGCCCTTTACGAGCGATTTAATTGTGCCAATAGTTTTCTGACGCCTCGCACCTCGAAAACATTGGAAGCGCAATTTCGAGGTGTCGTGGTTAGTAACTTGAGAGCAAAGTGAAAAAAATAAGTCAAATCGAGGAACGCATAACGAACGACGCGCGGCTCCAAAAAACTTGTCAGTAAGATCATTTAGCACAGCGAAATTAGCTGCCGCGATCGAGCTTAAAAGAAAGAAAAAGAGGCGCGAATGGGTAATATGAAATCGACGAGATTTCGCGCGTTATAAGCTCATCGCGCGCTACTGCTCCAATGCCCGTTTGTGGCCGTGGCCGCATTGAAAAATATAAATCGCCGCAGAGCTGCCGCCGCCGCGACTGCACACGCACGCACACACGCACACACGCACACACATACACACGTACACGTGTAACGGGGAGGCCGGAATACACTCACACACGACTGCAAGGGGGTAAAAATAGCCCTGCATTTAGAGCGATCGGTAAACGCTATACAATATATACCGCAGAGGACGCGAATGACCGAACATTGCCAAATGTAAACGAGTGGTGGACGGAGAGAAAGAGAAAGATCACCTTTCTCAATCTAGTTTTTTGGATTTTGGATGTGGATAGACTATCGCTACTTGTCAGTCGCGCATTACCGACGAAGAAAATCGATGATCGCGAGGGTGCCGCGATTCAATGGAAAAATCGAATGACTCGGATCGAAACGATTTTTCGATTTTTCGGTACCCCCAATGGCGCTACGTTACACATTACGTATTTTCAACACATTTCGAAGACGATCAATTTTTGCGCAAGTTTAAAAATAAAAATTTGATCATCATTAAGTTTAAACGAGAGCATCTCGCTCGTGGGTGGACGTGCAAGTTTAACAAATGATGTCCATATAACTCAATGGTAAACAAACAAGTCATGAACGCTATCGGGCCGCAACTCGTTCTAAATTTATAAAGCGTAAGAATAAGCAGTTTCGGCAGAAAAATACATTATTTGCGTGTATTGTTTTACCTATGCAAGGTCGCGTCTTTGTCATTACTTGTTTTTTTCATCGAATACTATGGGCAACAACAAATAAATGAAAAGTGTTTTCGTAAATAGATTTAGAGTAAAAAAGTAAACAAAAAATGTTGCTATCGATTACACCGACTATGTACTTATGAAAATTTTTATCGCTCTTTGTTACTTTGCATTAAAAAATTCCACGAGCCCAACTTGGTAGGACAACATTTCCGGGATGTTGCACCAGCAGTGGCTATCAATCTTGTCTACTTTTCTCGGGTTAAAAGCGCCAACCTCGCGCCACATACGAGTCTGGAGTACACGCATACACGAGTCTCAAGTTCCAAGGTAGGAATCTCGACGTCGTCGTTGTCGTCGTCAGCGTCGTTTTTTTCGTTGACGACCTTCGCATTATGGCTTTTCTTCTTCTTCTTCTTCTTCTTCTTCTTCTTCTTCTTCTTCTTCTTCTTCTCCTCTTCTTCTACGTTTTCTTCGACTCCTTCTTTTCCCTCTCACGCGTGCGCTAACTTATAACACAATTTAATCACCTTCCTATATGTGGCTCGGCGTCGCGCAGCCACCGAGAGAGAGAGAGAGAGAGAGAGAAAGAGCACCTGACCTTACTCGAGCTTTCAAACTCACTTTTAGATTTATCGAAAGCAAAAGGAGAAGTAAAAGAAAAATAAAAATAAAGAGAGAGAGCGGGGGAGTCGCGTTCTTTAATAATATAGCCGCGGCTAACTCCACAGAGGGCGCTTCCGGCTGATCATCGCGCGGCTATACTATCTCGAATTTTTGGCGCTTAAAGCTCAGTCAAAGCTTCAATCTTCGAACCGAACGGTCATCCGAAAACTTAGGTAAAAAAAAATTCTGTTTCGCTGCTGGCTCATCCGAGTTTTGAAGTATATACGAAACATTTTTTCTTTATTTTCAAGTATTTTCCAAAATTTCATACGATTTTTTATTTATCATTGAAATTTTAAGAAAATTTACGGAAATTGAAATATTTTGGTTGGTTGTTCAAGTGAATGGTCGGATTAAAAGAAAAAAATTAATTATTAGAAAAACCACGTGTGCATCTGCTGATAAACCACGGAAATAGTGTGTGATTATTATATTTCGCCCAAGTGCGTCGTGCAAAGAAAATTTTTTTTTTTTATAAAGTGGCTAAAACTCTTTCGTTGAGGTGGATGGTTTTGCAAAGCTTAATCAAAGCTCTCATAGCTGTCACCAGTCATCAACCATTTGGATAAAAAATCAACAATTATTCACCGCAAGCTTGAATTTTATTGATACGTGTTGCACGCCCAGTAACGAATAATTCTACTAACGTCAACAATTATATTTATTCTTGACTACTATTTCAATTAATTCAATTATACCTCATTAATCAGTACCTACCTCAAAGACATAATAATTTTTTTACGCTTTTTGTTTTGAAAATTATTATATAACTCAATTAAAGAAAATTTCAAAAGTAATCGTTACAGAATCGATTGCCCGAGCACCGACAAAAAATAGAAAAGCCTCGACTCCGACAGCTGAGAGATTTCCTTTGTCGGAGCTTTATACGCGCTGCAACGTTCGCCGTGCCACTCTGGCGGCTCAAGCGGGTGGTTCGGCCTCCGTATATCATATTTTCGAGCCTTACTTATGCGTCTGTGCTATAGTAACGCCAATCAAACTGGCCGAAGTTTGTTTGTAATAATTGGCATCGATCTATTCAGGCCTGCCCCCGAGAGAAGCTTGCAGATCTCGATCTCGCTATAAGACCAAGCAATCGAACGCGTCCGTCTGTCTCTTCGTCTGTATAAGTGCTTGAGCACGCTTATGTGTGTGTGCGCGTCTGTGTTATTATGCAAGCTCGGCCCGTATTTTCTCGGCCGACGATCGGGACACGAAAATAACCTCCCGAGTAAGAAAGATGGATAGTCTCGTAGAAAACTTGTGCCCGCGCGCGACACAGTAGACCGAAGCTTTTGTGTGTCGGTCCTTTTGTGCGCGAGCCCGCTCGCTCGCTGTTTTTGCATCGAGAGACAACATCCCCGAAACAGCCAGATATTTTCTTCGGTAAGAGAAGCCACAAAAAAAGAAAAAAAAAGAATTAAAGCTCGCGGGTTGATTCGTTGTCAAGAGTGTAGATACGATTGGGTTTTTTATGTTATTAATTTTTAATGTAGACAGAGAAAAGCTCAGCGGTATATATATTGCAAAAAAAAGAACGAGATCTATTTATTGTCAACGAATCTTGCCGAAATAGACACTAGCTCCAATCGTCGTATAATTTGGTTCTTTGAGCTCATCGAATCTCCTCTTTCGCACGTTCGGAAACAACAACCAACAATTTTCTATTAATAAAAAAAGCTCCTTTTCTCCATTCGGTCACACTTTCAATTTCATGCCATAATCGCTTAAAATGTCAAATTAAAACGATTGAAAGTCATGAGCAGTTGAATATTGTTGAGCTATGACGCGATTGTTGTCGTTTTGAGTCATGTTTATTCGCGATGATACATTTCGGAAAATCGAATCTCGCCATATAATGATCTATACGAAAGCTTCGACGTTTATTGGATCGCTGCCTTCCGATCGTTTTAAAGCTTACGTTGTACCTATTCTTAGAAATCATCTTGATATAGATTCGACGCATTTGTAAAATTTTTCACGTTTATTATCTTTGCTTTTCCAAAACTTTTCCGGAGCTTTTGGGAGAGGCAACAGTCTCTCAATGTATGTATTTCAAGGGCATTAAATTGAGCATTAATACATCTGAATAATACTTTTTGAAAAATTAACAACAACGTTAAGTTTTAAATGTTACTAAAACAAATGAGTTGATCCTTTGTCTAAAACATAATGACAAGCGAGTGTGTGCCTCGACAGTGACCCAATTAAAGAACTGGGACGCAAATGAGCAAATGTTAAAATCGAGTTACACATGTTCCAAAGCTCACACTTAACGTTGCGTTGCAAAATAACTACACTGAACATAACGATACATATTCGTATTTTGGAAACACTTATGTTCATACGTGTAAATAGTCTTGTAAATAAACTTTTGTGCTCGATACTTTTGAAAGTGTAAAATACACACATGTACTCAATTAGCTGCATATTCAAAGCTTTTTAGTATAATTTACCAACAAAATAATAATTTTTATCATTCGATTGCAAATGTTATTGAATTTTAAATAAGAACGAGAAGTAATATACAGGGCAAAAATGTACGGCAGGCGTCAGTGAAAAATCGGTCAAAGTCATGCGAGAGAGAAAGAGAGTTGGCCAGTGCAAGTTTCATATACTTGTAATGTCCACCTGTTTTTCCGCTCAAAAGCGTGACTATGTATATGTCCCCGGGTACAGAGTCTAATATTAGATAATCCCGCATGCACACGCGCTACACCGACTTTTCTTAACTTTTCGTTTTTATCTTACTTTCGTCGCTTTTTTAACTCAAAAATTGTTGTAACGATTAAACGATTCTCGAGGGTTTGCCCGAATCGATGAAATTCCACTGGAATTCGGAGCATTCAGCTGCAATTTCGAAATTCCTAATAATAACCGGGAATAGACTTGGAGAGAGCCCAGACAAGTTTATATTGGAAAATATGACTTGCCTCTTGCGGGCTTCTCGAATATTTATGAAAAACAACTCTAAACAAAATTTTATTTTCGGATTGTTGACGGACGCGCGACTAATGTGCATTTATGAGCATCCGGTCAAAAAAAGTTGCTCACCCAGCGGTCAACGGATAGCACGAGTCGATGTGACGTCAAACTCATCGTGTTTCGCCTTACTTATGACAATGTTTAGACAAAATTCAGTATGTATTTGATGAGGAATTAGAGCCATCATCGAGAAATTTGTAAAAAAAAACAGTTGTAAATGTATTCCCTTCAATTATCGTTCGAGTTCGGCCAAAAATTATGCAAGTTAAGACATAAAATTTAATAATTCTTCGCTCGTTTCACGGAATTTCGGTAAGATTATCGCAAAGCGTAGGATTGCGTCAAGCTTCTTGGCCGGCGTCCCAAAAAGCTCAGGTTCGCAGTGATCACAGAGTCAAGAACTCAAATAAATAAAAAAAGATGTACACAAACAACGCGTAGACTAAAATTTTCGAACTGCAATATTAAAAATGATTCATTTTTATACAATTTTACCAATCTATATTGACATGGATATAGATAACTGTTTTTATATGGGTGATGAAAAACCACTGATACATGAAATTTTTTTTAATTTTAAAATAAATTATTTATGGACTTGAAAAAAATATCAAAATAATGTTCATAACCAAATTTAAATGTAAAACACGAACAACGAAATGAAAATATAAAACCTTTTTTTGAAGATGATGAATATTAAACTTTAATTAAAATATTATAAGATTTCAACCACTTCAACAATCTTGAAAGTATTTCATTGATAAATTAAAGAAAAATAGACTGATGAAAACGTAGTTTAAAATCTGTAATATATATTTTTAAAACTTTTCGTTTTTAATTTTAGCGAACGAACGTAGCAGTTCAGTAGAGCGGCAAAATGGACGCACGATTCAGAAGCAACCTTGAAATGATCGGGCGTAACGAACCCATAACAAAAAAAGCCAAGTTCTGGCAAAGCTACGTACGTGCTCTTAAAGGTAAATGTTGATTCAATTTTTCTTTAAAAATAGTATTATTAATGTGTTTCTAATTTGAGGGTTACTGAATATGGACACTCAAAAAATATAAATGTTTTTTTTGCCCCACAATGTATTATATTCTCATTTGAATTTTTAAAGGGTCTGACGATATTAAGGCACCCGAGCACACCCACAGGCCACGTGGAATTTTACGTTCTGAGTTCCCAGAGCTACATTCCTGGAATCCTTTTGGAAAGTCAATCTATGACGACCCCATTCATGCTCATGATCGCATCCAGACCCCAGGATACAGGTATGTTTAATTTATTTTATCAACATTAATCTTCTATCCACATCGTGAGTTTAACAAAAAAGCAAAGCGATTCTTAGTGAATTATTTAATAATTTGCCCTGTACTCCAGAGGCCCGAACTTGCGAGAAGTATTCATATCTCGCAACATAGAAAACTGATAAGACAGTCCAATATAGATGAGATAATTGATCATTGAATATTTCTCGAAAACGTTCATTATTCATTCTTTGATTTATCATTTGTTTTTTCATCGGAGTTTTAAAATCAAAAAACATAATTTTATTTTTAATTATAATCGAGAATGATACAAGTAAATATTTGCTTTTTCGTTCATTCGCAGGTACTTGCCCGTCCATCGTGAAATCTACGGCTACTCCCCAAGACAGCTTTATCCCCATCAATACAAGCCCGTCGAGCGTTTCATCCCTGGTACGTACAAGAGAAGCTACTAAATACCCCAATTTCTGTGCACTCAACCCTTCTCCATTTATAAAAAAAACATCTAATATTATAATATATAATATACGTTTTATTATCTCGACCGACTCATTAAGTTTCTATTATCATAAAGATTTTTTTTTTAATTTATCAAACGCACATGTAGTGAAAAAGTACATGGATATCGTAAATATAATCCACTTATATTTCGAGATTCTTTTCAAAGTGCCGTAGCGACTTCTCGATTGAAAGTATATCCAAACGTTTTATGGATGTACCAAAATGTGCGGAAAGAATCGAGCGAATCCATTCATTAGCCTTTGCTCGACTGAACGATTCGAAGTTTGTAAGAATTACGATTTAAGTTTGAAAAGATAAAAATTAAAGAAAAATGATCGGGCGATCGATCGGAATCGAGTATTAAATATTATAAGCATAAAAAAATTATTAAAAAAACGATGAAAAGAGGAAACATTAAATGTACAATATCCTGCATGAGTGAATGTAACAAACAAATCTACAACGTTGTTGCTCATTTATATAATGATTTGCAAAGTGAATTTTACAGATAATTGTTAAAAAAAAATTCGTAATAATTAAGCTGTTTTTATAGATATTAAGTTATATAATGTCATGTTTATGTAACCAACGAAAATCGTCCTTCAGCTTCTCGTCCGAAAAGTTATTACAAATTATTCTAGGATGAAAAAAAAAATGAAATGGTAAACAATCGAATGATAAGCTATGGACGCTGACTGTTTCGTATATAAAATACACCTACAATCATCCTACAAAACATTTTATATAAATTAAATTAAATAATCTACTGTACGATAATGATGAAAACAGAAAATATTTTACGCCTATGCGTAAAGTAGTGACTGCAGTTTCTCCATTAATAAACAAAATTTTCGTCGCTAGAGCATTGAGTAGTATTGAATTCAAAATTACGCATCAAAGCAAAAAATTTCCAATCCGCTCTTTGAAAAAATAAAAATAAATTCGCATGTATTTTTATTTTGAAATTTTTTAATTGGCAGATTTAGATTTCATATTGCTCGAAAGCTCAAGCACAGGTCACGGACAAGAAAATTCTAATTTTGGTTCCGTTGAAATAAAAAAAAATTATTACTCACAAATAAATTCGATACAAAAAACATTGCGAAACGTTTGTTTTATAAAAAGAAAAATTGGAATCAAAATTAGCACTTCTCTCGTCTAAATACATCCTCGATCTGGAGTGTGTATTACAGGTCCACGTGTGACCTTTATATGTAAAAACGTGTCACTAATTCATAAAACTTGTAATATGTTTTCATCTTGGTGCAGTCATAGCATGTGGACCTCTGTCTTAACTGCACGGAAGTTGTATTGATGAAAAAAAAATTATATTTATATTGGACGATAAAAAAAATTATAATCAAATTTGACGAGTAGTTTAATTGGATATTAAATAAGAATTATTAGGCATACATCGATATCAAATAAAAAGAGCTATAAAAAATTCATTAATAAAATTATTTTCATTTATTTTTCCGTCTTTTTTCATATTTTACCTTGCAATGTTTTATAATTTTTAGTTTTTTTCAATTTTAACTTTTATTATTTATCCATTAGTAATCCAAAAGGATTTGTTAATATTAAGCCTCAGTAAATCCTTGATGTTTTCGTTACTTTACAGATTAATTTAAACAATTTTTTTACTAATAAAGAATTAGTCGAGAAAATGTGTGAAAAGTAAAATCAATTATAGAAGAGAAAAAAAGTCATCACCCACGCCACAGCAGGATCATTGCCATCATCGTCGCTCGATTCCTCATACGATAATGCCAGGGCAATTCAGCCACTCATCAGTTCGCTCTCGCTTGTATATATATCAAAAAATACTCTCATCGCTTTTTCCGACATCAGACAAGCAAGTCTCCGAGACGTCACGACACAATACCAAAAAAACCAACTACAAAAAAATCGACACTCGCCCATTGTGGTCTTCTCTTTGGTTTCTTTTGTCTTTTCCAGGCTTGCCATCCGAGTGGACGATGATCAAGCGGCTCGCAAGCTTGAGCGATCTTAGACGCCAGCAGATCTCGCGCAAGTGGCAACGCACCACCACCGAGCGCGTCTTCGTGCCCGGCCCGACCATCATGCGCGTACGCGTCATTCACAATCGATCCTCCAATTACTAATTTTCGAGCGTGATTTTTATTTTTTTCACATTATTAAAATGCGTCGTGATCGTATTCTCCCCATTTTACGCAAACGTTTACTGCTCGAATGCTTTGATTATGTACTCGATATTTTTTTCTGAATCAATTAATTCAGTTCGAACGACTTGATAATGCAACGCTTGTAATAGATAATTGTTCATTTTAGGTCAAAAATAATAAAAATAAATTCAGAACGTTACCTTCAATTTCGGGAAAAATTGTATTTGCTACGGGCTTACTATACTAAGCAACACTATTTCAATCAAAGCACTAATAACTCCCAACCTGTGCATCATTGCGTACGAAAAACATTATCATTAGTAAAGTCCATGAAAAAATTCGTAGTTTTTCTAAACAACGAAAAAACAAACAATGAATTGGCTCTTGCAGTGTTTCTAGAGATGACTGCCTAAATACAATACAAGTACAACTTCCTCTGCACAATCTTCTTTGCCTGGTTGTTATTATTTGCCCTCGCTTCAGAATCGATGTAGAGGATCAACGACCTCGTGGACGAGCTCTTGGATCTTTTGACTTTTATATAGACTCTATACTGTTATGTGTTTTTTTTTGTAATTTATATAACTACAAGAAATATGAAATAATGAAAGTCAATATAGTATGAATGTTTTACACCAACCTTAAATGTGATAAGAATAAGTTTTGAATTAAAAAAAGTATATTACAATTTGATGACCTTGTGTGATGCCATGAGTGTTGAAAAAGCTAGAAATACAAAACGATCGATCAATTGTAAAAATGTTTCTGCTTCCGGTTTTTTTATTCTAAAAATTAGTAGATATCTTCGAAAAACTATTTGTAACGCGAAATGTGGTGAATTTCGATTGACAATGTTAAGATCGAACAATACAGAATCGAAAAGTTCATTCAGTAATTCGCAGCACATATTTTTTATTTAAAACGTACTAAAGATCACCATACTCATTTTTTATGCAATACTAACGACGACGTAGAAAAAACGAAAGCCAAATAATTATTTTATTCTTTTACTTTCTTTGCTTGAAACTACATTTTTGAGCCAATCGAATTTTCGGAAGTATTATTACGCAAAAACTAACTACTTTGAATTTCCAATCGAGCAAGTCGAATTTTTCACTACGCTCTTTTTATATGCTTCAATACTTCTGAATGAATTTCTGACTTTTTCACAAAATGGCATGTCTCTGTTTTTCCTACAACCTTTTGAATTCCTCATTCCTTATTAACTTCCCTATTTTGTATGTACGATTTTTAAAAATATTTAAAAATTACGTAATATTAATTTTCTTTTTTATCAGCATTGATAAAAAATTTTACCACTAATTACGTCTGAGTACACAGTTTCTACAAGTCCATGTTATATATTTCTGCACGAAAGTACAAACGTAAATATTATAAGTAATCAGAACCTCTTCTGGAGGCAGCTCCTACCAATTTTTGACGGGTAGCTCACATTGTAATGAAAAAACAAAAAAAACGTATGAAAAGCTTTTTCCGTTACTTTTTTCGTTAAGGTCAGTATCAATAATCAATAAAACTTAAAAACTTGGTATATTTCTTTGTGCTCATAAATTGCTTTGCCATTTTTGTTTTTTTCAAAAATTTAATTTTTGTTTTGTTATATTAGACCTTATTAATTGGAAGTGATGAAGTTATTTTGAGTTACAATTAATTTGCTTCTTTCTCAAATTAGCTCAAGTACTAACGCTTATAAACAAAGCAGCGAACCAATTAATTTTTCATAGATACGAACTAGAACGTAGCTATCGAATTTTTTGAGATGAACTTTTTTATGAACTTTTATGAAATCATCATTTTATGGCGAATGAGCATTTTGTAAATTTATTCACCACTTTCGTGATACGTTTCGGGAAAAAAATTGTTTTTATTTTTTTTCTGTTCAAACTGAAATTTATGATTTTCTTTTGAAAATATGTTACACAAAACGAGACCTAAATAACATTTGCGATTTTTATCTTTTCTCGTTACAATGTCAATGTCGTTATCATCAGCGAGAGAATGGAACGCACCGAAGGCTTGGGAAGATCATCTGAATCGTCTGGCCGACCACGATAGATTATCGTCAAGGGTACTGCCACGCGGCCCAATCATCACGAGCCCGCTGCTAGCTCGCAGAAGCTTGCCACTGACCACGAAACCAGTCTTCGATATTCATGGTATGACGATAAAATCATTCCAAGTAACAAAGCGAGAACGTGAGAATAATTATGAACGTCTCTTGGAAAATGTTCCAGGTAACATTTTGGACGAACCCCTGCCTCTGTACCCGATGTCGGTGATCCGTGGCACGCGGCCACTGTCAGACCTGTTCGAGCCGTCGCCCAGCTCGCCGATCAGCTCGATCGTGAGGGATCCTTGGTGGCACCCGCAATTGGCGCCCTACATACCCTCCTACGCTCAGAACAGCAAAACCCTGCCGTTCTACTTGCGCGACAGCTACTTGAGCCCGGTGAAGCGCAATTACCTCTGGAGCAGACATCCGCTCAGGCCATTCGGTAATGATCGATACGATAATACCATTGCAGCTTCGATATGCTCGACATGATATCATCATATAAATCGAGTAAAACGAGTTATTTTTACCATCCCCCTTTTGACGAGCAATACATCGATGAATCTCATTAACCTTGAGCCGCAATGTCACTGCTGCTCACAGGTGAATGATGATAAAAAACGATATATTAGCTTTTAATTCGTAAAAAGGCATTGTGTACGACGCGAGTATATATTGCCTCGATGATAATAGGTTTTCCGCATCGTCGAGCTGAATAATAACGGCCTCACGTGTGTGTACATACATGTATAGAGCCGATCTTGGCTGCGCCAATGAAACTTGCCACGATGTATTTATGTGCCTCTGTATGCGCACCAAGTACGTTCATTACCGACAGTCCGTCAATCAACCTTCACCTATAATAGACGACGCGCACACACAAACAGAACACAGGCTATGTACATGAATCGATCGAATGTACAAGCTTATTAGCGCATCCAATCTTGCTTTACATGTATATATACACGAGCGCACATGCATATTCATATTGAGTGTGTTGCACGAAGGTACTCCTCATAATCGGTAAAAATATCACCTTATCGGAAAAAAACTGATTTCTTTTTTTCAGAGCGGATCGAAGAGGCAGTGATTTATTTGTTTTTTGAAAAATAGCCAAGCTACGGTCATTTTTTTTTACGCAACCATTTTTCGATTACTGCGGCGTCTCACAACGATGAAAAGCTTTGGTTTTTACAAGCTGTTTTTTCTCCGATTTCGATTCATTTTTCCATCGAAATCGAAACTAAGTTAAATAAAAGGAGATAAGACTCAAATTCCATTAGCGACGATTCATAAAAATCACCATTTGTTGTATTTTTTTCCAGCATCAGAACCGCCAAGTTCAAGTTTCTTCTATTACTCGCAGCCCGTGCCTGTATATCACTTTACTAGCCCATGGTACAACAAATGAACGAATTGAATGCCGAAGTGAGCCGATGACCTCTTGAATTCATCTATTTTGGTGTTGATATATACTTCTTTTTTTTTTCTTTAATTTTATGTTTCCGACTAGATTATTTGTTCAAGTTTAATGACTACGTATATTCACCAACGTACCAAAGCTTCGGTCGTTTCTTTTTTTTTATAACCATCAACTAAAAATATATTCAACTATCAAGGCACCACTTGAATAGTCTCTATCATTTGTGTTAACAATTCACTCACCAGCATTATTCCAGACATCGGGGTAGTTTTTTCTTTTTCGATCGGTGAATAATCAAAATCTTTTTGTTCATTTTTTAGTACCTTATGAAATGAGTCTTTACGACTATATGAAAGAAGAAGAAGAAAAAAGAAGAAGAAAACTTTTATATGGTATTTTGAGTGTGGTTTTTCTCACGAGTATTTTTAATGAGATTGGAAAATATCATTTATTTCATGAATTAAAATGTCATTGAAATGATTTTATGATCATTTTTACTCTTTTTTTTTTCAAATTTTTCTGCGTCAACATAGATATTTTTGACAGATTTTTGAAATAGTTTTTCTGATATTCTTTCACAGAATTATCATCTTTCTGTTTGTATGTTTAACTGTCAATGGTGACAATTTTTGTATCGATATTCTTTAGCTGAAAAATGTATTGTCGAAGGATCGAAAGCTGAAGAATCGTTTTCCATTTTCTTTGGTCGATTTTTGTACTTGTGATATTCTTTGAACAAAAGAATATTAATTTTTTTCGTTTGTGAACCCCTGTGTCTACTGGTCTATTTTTTAAATAGTTATTTGAATTTTACACTAACTTACTGATCCATCAAGAAGTGTACTGTCAATTATACTACAATCTGTCGATGGTTCAAATGTGCCTCTAATTTGTATGTATTTTTTCACTAAGTAATATAAAAAGCCCAAAACATTGAATATCATCATCAGTAAATGGAAAACTGTTGATTGAATAATTACAAAAAGTCCTAAATATGATACCAGTGATAATAATTTTATATGTTGATACAGATGCATTCAAAAATTGATTTCGTTTAATTAGATAAATCGTTTTTTCAGCTCATACCTACTAAGAAATTGGGGTCAACTTGCATTGGAAACACAAGAAAAAGAAAAACCACACGGAAATTCATTGAGTAAAAACGTCATTTGAAATTTCAATAATCAAAAAGAAACAACACATTACGAAATAATGACGTTAAGTAATTTATAAGTTTGTCTCGCCTAGATCGTTGAAGAGTAATTTACGTCGCATAATTAGTATTTTTCATTATGTCTATTCAAAAGAAATACACCCGCAATCTACTTTTATTAACATTAAGAAATGTCATGCACATGCATTGTGCGTACACCGTCATCAATACTACGTTCGAATTAATTCTTCAAAATTAAAATAAAAAACAACAAAATTTTAAAATGTCTTATTTTTTACCCCTATATGTAATTATGACTGAATGATAGTGTGAGATTTGATTGGAGACAAAAAAATTAATTTTTGTACAACAATATGCACGTTTATTCAATTTTTATCTCAAAGACGATAGATCATGAGGATATTCATACACCATTGACTTTCTCATTACACACTTTATTTTGCATTTCACGAAGTATAACAGTTCACGTACTCTCGCAATTTTTTACATTTCACATTTTTCAATCTTTAGAAATCTCAACTCATTCGTATTAAGTCTCTCTACGACAAAATATTTAAATTTCTATTAATACTCTACGCGCGGATTAAACTATTAACAAAAATTAAAAATGCATTCAGCTACAACGCGATTATCATCGGTATTTTTCAATTTTATATTTTCTTCGCAATTCTAGTGTGTTAGACAGCCTATGACTTAAGTTTTGTTATTTTTTTAAATTCATTATTACTGAAAAGAAAGTGGTTGTAATGTTTTTTAAACCGCAGTGAGCACGTCTTTTTATATATCACACATTCAAACATATCAACTGCATTTTTCAAACGCGATAGTTTTATGACTTGTAAATTCATTTAAAATTTTTCACAGCTAATTGCAGCATTTTTCAAATTCATTTAATCTCTTTTTAATAATACTTTTTAAATTAATTTTATAGTCTCACGTTTCTACTCCGTAATGATTGATTTTCGAAAATTGTCTTTTTATAATTTATCAGTAACTAGTTTCACTTTTCATTTTAGTCTAATTCAGTACGAAAAAAATGTTATTGAAGATTCTTGAAAAAAATTAATCCAACTTATAAAAAACGAGTATGTTTTATCGAAAAATGTCGACAACATATAGTCGTTAATAATTGCACTGAAATAATTAGATATACGATTCAAAAATTATTTTTGACTTTTGAATCTAAAAATAATATATCAAATAAAGTTGAACTATACACCTATAACTCTAAATAAAGTCCAACCTACGCAATTTTACGTGTCAATCACTGAAAGAAACTTTAGAAGCAATAATTTTGACGTTATTATTTAGTAAGTATCATGATTTGTATTTCACATCAACTTGTTGAGTTTTTGACGACTTTACTAAATTGTGTAGACAAGTCCGAAAAATGTTACAGACAGCTTTATAGTTGTGACAGTTATCGCTCGTCTAGTTGAAATACTGAGACATTAATCTCAGCATGACTTTTACATTACGAAAATCTATAATGAATCCACCTGTTAGTTGTAATTCACATTGTCTTTTTCGATTTCATTGAAACTACAAAATAGTGAACTTTTCAAAGGCATGAGATAATTAATACGTTGCAATTACAGTTTATTACAATGGAAAAATATCGTTTACGTAATTTCTTCGTATATACTTTATTTTCTATACATCTCTTTTTCTGTTCTTTTCTAGACTTTTCTTCTTTCAGAATACAGTCAATCGCATCATCAGGGAACAAGGCACACAACAATATTATCTTATTCATTGATGTGGCTAGTTATAGAAAATGTATTAGATTAAACATATGCTGAACGACATTATACTTCGTACTTTACGTATAGTTCATATTCACTATATCATTATTTTACGTTTATCAATAATGATAAGATGCGTAAATTCTCAATAGTAGAAATAGTAAAAACTTTTTAAAAGAAAATAAAAACTCAACGAGTACCAGAAATTTAAATGCATTTTTGAGTGATCTTGTATAACTGATTGTTAAATATAATGGATTTACTCCAAGGAAGACTGCGTCGTTCTTGCGAAATGCTATTGCTTAACAACGTAAATAAAGCAAATTTATTTCTAATGCTCACGTTCCCTGATTTTCGTATGCAATTTATTATTTTCAATATATCTACTAAAATTCTTTTTCATCTTTTGTCTTTCTAGCTCGCATTTACTTTCTTCGATACATTTATTTTTAATTGATAGTCATAAGTTTTTACATGATACATTAGCCTGCCAGAAATTTTTTCACAACTATTGTTAACTGAATATTCTAGCCATTTTAGATGAAAATTTTGATAGTACCCACAGAACAATTACCACTGTCACCCTTTATCAAATGTTTCAAAATAATTTATACAAACAACAGTATTTCTGTTTCACATTTTGCGTTGCAGTATTTTAAAAAAATATAAATAATATTTATTTATAAGAATTATTTTACAATTAAAATTTCTTTTGACGAAAAATCATCAAAAGTTTTGATATTCAAGTTTAAAAGAATCATATCATTTCAAGCAATAACATATCAAAAATAGTTAATTTTAATAATTCTACCCATGATCTTCTTCCTTATATTATTAAAAAAAGCTGGACTTACAGAACATATAGGTCACAAGAGCAGAGTTGACAACAATATTTTAATTAAATCAGCGTAAACATAATTATTATTGACCATTTAGTTACTACCACATTTTTGAATCATGAGAACATTTCTTTGCGACGTTGCGAGTTAATTTTTTAACTTTTACATAATTTTCTCAATTAATGCACTTTAAAGACTTAGTATATCTTCGAAATTGTTTTTCTGTAAGACCACATTCATCATTTATTAATTAAAAATATTTTCAACTAAACTAACAACCTTCAAGGCAATATTGATCACTGAACTTCAGTAGTCTTAAAGTATAATCAAAAATTCCAAATCTAATGATGATAAAGGTGAACATTATGATGACAAATGAGCGAAAGAATAAAATTAAAGTCACGTTTGTGCATAATAAATGCACTTAAAAATAAATAAAAATATACGTTTACTACTTTTGATAATTATTTTATAAAGCAAACAAACGTAAATTCGTTTTTTGCATTAAAAGATATCAGTGGCCGAAGTATTAAAGCGTGCAAATATTACTGATCAGTTTGAAAGTTGTATACAAACAAAAACATGACAATTGATAAAACTAAATTGCGAGATAATAAAAAATTATTTTATGGATGAATAGTAAGTGTGATGAAAGTTTAATGTAAGGGACAAGCCACTCACACTGTTACACTCTTTTCATGTGATCAAAGTGAATGTAACAATGAATTAACAATGTAGAATTAGAAGATGCTCGCAGAGATATGAATAAAATGTATTTTTGAGGAAGTGGCTAAATTTTATTATGTAAACTTGAAGAATCATAACTGAGAGTTTGGTAGTAGGGCGTTCCACAACTGCAAAAATCGTTCGATTAATTTTTTTTTTATCAACTAACAATAGCATACTTCTGTCAAACTACTTATTCGAACGTCAACTCACTAATTTTAGAACGCCAGTGTTATCGGCTATGCAGGTTCGGCCGTAGGTGGTCATTTTTTCTTAGCTGGGTTCCTTTGTGGAGTCGATGGTCGACTGCCAGTCTGCCCAGCATTCATGCCACCATATTGATACTTGGCTTTCTTTTCCGATGGTTTCAGAATCTGTAAATACGAAATTGCACCGCATTTTAGTTATGTTAATATTCTTCAATGACTTATTAAAACATCAATCAAGACGCGTAGACACGAGGATGACGTGTTACGTAACAAGTTGCGCGTTGGTGCAAAATTCATTATTGTAAATTCGAAACAGCTAGAAGATCATCTCAAGAATGTTAAATATAAAATTCCAAAAATATCTCGAATTTAATTTCACGTCACAGCATCTAAACAGCGTGGCCTGATTCATTTTATCACGTGCATGCCAAGTTTCTTTTCTGTTTCTAATAATCATAAAGATTTAATGATTAAATATGCAACGGGTACGTGTGCTCTTGTGTTAGTGAAACGAGACATTACGACATGAACCGAAAGAAAATTTTTGAATAAGTTAACTAAAAAATATATTTATAAGTTACAAATGCGTCATTCAATGAAAATAATCTTACATCTCCTTATAAAAGCAGAAATTAAATTTTTTGCAAATATATAATCTCAATAATTTTAAATATAAAAAACTTTTTGAAAATTGAAATCACGAACTTATTATGTCAGTCAGGGTTTAGTGTCGAGTCGTCAAAACGTCTACCTTTGGTACAACCATTAGTCTAGAATTCTAAAAACCGCATTTTACGTAAAAATTCAATGTTAAGACACAACAACGTCATTGGTAGCACACGATGTGCAGCATATTTATAGAGAAAACGCAACAACGAGGGGGCTTTGTCTAAAAATACTATACAGATGATGTACGTGTAAAGAGCACATAGCACTCGCGTAGGCGCGTATGATTTTTTGCGCGTATCAGGAAAAAAATGTTAATTTTACCTGGAAACTGCACATGAGAGTTTCGTCAACGCTCATCATGCCTCCGGCATTGTCGAACTCGCCGCAGTAATTCGGAGCTGAGAACAGAGTGACAAGTTGACGTTTTGCAAAGAACTCGTATCCATCTTCAACGACTTGATGCGCTCGGCATATCAAGTCCATGTCGTGACGATTGAGGAACTTTGATACCACGTCCGGGCCGAAGGTGAAACTGACTCCTCTATCATTCTCGCCCCAGCCCTAAAAAATATGGTCATTCATTCAACGGTGTTGACATTAAATAGCATGATATAGCATTTTTTCGCTTTTACTAAATTTGATTAAATTTCATTTTCATAGCAGAATATTATTTAGTACATATTACTTAGTACTTTTGGTAATAAATTCGGTAAATATTAACTCTAAAACTCATGACTTATTTTTAACACCGATTCTGTTAATTTAATTTAGTGTACAAATACATTCAAAGAGAAAATTTCAATTCGTTCTAAAAATAGAATTTCTACTTGCCAAATAAATTTATGATGTTTCAAATGAAATATGTGCTATTTGTAATGACTTAGTAAAAATAAAAAAGTTTCAAACCTGCACATCCTTATCAGGATCAGACCAAAGTAAATCACAAAGAAGACCAGTATCAGGTACATCTGTTGGGCGCATAATTCTTCTAATTTGTTCCATTCCCTGCAAAAATATTGATTTTATTAAAGAATATAATTAAACTTTATTTAAAACTTCACTCAGAGTTTTTCAATTAAGTTTCATTCACAGTATTACTTCATTATTTGAAGTATTAATATTCTGCAATTGATTATAGATTTTTACAATGCATTGAACAATTAACAAGAGCTATAAATAAACGAAGTAAAATTAATTTTTTATCATCAAGTACTTTAAATAATTTACAAGTAAGCATGACAAAATGTGCAAAAGAAGTTTATATTTAGGTTAATTATACTTTGATATTTTTTATGCATTAGATTATAAAAAATTAGTTTAATATTTATTTTCAATCTACACACCTGGAGATCAGGACTAAGTCCACCATGGCAACAGAATATTTTTTCATCGATAATAGCAGCAATGGGTAAGCAATTAAAACAATCTGTGAAAGTTTTCCACAGCTTGATATTGTACCTGCGCTTGCATTCATCATAGAAACCATATATCCTGTTTATGCTTGCACATTCATGATTGCCTCTTAAAAGGAAGAAATTTTCTGGGTATTTGATTTTGTAAGCCAATAAAAGACATATTGTTTCCAATGATTGTTTGCCTCTGTCTACATAATCACCAAGAAACAGATAGTTTGCTTCTGGTGGAAAACATCCATATTCAAATAGTCTTAGAAGATCTGTGTATTGACCATGAATGTCTCCACAAATTTTTAATGGTGCTTCAAGTTCCAAAAGGATTGGTTGTTGGAGGAAAATTTCCCTGGATTTTAAACAAAGCCCACGCACTTCTGCTTCTGTCATGATGACTGATTTTCCTGGACGACATCCTCTTACTGTTATAAAATACATTTATTTATTATTATTAATAAAAAAATTTTAAATGAGCATTACAATATTGCTTATATCCAAAATTTTAGTATTAAACTAAATCTAATATAAGATAGCAGATATAATTAGTTAAATCATTTACTTCTAGCAGCTTGTTTTTATTTGATCAGTTGTGAATATGTGGAGCATCATCTTATCTTATATACTATATTTCAACTTTTATGAGGGTAATGATAATTAATACAAAAACAAACAATTGTAACAGCACAATATGAGCTAATCGGATACATGTTTTTCTTTGTGAAAAATTAAGAGTCAAGAGCAATTTTTAAAAACTTTGTACGGGTCATTACTGTTTTTTGGTTCATTAATTAAATATATGGTTTGAAAAATTGAATATTGTTTGCTTTAAAGAATTACATTGTTTTAAGTGTATATTTGTGTGAAAAGTAATTTTTGTTTTAATTCTTTTTAGAATGAAGGATTCAAGTACACACTTGAATTACTGACACAATGGTTATTGGAAAAATCAACATCACCAAGGCTAATCCAATATTAAATTAATATTTCCAGTTAAAAAACTAGAAGGTTTTATCTGATTTATATAAACTTGTCAAGTGTTCTTTTTAAATAAAAAATGCATTACAAAAACTATTTTAGACTTGCAATAATTTTACAACAATTATAACATCAACAAATAAAAAAATAAAAAGTAAAAAATAAAATCAGTCAAAATAATTTTTGGTATCAGTACCATCTATTTTTAAAACTTAATCTCAAAAGCATCTAATTGATTTTGTAGTATGCATACACAAGTGAGATAATAGTTCATGTATCATTTGGGATTGGTAAATTAATCAATAAACTTAAATTTGTGTTCAATATAATTGTGAAGTAATCAATAAACGAAGTATAATAAATCAATACTTTACTCATTTTAGAGCTAATTTTCAAAATAATATTTTTACTAATACAAAATGTACCAGATGTTCTATCATATGATAGAAGGTAATACACAATTACATGATGTAATATTAGTTTTTAGTGCTGCAGGAATAATCATTTTAGCCTACTGCAAAGAGCTCCTTTAATTGACAAATTAACCAATTGAAAACAAAGTCATTTGTTCATGCAGAAGACACAAGAAAATGACTGCAATATACACACATAAGGTAAAATATATAGGCAAGCATAAATATAGTCTTAGCTTGACTGTATAGTATGGGGCTACAATATTACAATATTTTAGGATTGCTTTGTTTCTTTCTAATTTTTATATTCATTATGTTTACCACGCGAGTCTGAAGAAAATATATCTTTAAACTTTGCTTTCTTCGGTTTCTCAATTTGAATCTGAACTGGTTCATTTTGATTTTCTTTTTGAGCCTGGTATACTATAGCCCAATGAGAGAAGAAAAATGAAGAGAAGATGAAAAGCAATAACATAATATAATGACAAATTGTTTAATTAGTAAAATTGAAAGGAGTGCTTTGAAAATTGTCATTAAAGGGAGTACAAAAAATAAAAATAAAGTTTTTGAGTTTAAAGAACGATTCAATCATTAATAGACTGAGACTAAAAAATGTGAGTTACACACATAGTCAGTGAATCATTCACATGTTAATGCGCCGAATGTCACACTTCAAAACATATGAAACAATAAGATTGATGAAAATGACAAGTTTCCAAGTTTGTTCGTTAAAATCAACGGAGAACACACGATCGCGCGGCCTGTATTGTGTGTATATAGACACGCGCTGGCTCATTCACACCCACACAACGTCATAGAGAATCAACCTTGAAAAAGTTCTACTAGAGGGTAGTTATGCTCGGAAGTAATGCCTTGATAGCTGACCCTCGCGAAAAACGGTAATCATCACGTAATTACCATAAATTCCACATAAGCACCACGAACACGATCGCTATCGATTGGATTAAAAAAAAAAAAAAAGAAAAGAAGGAAATAAGTAAAAAAAAAAAAGTTGAAATCGTATAATAAAAAGAGAAGTTGGCCCGTGACACGCAACAATCGTATTGCAGACACTTGTGCCTCGTTGCCTGCACACAATATATCTCGTGCCTTCGATCAGTCAAGACGTCACGCAGGCTCTCGTGCTTACGAGCCGTAAAATATAGCAACACACACGGATCAATTGACACGAGCGGATAATCGATGTACACACGAGTACGTAATCCTTCCGTGTGTCATGTATACACATATATATATGAAGTTGAAAATAAAACATTATGTTTTTGGGATTGCACGCGGATCTTACCTTCTAAGAGCCTCTGAATGAGGCTGTCGATGTTGAGCTCGACGTCCGCCATCTTCTTAGCGAAGAGGATCTTAGAGCCGCTTCGTCGCGGCTCTAAAGTACAACACTGGGTGCTTTATAATTAAAAACGGCACTGCACGCGGTCACTCGTCGGTGAATACGCGACAAGATTATCCTCTTTCGTCGCTTTTTTTCCTTCTATACAGCGAGCGCGTATATTGTATCGCGTTGCCGTGCACGAATGACAAGTGATCCCGTTGACGAGGCTATACACAAACACACGACAAGCAGGCAGACGGGACAGACACAAAATATTATTGGTAGGGAGTGAGAAAGAGACAGACGTCTCGAGAAAGCGAAAGATCGTCTCAATGGGAGAGAGAGAGAGAGAGAGGAGACGTGTGCCGTGCGACCAGTTTCTACACACTTGGCTCTCTCAAACCAGACTGCCGTTTGGCTTGAGCTTATCGTCGACGGGGTATACGCCCGTGCGTGTACCCTCCTCTCTTTCTCCTTTCCCTCTGGCGATGTATGTTCTGTATGTATATAACGTCTACACTTCGCCGCTGCGAAACGACGACTTGGGAGAGTTTTTGCACGTACAACGTTTGGGACGTTGAGTTTATGCGCATGACATGACCCTCGCTCGATGCTCCCGTCCTCTCGTGGCGAAAACTTTGCTAACATTGTCTAACGTATGTATAAGTCATTCTCGTTCTCTCTCGCACTCGTGTCGTGCGAATATTATTATATCTTAGAATTCTCGGTATAACAGTACGAACGCGCACACGAGTATTTTCTATTCTACGCACACGTATGTGTTCATTTGACTTTGTGTGCTTTGGCGCATTTAATGTTGCAAGTTCATGTGCGCGTGTGTGTATATATCGGTACACTCGCCAAGTCGAATCTTCGTAGGTCGAAAAGCTCTTTGAGCTACAATAAAATGTTGGTGTCTTTTTTCAAAGGCAGGAAAAATCCTTCTCTGAGTCGGCTTTTTGAATTATTCAACGATTTATGTTGAATTTCTCAAATTTTATTTTAATATGAGCCTCCAATACTTCTACAAATTAGAAAGCACAGTTTGTTTCGACAGGCGATTAGAATGGGTCGCGTTAATAAAACTCTCAGTGTAACCGAAAAATATAGAATATTAAAAGTATTAGAAAAGAAGAATAAAAAAGATTTTAAAAATGTTGCAAAAGAAAATAACCTCGCACTTAGTACGCTTTACTCTATTATTCAAAGAAAAAATGACATTTTATCCCGAGTTGAGAGCGGCGATACAGCACGTATAAGGAACAGAGGCGCAGGTTATCCTGCAGTCGACGAAGCTTTACTTCAGTGGTTGAAGCATCAACCAGAAAACGCTGATACTATTTCTGGACCAATTCTTCAGGAAAAGGCTAAATCTTTTGCCAATGAATTAGGATTGTATAAATTCCAAGCTAGTAACGGTTGGCTTGACAAATTTAAACCCAGACATGGAATAGTTTTAAAAAAATTATGCGGTGATAGTGCTTCGGTCAAAAATAGTAAGTACGACGAATGGCATCGATCAATGAGTGATATCGTTAAAAATTACTTGCCAGAAGATGTATTTAATGCAGATGAACTAGGCTTATTTTTCAAGTGTCTGACCGACTACATTTTAACATTAGACAATGAAGATTGCCATGGAGGGCAAAGAAGTAAAGAGCGTATTACTGTTCTATTAGCATGCAATTCCACAGGAACGGAAAAGCTAACTCCATTAGTTATCGGAAAAGCAGTAAAGCCACGATGTTTCCGCGGAATAAAAACATTACCGGTGGAATATGCAAGCAACAACAAAGCTTGGATGACCACAACTTTATTTTCTGACTGGCTTTTAAAATTAAACGCACAAATGAGATTAAAAAAACGTAACATACTTATGTTTATAGACAGTTGTGCGGCGCACGGAGTTTTACCTGAATTGAGTAACGTGAAAATTCAATTTTTACCACGGTGTGCAACATCGACGCTACAACCATTTGATCAAGGCGTAATTAAAACTTTTAAATATCTTTATAGAAGAGAGATTGTACGGAAAACAATGGAAGAAATAAAAGAAAGTGAGACGCCATCATCGATTGATTTAATACACGCAATAAGGATGATAGATAAATCATGGAAAAATATACCGCTAAAAACGATTTGGAATTGCTTCAAATCGTACGGTTTTAAATTTTTCGATGAAATACCTGACCTTTCGTATGCAATAGATATCGAAACGATTACACGTGAATACAACGAACTAAATTATTTATTGCAAACGAATGTAAAGTTCGAAAAATTCATTAATTTTGATGATAATCTTTTTATTTGTGATCAATCGTTTGATTCAGAAATTATTACGAGTAAAGATGAAAATAGTGTTCAAGAAAGTGACGAAGACGATGAAAGAAATTTAAGTGTGCAAATAAATACACCAAGAGAAGTAAGAAAAGCAATAGATTGTTTAAAAAAATTTTTTGAAATGAACACGTGCGCAAACGAAAATATTTTTTCTAAAATTTTAGAAATAGAAAATGTCGCCGATCAAATAATTGTGAAAAATAAGTACAAATAAAAATAACGTTTTTTTTTTTCAAACAAAATTAAGCGTTTTTATGATCCATTTCTACCGTACGCCCGTTAGTAAATATATGTATATTTACACAGGTGAGCAAGTGATGAAAGTAATACATAGATACAAACGTGATGCCTGTAGGTAGCGGATGGAAGCGTGGGGGGGGGGGGGNGGGGGGGGGGGGGGGGGGGGTCATTCGGAGCGAAACCTCTGCGGAACATGCATATAATAGCGCATTAAGCTTGTTACAGTAATACAAATATGTAACATGACGTGGACAAACAAATTGGGTATGATTCAAAACATTGCGCACAGGTGACGAATAGACAACTTACAATTCTTGACATGCAAATATAAGCGTATGTAATTATGGCGAAAGTTTTTCACTGTTTTGAAGTATAATTTTGGGGTTTCACTGTTATTGTTGCTACATCACACAATGAATGATAATTTAAAAACATTAGATAGAAGAATTGTACACTTGAATTTCATTTTACTTGTCAAGAATCTTATACAAATATGTATAACTTGATATGAATATTATAAACTTTGATAATTCATGATTCAATAACTTAATGTACATAAATTAATGTCTACTCTATTAAATCCTCTACAATAACATTCTAGTCTACAAAAAATTATAATTTTAGAATACTCCTAGAAAATATAAATATTTTCTAACATTCTAATACACTTATTTATTAAATTTTTTTTGGTAGTCCTGCGGTGGATCCTTGTAATCATTCAAATTGAATAAACTGCTTATGTTACTCTGTAAAAATTGAATAAAATGCCTGAAATGTTTTGTCAACAATTCCTTGCTACTTTCATCAAAATGAGTGTAAGACATCAATTCTCCCAGTTTAACTGTAAAGAATAAGAATATATTAGAATAAACTATGAGTTTTAAATGGAACTGGTGAAATGGTACAAACCTAATAATCTCAGTAAATGATATGGACCGTATAACTGACTTGGAAGAACATTTGAGTCTTCTGGTACTTTCTCCTCAAATTGAGGTTTTTCCCAAGCATATAACAATTTCAAATTAATAGCAGAATTAAAATATTCACGTATACCTTTGGTAACTTCAACTGCACTTTCCCTGTAAAACCATGAAAAATGTATCATTTCAGTATCTTTATCAATGATGACTATACTTCATAATAGTAAGACTTACATGTGCAATCCTTCAATTTTTCCAGATTCTATAGCCTCCTTATAATTTTCAAAAACTTTATCAACAGTGATACTCATAGGTAAAGTTGGTAGTTTCTTTTGTTTAACAATTACTTCATTTTCATCAATAAGCAACATTTTTAATTCATTAGGTAATTTTATATTGAATTCTGTTTTAACAGTGTAAGATTCATTGTCATCTGAAGGCTCTGTGGCTGCACGCCTAAAAAAATTAATTCAAATAAGTTAAATTTTCATTTAAATAATAATAGTTAATTTATCACGTACCCTCTTCTCTTCCTTGGTGCCTCCAGAGGAGAGTCATTGGAAGATGTTGGTGTTGGTGCATTAGCAATGGCTTTGCTTGATCGACTAGGTGTTCGCTCCATGAGAGCAACTGGAGTACTTGCTCTACTGTCGCTATCCTTGTCTTTATCCTTATCTTTTCCAAAGTCACTGCGTCTTCCAGAGGATTTAGCTGATCCACTACTTTTTCTGCTGCTTTGTTTGCTCTCTTTGCTTTGCTCATGTTTTAATGAAGTTTCTTTCTGTTTTTTAACATTTTCATCATTGAATTTTAGTACTCTATCTTCAGGTACCCACTCGTCCCAACTAATAAATTAAAACCACATTTCAAATTATTAATACGGTCGTTTGAATTGATTCACATTTGAAAATGTTGTCACTCACTTCTTATTCCATCCGGCGTAATGAATGTAGTATTGAGTAGATTTTCCATCTTTGGTCACCGACGATTTCAATAATTTCGCTTCGTAAATAAGCGGTCCGTGGTAACAAAGCACCTTTTCCCCTGTTAATTAATAATTAATACATTCAAAATTTAATTGCACAGCAGCATTGAATTAAAAATAAAATAAAGTAATTGTTTTCATAATAAAATTTTGTATAACAGCACAACCGAACACACAGAAATTGACCGCGTAAATAAACGATTTGTTATTGTACAGAGGAACGACTTGATATAGCGAAGTCTTACCTTCCAAAAATTTATATTTCGGGGGCATTCTGCGTTCTGCTTTATTTCGTATTTATTATTTTTTAAGTAAACAAACAACACATCAATTCCTGAGGTTAGGTAGGTTACACCTCTCGGCTGTACAGTGTACACCGTTAAAGGGTGTGTGCGTTACTGATGTGTCACGTGGTACACGGTGAACCGACTCCTTGCTCCGAAATGCACCGCCTCCAACTTAAATGTCCGTCTCCTTTCATGCAATATGCATGCCATGAGCATGTGGGAAAATGTGTATTTTGATATCGTACCGCTGTATACATCGTCAAGTAATGTATGGTGTCTGTGTCAAATAAGCATATAACTTATGTGTGAGTACAGTTGAATACACGGGATAACCGTCCCTTTCATTGTAATTTGTCCTTCACATCTGCAATTTGTCATATCTTTGGAATAACCATCTAAAAATTCGTAATAATTAAGAAGCTACGTGATGTTTTTACGCAAGCTATGCCCAAGATAATTTTACTTGTTTGTCAACCGCAGCTTTGAGCAGCGATATCGCACAAAACCGGAGCAAACGTCCAGCGACTCGTAAGTGACGAGTCAGCGATTGCACAGCTGCAGCATCAGCGATCGAAATTGTACCGACGCACTGCAAAGCCATTCCAACGTCAGCGAGAGCCGAGAAGCAGCAGCAGCAGCGCAGTATTCGCGGGGCCTTAGTCGCTGGGATATTTACAATAACAGAGCTCATAGTGTCATTGTTGGTTGTTGATTCGTGCAGTGCGCGACTCCGCGACAAAGAGAAAGAGAGATGCTCTGAGTCATTCAGCAGCATCATCATAATCGCAGTTTGTCGATTATTCTGCACAAAACCCTCAGTCAACGGAGCAACTTAACAGTGAAACATACAGAATACATACAGAGGCCTGCGTCGAGCGGCGTATTTTATTGCGCGCAGAGGAGAGCCCGACCGTGGCTCTCGAGCTCCGCAATTATTTGGCCTCAGTTAGCACTATTGAAGCAGCGTATACACGGCCCAATACAAGTGATATTATAATAAAATAAAAGCGATCTTGGACGAATGCACCGGGACACGATTTGTCAAATAATCAGCAGCGAATGACGACGTAATATTATAGAATCATTATCATTATTAGCTACTGTATGTATACGTGCTGCTGCGAACGTGTGTTTTCTAATATACATCATGGTATTATAGTGTGCTATCTGCTGCTGCTGCTGTCTGTCGCGCCTGTCGCCGAGCTGCCTCGCCGTGTTTTCGTTCGGTGAAAGCCACTCGATCAGCTCGCCTTACTAGTCAACAAACATATATAAGGATAGGAGCATAAAACGGGAGTCGTTCCAGAATCTGTGCTTATCGCTGGATAAAACACCAGTATCAATAAGCCAGCATCATGGACACCAAGGAAGGCGAACGTCAGCCCCTGTTGAAGAGCGATAATACCAACTACAGCAGTAGCGAAGTTGCTGGTAAAATAGCTTTTTTTCCCTTCTCTCTCTCTCTCTCTCTCTCTCTCTCTCTCTCTTGAATACCGTACACTTGATTATATCCGCCGCGATGTTATCATACTTGAGTCTACTACACACTTGCGCCGAGGTATTTGCAACCAAAACGCAAGTGTGCAAACGCCCCAGAAGTTTTTTTTCGTGGCTTTTATTTACGAAGCTAGAACTTTCAATACGCATTAATGATACTTTATTCGCCAAAGGTTGCTATTGATACGTAATTCGCCGTATCGAATTCTCACTTATGCATTACAATTCAATGGCTTGCAAAATCTAGTTAATGACTCTGGTTACACTGTAAACTAGTTACTTGCATAGTGCATGTAAACTGATTCAAGGCAATACTTCATTACTTGCAAGCATTATTTTTTTATTAATCAAGGCAAAATATTGCTTCTTTAATACTTTCAATACAATCAAACATGTCCAGCTTTTATCACAGCAAAATCCACAATCATATACAAGTCTGAACAATGTGTGATCATTGTTTGTATAAGTGCATCAGCTGTAAAGAAATTGATATGCTTGAGAACTTGTGGTCATTGCTTGTATTTGAATGATTCATTGCAAATTTACTTAGTTAGATAAGTGAGTTAAAACAGTTGACTAATAAAATGATATAACTCTGATATAGCTCAAGTATAATTCTAAATTAGTATCTTTGCTTTTTTAATTTAAAGAATTTTATCATATATTATTTTATCTATCATATTAATTTATAATTTATTTTTTATTAGGATTGGGCCCTGACTCTCAGCAACAAGTCAATACTGTAGCTCCAATTGGTCCTGATGAATTACCACCATCTTATCAAGCTAGCCAGGGTAGTATGCACATGGTTACATGCAGGGTTTGTCAAGCCATGATTGATATTTCTGGAAAAAGAGATCAACACGTTGTCAAATGTAGTCAGTGCAATGAAGCTACAGTGTGTATAATTTTTGAATTGAATTTCTGTTAATATTTGCATTTATTAACTTCAAATTTTTTTAGCCTATAAAAAATGCTCCACCTGGAAAAAAATATGTGCGCTGTCCCTGCAACTGTTTGCTTATATGCAAAAGTTCATCTCAGAGAATAGCCTGCCCTAGGCCTAATTGTAAACGAATCATCAATCTCGCACCTAGTCCGGTTACTCCTCCGGTTTTGTCTATGCCTGGAATGTGCAGAGTCTGCTGTGCTCACTGTCATGACACATTCTTGGTATTTATAAATTTTCTAAGGCTGTGAATTTTGAGCAAAAATTTGTTTAAAAGAATTTATAATAGTCTTTGTAAAAAATTACTTTTTTTTGTTCAAAAGTACTGAGGTATTTGCTTTATTCAAACTTAAAAATCATAAGTAATAAAAAACCAATGATTTTCATTTCATTTTTAGTTTAATACTTTAAACAATGCTTTGGCTCGTTGTCCTCACTGTCGTAAAGTTTCATCTGTTGGCCCTGATTTTGCCCGTGGACGTGGAATTCTCTTTGTCATTCTAGGAGTAATCAGTTTGATACTTGGCATTGCAGTGACTGTAAGTGTTTGAATAAAGAATTACAATTATATTGAATATATATTTAATATTATTGTCAATGTCAATGAACTTTAAAATTGTATAATTCTAATCTTTTTATATTATTCTATTATAGGTTGGAACATATACACTTGTGAAAGCTAATGGAGGAATTTACGTAGCCTATGTTGGTAAGTGTATATTTATCATTTCAACAATAATTTTTTTCAGAAATTATTCAACAATACAAAATCAACTTACTTTATTTCAGGTGCATTCCTTCTAGCTCTACTTTTCCTTGGTAGGAGCATTTATTACTGTACAATGAAGATTAGCTTAATAGAAGGCCCTATGTAGTTTTTTTAAAGGAAATTGAAGGCTGTTAACGCAAAAAGTTTTAACATAATTGAATGTAATCAATTAAGATAAGTTTTGGAGAAGTATAATTATAAAGAAAAATCGTTCTATGTAAACTAAAGACAAAAAGCAAATAGCTGGCCATTTTATGAAATAGAAAGCTTCAATTGAAGAGATGTTATCAGTTACACTGTTGACAAATGAAGCTTTTTTGTTATTTAATAAATTAGCTTTTTCCATTTTTTTAATATTTATAATGAATTAAATAAAATCTGAGATTTTTTTTCTAACAATTACTATAAAACACTCATTATTATTCGATATATTGACTGAATAAGTCCGAGAATCAAAAGTCTTCTCATTTTTTATGGATTAATTTAAATTGTATCAATGTTGGCAACAATAATGTCAAATGCGATCTATCAATGTCACATGAAAAAGACATCATGATATTTATGAATTGGTTGTGCAAGACACTATAAATGCATTGAAATGTACACTTTATGTTTAACTAAGGTATTTTTCAAACTAACAGCTTTACAATTTTTATAAAAATAACTTTTTCTTTGGTTAAATGGACAATATCTCTTTCAATGAGAAAATTAATATAACAGCGTAACATATTTTAAAATTTATCAATCCCAACTGATAAATAAATATTTTGTTAATCAGAGTATTATATTAGATTAATGTCAAAGACATCTTAATTTGATATAAATGAAAAGTGTACATTTTTAATGCAGAAAATATTTTAAATGAGTACTACGTGATGAAGACTATGTAAAAAGCAGAAGAAGATGTTTTATTCGCTTCTATTTGTTATCTTACGCAGAGAACAGAGTTACAATAAAATTATTCTACATCTTCATCTTCTTTACAAAAAATAGTGTATACATTCAGGCGCTTAGTTACGAGTATATAAAGTAAACTATTTTTAAATTAAGACTTTATCAACATTATACAAGGTTTGCTGAGCAAATTGTATATTTTTTTTAATTCTTAGATAAATTTGCTTGATTACAGTGTTTTTTAAGTAAGTGCTTACTTAAAAAAAATTATTGTGAAACAGTGATTTGATGTAATCAATTTGTTAATTTTTCTTCTTTTGTTCGTCTTTAATTAATTGTGTCAGATAAATTCATGTGAGTCTTGAATTATGATGAATTTTCAGCAAGTGATACCGTAAAATTATGAATTAAAAATCAATTTTATAACAGTGGAGACAGTGACTCTGTTCTCTTGGAACAATAATTCAGAAATCATCACTTTCATACAATAAACATAGGCATTTGTTTCTAATATTTTAACATGTTACAATTTAAAATGATATTTTTAATTTTAACTCAAAAAATTATATATGATATTAAGCTCGATATTATTACAATGATTTAAACAGTTTATTGCATAAAAATAATACATATTATTATCGAGTCAGGGTAGAATATGATGATGAAAAACTAAATTTTATATATTAAACTAAGCTAAAGATAAAGTTAGTCTCGTAAAAAAGTTATTGTTCGTTTCTGAGTTATGAGAAATTCGTATAAGAACGACTATTTTGCACCTTTCTTTGTATATAATCGCCATCGAGGAAAAATTGCGACGAATCTTTCAATTGTATCAATCAATTGCAACTTTGTAAGAAAATTAGCTTATAAAAAGTATCTCACTGCATGTTTAAACATCAAATTATTAATTTTATATTCTAGGTCATTGAGTATTTTGTATAGAATATCGTGTAAAAAAATCGTTTTGTTATAATCAAGTCTGTATTCATCGGTATAAAGCATAATGAAAATAAAAATTGCAAATTACCAAAAATAATTCTAAAAAATTTCATGACACCTACTGCCTGTCTCTGCTGGTTGCACTCGACAAAAATGTACTCGCTCTGTTCCACCGAGTTCTCGATCGAGAATGGCTTCATCTGACTTTCAGCGGCATTATTTTTAACGCAAATTGTGTGCCGCAGATCGTGTTATTTTTCATATCGTATATAATACTTATAAGCGAGAAACGGAAAATCGGTGCTTGAAATCGATTGTCTTGCGTTTAACCGAGCAAAATTGCATAAGGAATCCATCTGAGTCATCTGATCGATCGAAAACTCAATAAAATGAGGGATTATTGTCTGATAGATATTAAAATAGTAGTTGTGAGCACAGAACCCCCACGAACGGCACGCTGCGCTATTAATCAAGAGGGTTTACAGAGGTGATTACAACGATGATTCAGAAAAAAAGCATGAATCATCGGTAAAATGTTTCCATAACGATTTTCCTCCTTTTTTTTCGCGAAAAATCGTCCATTTGATCTAATTAAGAGCGAGGAAATCCGAGATCCGATCAGCTGCGAATCGTCGCACGAATTCGCGTTGCACCGATAATGAACATCGATGCAAGACAATCTCGTTGCGGGCATATTACACGCGCACACAGACGCGCGCACACAAACAAACAAACGGCAATCGTTTTCATCACGGAACTCAACGCGATCGCTAATCTCCTTCGCGGCGGTGGATCATCTCATGAATGACAAATACGATCGATAAAGAAAAAAAGAAATAATAACAACGACCAAAACAAAAGCGTATAAATATAAGCAAGTCCTGCTGGTGTTTTTAGTATAGCCGCGAACTGGAACGATGCGCCGTCTAGTCTTATCTCTGTTGACCATTGGCCTGTTCGCCCTGGCGGCCGGGGCCCTGCCCGAGGATGACGACTCCTCCTCCTCGTGGCCGGACGCGCTCGAGGTCGAGACCGCCTGCAAATACGTGGGCGACGAGTGCACCCTGGACACCGACTGTTGCGGCGCGATGCGCTGCGACGAGCACAACCATCGCTGCACGGTGCCCTGGCCCATCATGAAGCAGGCGAGCGCCGACAATCTCACGCTCTTCGATCGTTGCAGTCGCAAAGATGGATGGGTAGGCCGATATATTTTTCGATACATACCGTTGATAATTTTCAATGCGCGTTGGACCAATTTAAATGGACGATATGTCGTTGCAGTGCGAGACTCACAACGGCTGCTGCCGCGGCTTACACTGCAATGTGAAAAATCGTGTCTGCGAGGAGGGCAAGTGCGCTCGTATTTTCGAGAAGGTAAGCTCGCCAAAATGGTTCATTACGTAGATTTCCATCGGTACTCATTCTATCGTATTCTAATTTACTTGCCCCAAGTGCGAGAAAGATTCCGAATGCTGCGACTGGATGCACTGCCACGAGGAGGAGAAAGTGTGCATCCTCAGACTGTGTCAGGAAGAAAATGCTACGGTGACTATTTTCGATATTTACATACACGCGTTCGAGCGCAACTTTGATTGAAACGACTAATAATTACATCGATCGATCACGTGTGACGCAGTGCATGAGACACGGCGATTGCTGCGGTGGACTGCAGTGCAACGTCGAGACTCGTCGCTGCGAGAAGGGCAAGTGCAGCCTCAACAACGAGGAGTGCAAGAAGGGCTGGCAGTGCTGCGATCGCATGGCCTGCAACGCCGAGAACAATCTCTGCCAATGGAAAGACTGTGCCGCCGAGGATCGAAGGGTATGGCACGACGTCATTCCGAGCAAATTCGTTTCTCGCGAACTTGTGAAGCATAGTACAATGTTTTAATTTGATTTTTACATCTGATTTTTACATTTTATGTATGTAACAGTGCAAGAGGCACTCGCAGTGCTGCGCCGGTCTTCACTGTGACAAGGACGTTCATAAGTGCGCCCAAGGTGTTTGCAAGCAAGAAGAAGGAAAGGTACGGGTCGATGTGATTTTTTCACCCTATGAATTGTAATCTATAAGATGTACATGTATTTTGCAGTGCGACAAAGATACGGAGTGCTGCGAAGGGATGCATTGCCATACGGCCGATAAGACCTGCGTCAAAGGTTTCTGCCACCGAGAGACGGAAACGGTAAGATCGGCAACGATCGATTTGATTTTTGCTTTGATTCATTGCGATTAATAATACAATGTGCTTGACTGTGTGCAGTGCTCGAGACACCGAGACTGTTGCCACGGCAATCACTGCGACAGCGACTCCAAGACCTGCGTGAGTGGAGTCTGCCATCTCGCCAACGGCCAGGTAACGATCATCAAACTTTCAATCGACTTTACCTTCTTTACGAACGCAATTTAATTTAATTCAATTACAGTGCTCCAAGGATTCGGACTGCTGCGACGGATTGCAGTGCAACGCCGAGAAGCAGATGTGCGAACTTAAACGATGCCGCAAAGAGGAGAATTGGGTAACTTACAAATCTTGTTTATTAATGATTTAAATAAAAGAAAAACACTAAATTCTAATGTTTCTCTGTCGCAGTGCCGAAAGCATCTTCAATGCTGCGCCGGATTACATTGCGACATGGAAAGACACAAGTGCGCTGAAGGACTGTGCAAAAATCACCACGACCAGGTATTAGTCGTCACGAAGTTGTCGGTGACACGATGCATGTCAAATTCCTAGGATCGTTATACCGTCTATGCTTTTGATTTTTCTAGTGCGAGTGGAATATGGATTGTTGTGATGGCTTGAGATGCAACAGAGAAAACAAACAGTGCGAGGCTTGGGGATGTCATCGCGAGGAACAAAGAGTAATGCCAATATCTCATCCGATTATTTAAAAATTCTATCGTTTTTTTATTGTATATATTTTATCAATGACGTTATAGTGTTTGAAAAATGCTCACTGTTGTTCCGGACTGCACTGTAACAAAGAAAATCACAAATGTGAAAAAGACAAGGAGCCAGAACCAGAGCCAGAACCGCAACCAGAGTGTCATCAGGAAAATGATAAGGTAAGTCAAAAAATGAAAAACTGAGTGATAAAATGTATACAAAACATTTTTTGTCCTGAAAACAGTGCGAGAAAAATAAAGATTGCTGCGATGGTTTGAAGTGCAACAAAGAAAACGGGGTTTGCGAGAAAAAATCCGAACCAGAGCCAGAGCCAGAACCGCAGCCAGAGCCGCAGCCAGAGTGCCATCAGGAAAATGATAAGGTAATTCGAAGCGTTTATCTATCTCAAAGCTCTAGACCAATGCTGAAACTTTACTAAAAATCATTGTAATTATCGATTTGCAGTGCGAGAAGAACAAGGATTGCTGCGACGGGCTCAATTGCAACAAAGAGAGCTTGGTTTGCGAGAAAGCACAATTGTAAACTGTCGAATTTCTTTCTCAAATATACCTACAAATGTATCATACATTGAATTGATTGATTTTGGAGAAAATATAAAACTCGATCTCGTGATAAATATACGTTTATTGCTTATTCATTTACGCAGTCCTCCTCGACTTAAATTATGACGATTAAGATAAGCGACACGAGCTACGTCGCACAGTTGCTCGTACATGCCTCTGCCGCACTCTTTTACCAACGAAGTAAAATAGCCGTCCTGATTCTGTAGTAGTTTGTGCGGATGATCAAATTCCTAAACATATGAAATATTTAGTCACCGATCGAGTACACAATTTCGAACGATTGGGTACTTACCACTAGTCTGCCCTGGTCCATGACGAGGACTTTGTCGCTGTCCATGATGGTATTGAGCCTGTGGGCGACGGTGAGAACTGTACAGGGGGCGAATTTGGTCCTGATGGTCTTCTGAATGAGGGCGTCGGTCTGAGGGTCGACATTGGCCGTGGCCTCGTCCAGCATCAAGACTCGATTGTTTCGCAAAATCGCCCGAGCCAGACAGATCAGTTGGCGCTGTCCAACGCTGTAATTCGAGCCCCGATCGTGGACTCGATTCTCTAATCCATTGTTTGTTTGCTTGACTGCGTCTTTCAACTCAACCTCGTCCAGAACCTCGAACAGCTGGTCGTCCGTAAATTCGCCGAACGGATCCAGATTGTAGCGCAGAGTGCCGGTAAACAGGACCGGATCCTGTGGGATGATGGAGATGTGTTTGCGCAGATCCTCCAGAGCTAGATTGGCCGTGTCCAAACCGTCGATCATGATCGAGCCCTCGACGTCGGCCAGTCGAAAGAGAGCCGCTATGAGCGACGACTTGCCCGCGCCGGTCCGCCCGACCACTCCGACTTTCTCCGTAGGTTCGATCGTGAAGCTCAAGTTCTTGAGCACCGGTTGATCCTCGTCCGAGTACTTGAGGCGAACGTCGTCGAAAGTCACGCGACCCGAGCACGGCCAATCGACCGGTGGCTCGATCAGCAATTTATTCGCTTCCGCTGCTGCAACTGCTTTTTTGCTGGACTTGTCGTTCAGGACCTCGTCGTCACGGAAATTGGATTCCGCGGGCAGTTTCGTGTACTCCAGTACCCGCTCGACCGACATGAGCTGATTGGAGACCTCGGCAAAGTTACGCATGCCCCATTGAAGCATACTGGATACGGCCATTACTTGAGTAATGGCCAAACCGACGCTGCCGCTTGAAGAATCTAAACGGTTCATTTAAATAGCGCATACTGTAATTGCTGGACATTGTCGGAAAGAAAACAAATAAATAAAATGTTCGTACCGTTTTGCACAAGTAAAAAACTGAAGGTAACCAGAGCTGTAAATATAAAGTAAAATATGTCGATGGAAAATCCAAAGGCCGAGCTTGAAGCGATGAACATGAACCAAGAGGACGTGTGCACATCTTGAAATTGATCGAACTCCTTCTTCAGTATGTCCTGTACTCCGTAAGCCCGAATAGTCGATAAGCCATTGAGGGTCGCGTTCAGATGAGTAAATACCGGCGATCGAGCTAGATGAATCGTACGTGATACTTTTAAAAACGAAAACAGCAGCGAAAAAAAATCAACTCACTCATTCCCTCCAACCTCTTGATGTTCTTACTCGTCTTCAAGTAGACTCGGCGCAGCAAGTAGAATATCACGGCGATCACGGCAATGGGCGCCAAGAAGATCGGATTGACCGTGCAGCTGACCAGCAGATAACCAAGAATCATGAGGGCGTACTGGCCGGCGTCGAGCATGGCTCGCGGCAGCAGCTCGTCGATCGAGCCCATGTCCTTGGAGAAGCGATTGAGTATGCGGCCGCTCGGGTTCTGGTCGAAGAATCGCATCCTCGTGCGCACGAGGGCTCGGAAGGCGAGATCGTGCAGGACCTGGCTCGAGCGCAGACACAGCGAGTAGAAGGTCAGTGAGCGCAGCAGTCCGAACAGCAGAATTGAGGCCACGAGACCGCTGTACGCGTACATGTAGTACTCCGATGGCCAAGAGGAAGCCTTCGACGCTTCTCCACTCGCTTCGGTCCAAGTGTCATTGTAGCTTGGTTGTTCTTTCGTTGCGACACTTGCAAAAAAAAGGAGGAAAACCATCATTTAAAACTCCACATGTATACTAATATATTTCGAAGTGAAATTTTTGGATGCTCGTTAAGCGCGAATCCATCTCGTTAACAACGAAAGAGGATGAAAATCGTCCGAATATAACATCCTGGAGTTTTTAGCGCTCTATATGACTGTTTGGCTCTTGACACTGCCGAGCGCTCAATTAGATTCAATTTAAAAAAATATAACTAATTTTTAAAATCAATGAGTAGCTATGTAAATTGGAATTGTAATTTAATTCCATCGCGTAACTCTACACGACTAGTATGTTGCGATTTGACAATGTGTGACACTATTACACTCTGCGCAAATGGACGATCTGGCCCCGTGTATAGTACTTTGCTGATAAAAAGCTCAAGTGGGTTTGGAGATGCTCTTTTCCAAGAAAAAGAGGTATCAAGTCATGCCGAAAAATAATTAATCTGGCTTATGGCACATTTTCGAGAGTACAGCCTGTCGTATCGAAATACGCGATGCACTAGCAATAGTTATCTGTTTTGCGATACAAATGTCAGTAACAGAGCTGACCTATAAAAACCTTGAAGCTTGGTGCCATGCTCGCGAGGGTATGGAGCTTAGTTGCAATACAGTGGTCGATTACTACAATTATCGCAGAGAGATAGCTGAAGTAGTGGCATGGCGGAGTAATGTAGTTCTTGGCGGCAGTGGTAAACCCATTCAAGTCGACGGGACTTTTTTAACAAAAAGGAAGTATCACCGTGGTCGTGTAACCGAGGAAATCACAATAATTGTCCTCGGTTTATATTGCAAAGAGGACAAAATTGAACCTTTTTATTAAAGTAAACGAATTGAGAGCAAGTGGTGAAAATTTGGGTCATATTGTATTGAAAAAGTTTAAAGATATGGACATAAATTTGGATTATTGCGTTGGCATAACCACGGATGGTTGTTCGGTTATGACATCGAATGATTGTGGAGCTGTGAAAACTATTTTGGATGAAGCGAAAAATGCGACTTACTGTCCCTGCTATAGCCAGAAGTTAAACTTATCAATAAGTAAATCCTCAACTGTGCAGGAAGTGAGAAATTCGATTGGGCTCAAGAAATACGTTATTGATTTTTCCAAGGCATCATCCAAGCGGTCAAATTTATTAAAAAATGGAATGGGTCATCAATTTCATGGTTTGTGCAGGACCAGATGACTTGAATGTCACGACGGTGTAATTCATTTCCGAAGCTGCATTGTGAAAATCATCAAGACTCTCGAAAGTGTAACGCAATGGAAAAAGCTAAATCTTTAAGATCGTCCCTTTCCAACAGTGAATTCATTGTTTCGATGATTTGTGTAGCAAACTTATTGACTTGTACCATACAACTAAGCCGCTTTTTTCAAAAAACTCAGGCTAACATGAAATCTGCAAACGATATATTGTAGAAAACATTGGAAATTTTGCGTAGAAAACGTAAAAAATCGGTGGAAGTTTTTTTCAATATTTTTTAGGACGTAAACAACATTGCAGGGGAGTTATAAGCTCCTATAGATGCTGACATTAATGTACCACGTTTAGTCACTATCCAGAAAAATCGGTCAAATTACCTACGTAATTCTGAAGAGGATTATTATAGGAATTCATACCTCTTTTTGATAATGTGATCAAGAACTTGCAGGCTCGTTTCCCCGAAAAAACATTAAACAATTAATTTTAAAACATTAAAATTTTATCTATTCGTTTTGTTCCGGACAAATGACGATGAATCTGAATATGAAGAATCCTTAAAAAGTTTGTCCAAAAATAGATGCTTACTTATTTAATAAATCGACAGACACTTTTTAAAAAAATGCTCTCGTCAGAGCTGAAGTTTTATAAGTTACATTTGGAGAACAAAAAATAACTTCTTGTGGTGCTCTAATAGAATTATTAGATAATTGCGATGACGAAATTTTTCCTATTATCACAACGATGTTAACAATTTTGGTGATACTTCCAATCAGCTCCTGTAGTGCGGAAAGAAGTTTTTCCTCTTTAAAAAGAATAAAAGATTAGTTTTGATCAACTATGAGCGAAGATCGATTGAATAGCTTAGCTCTGATGAACATTTATTGGAATGTAAAAGTAAATGTGGAAAGTGTCATCGATTGATTCGCAAAAAATAGAAAGCATACGATCGATTTTGTTCTATAATTTTATGCTTCCTTATTTTAATTTATATTATAAATATTAAATGATAGATAAATGATAAATGTTATTGTTTTATAATTAATGTACAATAAAAGCTATTGAAAAATGATAAAAATCATTTCTTCCCCACCATTCTTAGGGAGGGGGGATCGATGGATCCGCCCCTGTGATAGTGTATTTATATAGGCATCTGAAGTTGAACTATAGGAGCCTTTTATCTATTTTGATTATATTTTTTTCATTTTTAAAGCTTTAAAATTAAATTCATCAATTTGCCTTGACTTAAATTTCTTTTGACAAATTTTCTTGTTTTACTTTTAACAGCTGTTCTTACACAACTGTTTATTGATTTTAAAAATGAGTTATACTTTTTCAGACAAAATTAAAGGATTACTTTTCCAGTACTGTAAACTCTCTTAAAGCCGAATTTCACGGAACATCGAAATTTTTCGGCTTAACGAGCTTTTTGACTAGGAGAGAGTTCATCTCAAACGTTTTCATCGATTTTGATTATGAACTATTCAATTCCATCAAAAGATGAAGTAATTCGGACTCACAAAATTGGAATGAAATAATCATTGGCACTAGCTGTGAACTGAGCGAGTAAAAAGAGCAGAAGAAGCCCGTAAGCACTGGCTGCGTGCGAACCAGTGGAAAAGTACTTGAGCAGTACACTCCCTTTGACGATGCCTCGGGACGTCGCCTCGATGGCGTTGCCTCGTTGCTCGGCGAATCTCTCCTTATCGTCGGACGCATCGATATTCGTGACCTGCCAGGCAAAATTTCGTTATCGGCCATTACGTGTGAAATCAGCTGTACAGATCAGCTCTTGTTCGATGATCGTCGTAGCGAATTAAATAACAGACAGATAATAACAATAATAGTATAAAAACTCACTCGTTTGACGTTCGAATCCGATTTATGTTTGTCCTCGCTAGCATTGTTGTTGTTCTTTGACTTGGCGTCTTGCGCAGCGAGATTTTCGTACTCTGGAAAATCCTTCAAGAGGTCGGAGTATCGATCGAATTGGCGCACTCGACCTTGATCCAGCAGCAGAATCACGTCGGCGCCCTTGAGATATTGCAGCTGGTGAGTCGCGAGCACGCGAGTTTTGTCGCCGAGGTAGCCTCGCAGACACTTGTCGAACAGGTGCTTGCCCACGTGAGCGTCGACGGCACTCAGTGGATCGTCGAGCAGGTAGATGTCCGCTTCTCTGTAGACGGCCCTGGCCAAGTTGATCCTGGCCTTTTGACCACCCGATAGAGAACTGCCTCTCTCACCTACGATGGTCTGATCACCGTATGGAAATTGCTTGAAATCCTTTTCCAAGGCACAGGCCTCCACGACCTTTTCGTATCTTTCCTCGTCGTAAGCTTGACCGAAGAGAATATTTTGCCGTACACTGGCGCCAAACACCCAAGCCTCCTGACTGGCGTAAGCTAGCTTTCCCTGGATACTTACGCTGCCCCGAATCAGACACATTTCTCCGAGAATCGTCGACAGTAGTGAGCTTTTTCCCGAGCCAACGGCTCCGATAACCACGTAGAGCTTCCCTTTCTTCACCTCCAAGTTGACGTCATCGAGGACCGAATTGGACGAGTCGAAATTCCAGGCAGTGTCAACTTGGTCGAACTTGACGATCCACGAATCGTCCGAGCCTCGGCAATTCGAGTATCTCTGCACCAAATTGCTCGTCACCAGAGTGAGATTGAGTTTTTTCTTGCTTTTATTGACCTTCTCGTCGAAACCGACGTCGTTGTTGATCATCGATAAATACAAACTCCTCGAATCGGTCTTATCGGTCAAGCAAACGTTACTCTTCACGTTTTGTCGATCGAACTCATCGAGCAGCAAGAAATTCTGCAACCGACGCGCCGCCACAACGCACTCGACCACCTCGACGATGCCCCTGACGAAGGCGTTCGACATGACGTGCGCCAGCAGATTGAAGTACGACGTGTAGACGAAGACTCGGTCGGCCGTGATGAGGCTCGAGTCAAGAAACGACAGACTGACGAGGGTGCCGAACAGGGCCAGCCGCGTCGTGAACAGATTGAACGAGATAAACATGCCGCGCAGGTACGAGCTCTTGCGCACGATCTTGAGCTCGAGGCGCCGAGCGAGTTGGACCAAGGCACAAAATGGTTTTTCCCAGGCGTACATCTTGATCACTTGTACGCCCGAGATGATCTCGTCCATGAGGCGAACCCGCTCGTCGGTCTTTTGAGCTGTTTGAGTGCGATACTTGGATGCCAATTTGCCACAAAATGCTGACGAACGCAAACAATTTTTCAATTAAATCTAGATTCTAAAATTTAGCTGGATGTGCGATCGGTACCTTGAATAAAAACGATGACCAGCAATATGAAAATACCGATGAGGCCGGCATAACCAGCTTCGTGATAAAGAAGGACGGTGATTGTCAAAGTCGTCAGCGGAGCCGACCACATGTAGTGCCAAAAAATCGACACGTACTCGAGTCGATTGACGTCGTTGGCCGTGAGATTGACGATTTTGCCGGGGGACACTTGATTCAGAGCCGCTTTGCTGAGTCGCAGCGACTGTTGGATATGGAAAACGATAATGAGAAGCAAAAGGCGCAAAACTCTACTGAATTGTGCAATTTCGATGTACCTTTCTGTAGACGAGGGAGCACACGGCAATCCTGATGCGACCACCCGCGTGAAAAGACCTGAAGATCGACTGATTGATCGCGATCGCGTTGACGGCCGACGCCAGTGATATTCCACCGGCGTAGAGCAGGGCATTGTAGTACGACGATCCGGTCACTTTTTCACCGGCTTTGAAGTACTGCAGCAGAGCTCCCAGTACCAGAGGTGTGCCTATCCTACAAGTACAGCAGGTTGAAAAAAGTGAAAAAGAAAAAATATCGGACAAACATTATGCATTTACCCAACGATGATTTCGTTGAGAAATTGTATACATCCGAGCACGATGTACTCGTACATGAAGGTTCGATAGATCGTTTTCAGTAGATTCGGCGATTTTCCGAGTCTTTTGGCCTTCTTGACATTTTCGTTCCAACGTCTGCAACGATCATCGATAAAAATAACCGAAATAAATGTAATCGTGCTGCTGATTGATATCGAGCGACTATGTGACGTGAACTCACCTTTCTAACCGATCGCCGAGTACACTCGAACGATCGTTGCGCAACGGCTCGTACAGATCATCGAGACCCAATACTTTTCTGTATCCCTTTTTGAACAGACCAATCGTCCAGCTGCAAACGCAGGAAATCTTGAGAAACTTTTCATATTTGCTTAAACATTTTCTCACGAATCAGTATCTCACTCGTGGACACTTACCACCACAACAACACTGAAGCGATATTGGCTCTTTGTCTAGGATTTGGAATACTCGCTTGCTGACCGGTGTCCATTATTGCACCTCCGCTTTACGATTAATATTATGACACAACGAATGAAATGATTTTCGCGTGAACTTTTGTGACCCGTTAGAAACGCGCGTCCGATCGCACAGCAAGTCGAGTCGACATGCTTACAACAATTGATTTGTTTTTTCTTCCTCGAAAGCATCCAATGCGTTATTCGATCCCCCTTATCGTTCAATGACAATTGATTATATTATGTTAAAGCCTCGAATTATTCCACCTCTCGACGCCTCGGTATTTTTGCACCGCGAGATATTTAGAATCCGATTGGTCATGTACGTATTTTTTCAGTCGTGCCTCGCATTTTTCGGCAAACATTGCGCAGTGCATCCGCCGAAATGCTCTTGAAAACGTCGTGGTTGCGTTAGTTTTTCCTCGCGAGGCGCAAAGTTTTGTTTTGCGACGCAATGATATCAAAATATAATACTCGTTGGGACAAGATAATGTACGTTTTCATTTTCGTATTTACACCGAGAGACTAACGCTACGCTGTGTTACGCACAATGTTTTTGTACAGATTTTTTTTATCAAAGTTCATCATCTACAATGTGAGTCGAAATTTTATTAAAATAATGAACTTATTAGAATGTTAAAAATATTCTTAATAATTTAAATGGAACGATGCTACCGAATGGTTATGCAAAATCAAACACCAAAATCTATTAACCACTTGAAAAATTTAATAATAGGCTATCAAAAATATTGATCTTTTTAAAAGTAATTCAAAAAATATTTGGTATCTTTTTTAAAATACTATTGTAACTGTTGTTAAAAATTTTATGTTGTAACCTTTTCTAAAAAGAAAGTTAGCATCCTTTTTGACAGGATCTAAAGGTACAACAGTAAATGTAATATATTACTTCTCAAAAAAATAGTATGTGTAATCATTCAAGAAATAAATGGAAGATAATTAAGTCGTCTCTTGGTGGCATCCCACCTTAAACTTATTTTTTTTAGTAAATGATGTATAAAATTGAAATTTCAGAATTGACACTCAATTGATAGTAAATGATGTTTGGTATTATCTTTGGAAACCATTACAAAACCAAAAGGCAAGATAAGTTTTATACGCGTCGTTTTTATGCGGTAAATAAAGTGAAGAAAATTTTTTAACACTTTAATTTTATTCATATCAAATTGTAAATGATACAGAAATAGGTATAAAACTTTATATTAGAAACTAGTTTGAACACTTATAAGTACGAACGTCGTAAGACTTGCACTCCTCAAAAAGATTAATTACTATATAATAATTATTCAACCCTTTCCATAGCGTAACTAGACTACAAAAACAGTCTATACTGGAAAATGATCTTTTGATGTACATAATATAAAATTTAAAATTAAAATTAAACAATTTCGCACACTCTCATCATTCACATAGGCATCTATTACTTTCACATTTTTAAAAATATTACTACGACTTTGACAACATCTTATGTAAAAAATTCGTATAAAAATAAGCTTTGTCGAGTCGGTAATACAATGGGTAAAACATAAAACATTCAATAAATACTATACAACAATGATTTAACAATTAGCGAGCAACAACAAGTCGTCGTTATCACACGTCAAATCCGGGTTACTTAACCCAGGGCATAAAATTTGTATGAAAAAATTACTTGGTTATTATAGTACCATTTGTTTAGGTTTTTTCACTTTCAACAAAGTACCGTTCGCCTCGTTAAAAAATTCTATATACAAATACAATATATTAGAAAATATTTTGTTAATGAAAAATTATTAATACTTTTGGTACTCGGTCGTCGAATACCGTCACTCGAAATGATATCCTCAGCTATATAAAAAAAATTTTTTCTAAACGCAATTGCACACTGACTGTATTCTATTAATAGGTCAACGAATTCAATCTAACACTGGCATACTCGCGTTCGTAAGATTCCTTGGCCACCTTGCACAATTGCTCGTACATGGCATCGCCGGTTTCTTTGACCAGCGAGGTGAACTCGCCGAATTTGTCTTGTAACAGTATGTGCGGGTGATCGAATTCCTACAAAATGAAAATAAATTTTAGCTTTTTTTTTAAATGTAACAAATAAAAGTTGACGATATATTTCAGAATTCTTACCACAAGGCGTCCTTTGTCCATGACGAGGACTTTGTTGCTGTCCATGATGGTATTGAGCCTGTGGGCGACGGTGAGAACTGTACAGGGGGCGAATTTGGTCCTGATGGTCTTCTGAATGAGGGCGTCGGTCTGAGGGTCGACATTGGCCGTGGCCTCGTCCAGCATCAAGACTCGATTGTTTCGCAAAATCGCCCGAGCAAGACAGATCAGTTGGCGCTGTCCAACGCTGTAATTCGAGCCCCGATCGTGGACTCGATTCTCTAATCCATTGTTTGTTTGCTTGACTGCGTCTTTCAACTCAACCTCGTCCAGTACATTCCACAACTGTTCGTCGGAAAATTCATTGAACGGATCGAGATTCCTTCTCAAAGTTCCCGAGAAGAGAACCGGATCCTGCGGGATGATGGAGATGTTCTTTCTGAGATCTTCGAGGGATATTTTGCCGGTGTCGATTCCGTCGATCTCGATGACACCCTCGATCTTGGCTAGTCTGAACAGAGCCGCGATCAGAGATGACTTTCCTGCCCCGGTCCGCCCGACGATACCGACTTTCTCGGTTGGATTGATGGTCATCGTCAATTCCTTGATGACGGGCGGATCATTGTCCGCGTATTGCAGGAACACATTGTCAAAGCGAACCCCTCCGGCTTGCGGCCAATCAGCCGGCACAGGTTTGAGCTCCTGTTCTTCCTGCGGCTTCTTCTTCTTCTTTTCCTGCTTCGATGACAGGCCCTTGTCCTGGAGATTGGGCTCGGGCGACAGGAAAGCGTACTCCAGGACGCGCTCGACTGACATTAGCTGATTAGCGACCTCGGCACTCTGACGCATTCCCCACTGAATCATTCCGGTGGTCGCCATAACTTGGGTGATGGCCAAACCCACGCTACCCGCGGGAATCTGTGTCTGTATCAGGAGAAAACTGAAGGTGACCAGTGCCGTGAAAATGAAGCAGAACAGATCCAGGGAGAAGCCGAAGGCCGTGCTGGTGGTGATGGCCAAGTACCAGGCCGACGTGTTGGTGTCTTGGAAATTGTCGAATTCCTTTTTGAGAACCTCGTGAGCATTGCAGGCGCGAATGGTCGTTAAGCCATTTAGCGTCGCCGTCAGGTGGGTGAATACCGGTGAACGAGCTAGAAAACAGATTCGAAAATTTAGAAACTATTCCAGAACATTGAAAACTCGTACCACCAACGATATTAAATCGAACTCACTCATTCCCTCCAATCTCTTGATATTTTTACTGGTCTTCAAAAACACTCGTCTGATAAAGTAGAAGAGCACACCGATCACGACGATCGGCACCAAGAAGTAGTAATTGACCATGCAACTGACAATGAGCGCACCGGCGACCTGGAAGATGATCTGGCCCGAGTCGAGCATCGTCTTGGGCAGTAGCTCGTCGATGGCGCTCATGTCCTTGGAGAAACGATTGAGTATGCGGCCGCTCGGGTTCTGGTCGAAGAATCGCATGCTGGCCCGGATAAGGGCGCTGAAGGCCAGATCGTGCAGACGCTGACTGCAGGTCATGCAGCCCACGTAGAAGATGATGGAGCGCAGCATGCCGATGCAGAAGACCGCGAGCACGAGGAACGTGTACAGGTAGATGTAGTTGTCGCGCGACCAGATGCTCGCCTCGTCGATGATGCTGCTCGTGCGATTGGCCTCGCTCTCGCTGATGTTGTTCTCGTGTATGAATTTGTAATACGCTCGAGATTCCTCGGCCGTAGTGCTGTAAATGGAGTTGGGTCGTGTTTTACGATTCGGTATTTGGATAAATCGAGTCGAGGATAATCGAGGTAAAAATACTCACAGAATTGGGACGAAAAAGTCGCAACCACTGGCCATCAACTGGGTCACAATAAACAAGAAAAGAATTATCGCTCCTACGAAGAGGTTTGATCCTTCTCTGAAGTACGCGATAAGGAGATCGCCTTTCACTATTCCGCGAGACGAGCCTTCCAAGTATTGCATGGTTTTTTCCGGATCCTCGGGGTCGTCCTCGTTATCGGAGTCGAGGGCACTGGAGTGGCTCTGAAAGAAGAATTAGCGCGAAATGAAAATCGATTCTCACTGATCATCGATTCACACACGGGCACGAGAGAGGCAATTTCGAAAGGATCAAACTCACCCTTATGCTCGATTGGGAAACGGAACGCATCATCATGTTGTTCTCCGGACTCTTCTCCTCGCTCGCTTCGTTCGCCTCGTCCTTCTCGGCGATGAGACTGTTGTATTCCGGATGTTCGCGCAGAAGCTCGCGATAATCCGAGAATCGGCGCACCTTGCCTTGGTCGACCAGATAGATGACGTCGACACCGGCCGGAAGATACTGGAGTTGATGGGTAACGAGTATGCGAGTCTTGCCGCGCAGATACTTCATCAGACACTCGCTGAACAGATGTTTTCCGACGTGGGTATCGACCTAAGTAAACGAAAAAAAAAGTTTATTGCCACTCGCGTAATTCGAATCTCAATAAACAAAGTTGAAAATGTCCTCACAGCGCTGAGCGGATCGTCCATAAGATAAATATCCGCTTGTCTGTAAACTGCTCTGGCCAAATTGAGTCGAGCCTTCTGGCCACCCGACAGCGAGCTGCCTCGCTCGCCCACGATGGTCTGGTCGCCCTGCGGGAACTGCTTGAAGTCCTTCAGGAGCGCGCAAGCCTTCACGACTCTGTTGTATCTCTGCCTGTCGTAGGCCTGGCCGAAGATGATGTTCTGCCTGACGGTGGCGCCGAACACCCAAGCCTCCTGACTGGCGTAACTGACCGAGCCCTTGACTCGCACGTTGCCGTGTATCAGCGTGATCTCGCCGAGTATGGCCGAGAGCAGCGAACTCTTGCCGGCCCCGACTTGGCCGATGATGGCGCACAGCTTGCCCGTCTCCACTTCCATGTCGACGTTGTTCAGGGTGGGCTCGGACGAGCTCAGGTTCCATTTGGCCTGCAAGTTGCTCAATTTCACGGACCATTGATCGCTGTCGCATTCTTCGTTGTACTGACTGAGAAATTAGCGAGAAAAAAACAATTATCAATAAGATACGACTCACGAGCAATACCATTTGGGACTTGATGAACTTACTTTGTAATTTTCGTGTTCTCCAGAGACTCGTTGGAGCCGTCTCTTTTGAGCAAGTCACTGGCCACGATAACTAAATTCTGTCTCTCCTTATCGCGTCCGTTTCTCTCGTCGAATCCCACCTCGTCGTCGATGAACGGCAAGTCTTTGGTCGTCATTTGCTGTCGGCTCTCGATGCAGTTGCGCGTGAAAGCCGTGTCGTTCTTCACGTTTCCGGCCTGGAACTCCTCGAACAGCAGGAAGCGCTGGAGCCGGCGCAGCGCGACGTTGCACTCGAAGATCTCGGCGATGCCCCGAATGAACATGCCGGACATGGTGTGCGAGAGGATGTTGTAGTACGACGAGTAGACGAAGATCTCGGACGCGGTGATCTTCTTGTCGGTGAGCATGAGGGTCAGCAGTGTGCTGAACAGCGCCATCCTCGTGGTGAACAAGTTGAAGGTCATGTAGATGCCGCGAATGAAGGAACTCTTGCGAATGACCTTGAGCTCGAGGCGACGAGCCAGCTCGATCAGTTTGCAGAACGGCTTCTCCCAGGCGTACATCTTGATCACTTGTACGCCCGAGATGATCTCGTCCATGAGGCGAACTCGCTCGTCGGTTTTCAGAGCTGTCGCTCCGCGATACTTCGAGGACAATTTGCCGGTGTAAGCTGACGAAGGCAACGTTTGATTAAATTTCAAGCTCGAGGACAAATTCCTTCAAAAAAAGTCTGTCTTGTACTCACTTTGTATAGGTACTACGAATACGACGAAAGTCAAACCGGCCAAGCCGGCCCAACCGGCTTGTTGGAAGAGTATGACGGCTATGATTATCGTCTGTATCGGTGCTGTCCACATGTGATGGATGAACACCGAGACGATGTCGAAGCGGTTCACGTCGGTCGCCACCAAATTTACTATTTTACCGGGCGATGACTCTCCCAGCGCCGTCGCGCTCAATCTTAACGCCTGTCAAAAGATCGACAAAAATTACACGTGTATCGATTAATTTTACGAGTGCGCTGACTTTGGCTCTAGATTTATGCGCGAATCGATTATTGCTTTACCTTTCTGTAAACGAGCGAGCACATGGCGATTCTTATCCTACCGCCGATATGAAAGGCGCCAAAGATAGCTTGGTTCATGGTTATAGCTTGGATGAACGCGGATAAGGAAATGGCGCCGGCAAACAACAGTGCCCAGGTGTACGTCGGCTTATCCTCATCTGGATTGACGCTAAAATACTTCAATAGCATGCCCAGAGCCATGGGTGTACCCAACCTAATTGAAAAAAAAGTATTTATAGTTTTCGATTGATAAAATAGAACGTTGCTTATTTAGCAATTAAGATCTCACGTACCTGAGAATCAATTCATTTAGAAATTGTATCACTCCTAAAACAAAGTACTCGTGTAGAAACGTGTGAAAAACACTTTTCATCAAGCTCGGTTGCTTTTTGGTTTTTCTCGCCTTCTGCAGATCTGCGCTCCATCGTCTGAGTAACAAAAAAAATTTCCAATATTTATTTTTTGACAAATTGGGTTTTGCGGTTCCCGCGCGCGTGCGCTCGTGCATCGACTAATGACAATTATCGAATTATCTGCACAGCTTCATGAAAATTCAATATTTTAAGCTTTTAAAATTTCAAGGAAGTCTCGTCAAACAGTGGAATTTTAATTGTTTAATTAAAGCTCGACACGTACGGTGCAGCGATTAAACATACGCGCAAAAATAAGTTCGAATTATAAAGAGCATTAAAAAATTAAACTTACGCCTCTAATCGATCGCCTAGTTTAGCCGATTTATCTTCTGTTAAAGGATCGTATAAATCCTCGAATCCTAAAATTTCACTGTATCCTTTTTTGAAAATGCCAATTGTCCACCTGAAATAACATCGATTAGTGATTTAAAAATGAAAAGATATAAGCAAGCGACATTATCTGACTTTATCAATATATCATTGTATTTTTATTTTTAGATAATGGTAGAATTTTCTAATTGAGAAATGATTTGCACGTATCAGTAGTAGCTAGATAAGACATGTAGGTACAAAAATTCATGGTCACAGTTCTATTCACAACTTATAATATACTAGGTTGAACGCGCGTTTGAAAAATTGATTGATTTTACGCTATAACATATTTTTAAAAAAGTCAAATTATGAATAGTTATAAATTACATGAATTACTATAAATCTATGTTGAACTGGTCTTTGAATGAAAATGATCTAGCCCTAAAAATTGTCAGTAAAATTTTATTTCGCCTCAAAAACACGGTGCATATTACTATCATAAGTACATGTAACATGTTTCATAAATTCTCGTTAAAATGCAAAAAAAATACTTTGCGGTTTGAAAATTGCCAAGTGTTTCCGAGTGTCGATTAAATAACGCACCACATAGTCACTTTCGAGTATTATCATTCAGGTTTTAAATATAATAGATAAAAATCGGCTTCGTAATTTATCAAAGTTGCGAAATGAACTTTAATCGTTTTATAGCGGTTGTTGAGAAACGATGATTATACTAGCACGTCCAAAAACGTTTGAAAAAATAAATTGTTCAAATAGTAATTTGCTTACCACCAAAACAGCACCGAAAAGGTATTGGCACTCTCCCTTGGATTCGGCACCGATTCGTTCACGTTGCTGTCCATGTTAAGCGACGATGGCAATGATCATCCAGTCGCGCTCTCGGGCACCACTCGCGCGTCACGAACAATTCACGAAATCAAAATTTTCAAAAAGCAACAAGCTGGTATTGTATCACACACACACTAGATATTATTTTTCTTTTTTTCTTGATCATATCACTGACGCGTCACCTGTTGCGAAGCCCATTCACTCGGTTTTTCGTGTGACAAAACGACGATTAGAGACGAAAGTGTCAGCGACCGTGAATAATAGCAGCAGCAGAAGTAGCAACAACAGTAGTAGTAAGTAGTAGTATCGTAGCAGCCTGAGAGTGATTGAGATGTGACGACGTCAGCGCTGCCGCTGATAGTGACGACTGGTGTCTCGCGCCTTCTGTATTTGTAAGAAAACGAAAAATCATTTATCATCGTTCGCGTGTAAATAGTCGACTTTTATCGGTCTTAATGAACAATTATTAGGGGCTTTCACGGTGGATCTCTGCGAAACAAGGCCTAATGAAGTCTTGTCGTGACTATCAGAATATTTTTTTCATATTTCCAATAAACCATAGCAATAGTTTAACTGTATAGACAAGTTTTTTTGTCTTTACTAAAATATAAAAGGATAAGATTCGCATATTGCAAATACAATGTATTATCCATGCGTCATGGGTTTTCACATTCCGGAGAAAATTATTAATTAATAAATGACTCGAGCCAGTACTTTAATGCGCTTGATATACTTGTAATTTGTCAAAATTCATCTCATATAAAATTTACAGTTATCAAAATGATGTATTTAGTGATCATTATCGAATCGATTAATTGAATTGTTTTTTTTTTATGATTGGTTGTTTTTCAACATCAAGTCGATTACTCTATTTTTTAAAATACCTATTACATTTGTAAACAAAAAACAGCCTTATTAGACAGTAGTTGTAAAAACGGAGTGATATACTGAAAAAGCACCATCTATGACCAACATTCGATGAAAAATGTAGTAAATGCATCTGATGAAAAAAATTCAGTAGTTGCTTATGTTCAATTACAGCATGAATGAAGCGTGATTTCAGTATGAGTAAGGTGAAGTGACTTGTTATTTTTCTTTAGCTGTGATGTATTTTGTAGATATAAAATCTGTCATTAAAGAAGTGTATTAATTTCAGCTATAAAGTGTATTTGTTTACTCTGATGATCATGATGTTCAATCAAAAACTTATTTTGTACAGCAACAGTAAATATGATATAATTTTTTTGAGAGTTGTTATTGTCTTTCAGCAGCAATTAAACAATTTGCAGCGCGAAGCAGCTGATTGTCCTAAAAATTCTCGTGCTTATTGTGTTTTTAAATTTTCAAATTGAAAATCATCTAGTTCCAGTTCTCTGATACGTATTAAAATAGTATTTAAATTTACGATATTTCAACTGATACTTGTCTGATACTGGGTCGAAGTTATTACTTCACTGAATTTATCATTTGCCTTATTAAAAGTCTTTGCAAAAATGTAAAAAATGAATGATAATTATCTGTGCACAAAACTGGTTGTGCTAATTACTTATGTTTTTTTAATTGATCGCACGCACTCGAATAATCAATCACAAATCAACGCTCGATTTTGAATGATCAATCATGATTCTTCTTACTGAAAATTGCTCTTATATCTCTCGATTTTCACTGAATCATCGATAGTGTGACTAGTAATGTCCACGCAATAGTAGTAAATAAGCGATAAGAATCAATATAAGTGACAATAAGTACTTGTGAACTATTGTATCGGCGATGTTTGCGGTATTATAGTTTTGTCAAATCAGTGTGATACGGCAGAAAAATCTCAGTTGTCAACAAGCTTGTCATCAGCAATTTTATTCATTTTATGCGTTATAGTCGTACTTCAAATCTCGTTGTTAAGGTAATATAACATCGGATGATTTCGATCGCGCCACGCGGTTCATTGGCACGTAAAATAAGTTGACGTTTCATTATTATAAAAATTTTAAGATGAATATTTTTGATTGTCATGCTAGCGCATATTATTAAGCGATGCGCGAGCGCGAGCGCGATCGAACTTTATCAGCCTTCTCGCGTCGTAAAGAGGAAATTTTTGTGGATTACTGTGCGGAATCATACATTTATTAATACTAATAAATTACTCGGCACAAACAACGCATCGCGTCAGACGCCAATTTTCCATCTTTTTGCTTACTCTCTCCTTAATTGTTTAATATTTTTAGGTAGTCCAAAAATTATATACGTAAGATATTTTATTCGTTAATCCAAAGCGAGTAATTTATAATGCAGCTGCACATCGTAAGTAGCAGGCTAATTAAAAGCCTGAAATTTACAACTTTATCGCGTTTTATTTTATCGAGATGTATGATCTTTTATAACGGCATGATTATTGGAAAACTTTGAATCAAGAAGTTGTCATAATTTACAAAACTTTGATTCTCAATTATATTGAAAAACTTAATTTGAATAAAAATCGGTACGATCAAATAAGTATCGCGTAAAGTCAAACGTTGGATTCGTATCTCGGCGTTATGTAAAAATGTATGCAAAGAATTGTTCAAAGCAAGTATATACCCGTGAGTCAATATTGTTTGTAAAAACATTAGACTTGAGATTATACCGAAAAAAAAGTAGTTTACTCTTCTTGTGTATTTTAACCTTGTATTTTCTTAGGAACACTTTGTAGTGGGTTTTTTTTCTCGCGAATAATACGTTCTATTGTGCCCGATCGAACCTTTGACAATCCAGATATTTTTTTCTATGAATAAGGAAAAAAATTAAAATTGTAGATGATTACTACTGGAAATTATTTTTTCGAATCGTCAAAGCAAGAGGAATAACTGCCATAGTTCGTATACGCGAAGTCGCCAAGCTGAAAATAGCATGATTAGTATAAATATCACGCAGCAGTTAAAGCCACTATTGAGTCGCGGGTCAGTCGTACTCTCGCATGGCGTCTCGTTATAATACAGCTAAGCCGCAAGACGTTTCTATAGCCGGATGATACTCCCGCTTGCGCTATTACGCAACGTACACCGCTTTCTGCCTGATAATAATGCCGCTTCGACCCCGACTAGCATCTTCATTAATCTCTCGCGTGTGCAGCTCTTTCCAAGGCACATTTGCAACAATTGAGTCTTAATTTTTGCGTCGTCGAGAAGATGAACGTGAGAGTCGGATGACTTTATCCTCGATCGCTCGATTAATGATGCGAGAGATAAAAAGAATTGCTGAGCACAGGCCCCTTGACAAAAGTAACAACTGTTTCAACTTGTTTCACTGTGACGGAGCGCCTGTTCAAACGAGATGATTTACTTAACTATGTGGTACTATAGAATCGATGCTTTGAGCTCGATATACAGGAAACAATATCGTTCGTCTCATGAATAAAACATGGATATAGTTCGCGCGCACGAGAACAAGTAGTTTTTTTACATGTAACCACTCGTCGGCAAGTGTCTCGATCGTTACGATAACTAATTGTATCGGTCGAATATTATAAACGCGTATGACTCGATAACGTTATAACTACGAGCCACTGAAAAAAAGTATTCTACGTTTTTTTCGACATTCATCGTGATAAGAGCTTTTTTCGCGCTAAGACAAATATTCCCGGTTGATTTCGCGTGTCGGATTAATATTACAAACGCGAGTACACCCAGCGTTGAAAATTCAAATTTGTTTAATGAAGTTTCTCGCTAAATTCGTGCGCATCGACGGCACTGTTTTATTTTTTTGTTAGCGTGCGAATGTATACGTTGTGAAACGAGCTCATTGAGTGTTTGGCCCGAGCGTGCAAATGTGTATATCTTGCATCGTTGGTGGGTGCCTGTTTACGGTGCTCGATATAATACTGCGACGAGTCTCTCAAGTTGACATAAGATCGCCTATCTCAGGTCATTCATACCAAATGACGATCGAAAATTGCATTCGTCTGCGCATGGGTACAATATACATTTTTTCTTGAGTAAACTTGAAAATGTACCAATTGGCGCACTCTTAAAACCGGTAAAACGGCTTATATACTTTTGTGATTTATTTGCTCGTAGTTTCCAGCGACGTAAATATTCTTTTATGCGCCTAGTGCATTATTACAAGTATTTCATTGATAAATCAGTAATAAGTTTATCTTAAGTTTGCACAAGATTATGCGAATCACACGTTCAAAGATTCCGAGAGATTATATCGGACGAAGAAAATACGGGTCAGCGCAAAGTGCTTTCTTCATAATACGCTCCCGGACGCAGTGCTAGCTGCGTGCAGTCATCTCGCATTTAGTCATGTACGCACACACGTGTCCACTGCGCATTTATGTGACGTTATGTCGCAATTGCTGCGCTTGGATCGGCGAACGCGCTTCATCGATAAAACTACTATCGATTCGCTATAAATTTTTTTATTAAAAATCTCGCTGTTTTTTCTTATCGGCGCGCGCGTCTATACGCATAAACAAACTGCACGCGGCTTTACTTTTTATTCGCGAGCTATTGTTTCCGCTGGGTTCGAGCTATACGTCACAGACCGAAATATATAATAAAAACATATCGAATGCGATAAATGTAGATAAGCCCGGACATACATCACCGAGGCTCTCGGAGAATATGTAATAGAGTCCAGATTGTAAATAATGCAATTATACTATTATGCATGTTTTGTCGTACGTACAGCGTGTCGATACATATTTATAAGCCCGGCCAAAGTTGATCCCGTTCCTCTTTTTTTTCTCATTTCCAAAGACGTCATTTATTTGCGTAAAAATTAGCCAGTCACTTTTTATGGGTGCAAAATAAAATTGTTAAAAAATGTTTTTCACGAGTGAGCGACGACTAGACTGAGATCGCGAGCTGAGCACACAAGCACATGGGCAAATTCCGAGCGGCTTCTTTATGACAGAACCTCGTATTTTTATACCGAAAACCACCTCTTCACCCAAGTCCTATGTAAATATACACTGCATATGTAAGGCGCAAAGTTACGCGCGAACTATTCAATCGCGAAGTGCTCACCACGAGGCGTATATATTTCCGTACGATGCTCCAATAACATTCGTATTTATACACACATTTTTACATTATAAATAAAGACGCGAGTTCACTACTGCAATGATAGTGTACGACTGCGAACAAAGTTTTTTAATGACTAAACTTTCGTCTCACTCACCCGCTGGATTAATCATTGTACGCTTGCAAAAGCATACGAGAACAGAACGTCGCGCTGCTGAATGCGTTAGATTCTTCGTGAGCTGTCATCGTGACAGCGATTGTAGTGCAACGATAGCGGCGGTGGCGGCAGCAGTAACAGCAGCAGTAACAACAACAACAACAACAACAACACTAGCAGTAGACACACCGGATGGAACACATACTCTGTTTTCCCCGTAATATACTATGTTTTATTCCCGCTGATTTTCCTTGTATATGTTGCGAAAAATAATAATCGCGAGGAGCACTTATGCAAGAATCCGTTGCACGACGAATGTAACGGTACGAGTGCAGCAGACGCTGCGTTGCATATATATAACATAAAATGGGCACGCGACACGCACGAGAGCCAGCTCCCGACTACTATAGAGCATAGCAGCAGCAGCAGCAGCACAATTGTGGAGAGGCGGCCACCAACCACTTGGAGCGCGTATGCGGAATTTTTACGTCTCTTTCAGCTTCTCTCTCACTGCTGCTGCTGCTGCTTTTTTTACTTACTGCTCTCCGCTGGCTTTGTATTGTGTATACACATCTATATATTATGCGACGAGACGAGCCTTACTATGTTTAACCTCCGGCCGCGCGCGGGGCAGTGGCGGCGAAATGCCACGCGTTAACGCTATACGACCCTTTAAAGTCGCGTTCACATCGTTGTAGTTGCTGCAGGTGCAGATTTTAGGCTGCACCCCGGCTACACGTATAGGGCCGATCATTTGAATCCAGCTCCTTTAATAAGTGCGTAAACTTATCTCACGTGAGCCAGCGGAGCAAGGTTGAATCGCCGAAACGTGCGAAAGGCATTGTTACGAAATTCACAAAACCGGTTTGCACGTTCCTTGATATATCATTATTACAAAAAAGTGGCAGTTCTAGCGAGGCGTTCACTTGTTCGATTTGAATTATGCAATCCACGACCGAATCGAAATTTACGACTTACGTCCGACACAAGTGTATCGTTGAGCCGATTCGCTTCGACTCGAGTGTTTTATGCGTTTATGGCCCTTTATCGAATTCGGACTTTTGACACTTGTCATCATTCATAAGGTGCACTTTATTGCCGTTATTTCTTCGTCACTCGTTTCATCGTGCTATATCATAATAAAAGCTGCTCGGAACGAGACAAAATTAAATTAATCGTGGCTCTGATCGCGCCGAAATGTATTCGTAACTTTGCTACAACTTGTGTCGTTCAGTTGTTTAAACACCGTCGCGTACAGTACACACATGTGTCGATCGTCCCAACATATTGTGAAAAGCCCCGAGAACTCATTTCAAAGGCGAAGATGATGAAATTTCAACAACAATAATGTAACGCTAATTGTGCTCACAAAAAATCATGAAAACAGCACGGATGTGTGAATTTTATAGAGCAAAAAATTCGTTTGTTCCCTAATTCTTTATACTCGTAATTATTACTCATAAGTCAAATCGAAATTCATCCGATAAAAAGTTATTTATATAAAAATTATATTAATATTGTAATAATATATCTATCGATCAAACCCCACCTTTTCTTAGTCATTTATGTATCTTGTTTTCTATTTCTGAGAAGTACTATAAACTGCTGTGTAAAAATGAAAATTTCCATTTCAATTTTTATCAATTCAACGGGATGTTATGCAAAAACTTTAATACACTTTTGTAAATAATGTTTTGATCGATTTCAGGAAATAAATTAGAAAGTGTGTATTTTTACGCTAGCTATACAATGTCCCCTTTGATATACTTGTGGCAACACAATAATTAACAAAAAATTATTACAATAATCGTATAAATTTGTGATTTATTATCAACTATTGAACAAATTAATATCTATATTAATTTATTATTAGGCTAAATTTGATTAACTGAATATATAGGTTATCAAATTTTAAAAAACTACACTTATTAAAGATACTAATGTTTTACATTCTCTCCAAAAAAACATCTAGATAAAAATTTTAACAAAAATTACTGCACTTGAATAATTTTTTCCACGCTCAATTTATTTTTAACGCTCTTTACTTAGCAAAATAATCACTAATGTATTCTACTTGATTGCAATCTAGCAAATAATACATGTTGTCCAATCTTGAACCTCTTTTATAATCTTTTTCAAACTAATCTTGTTTTCTCTTATACAATTATAATTGATTTCGCAGATATCAATTATATGATCGATATACGTTTATTTAGAAAAATATGATTGATCAGACAATTTTAATTGAACGATAAAGTTTTTTTTGAAATAAAATAATATATGTACCACGCAAAGTTTAAACAACTCATTCATTAAAAAAAGCATACAATTCGCTATCATAAACGTTACTTTTTATCGGAGTTTTAACTATTTCGCTGTCACATTTTTACTTTTCAGCGATAATTTCTCGAACAATTAATTAATCGTTCAATTATATGCTCAGTTCGTTCACCATATCTTAGGTAATTTTGATAAAAATTTATTTTAACATGATCATTGAACGTTCACAAACATACATAAGCGAGAAGCTAAGCGTTTCTCAATAAAATTATGGGGGGAAAAGTCAAAGATACGAGTCGTAATTAAAACATAAAACTTCATTATGATTTAGCAATTATCGTGTGTAATCTTAAAAATAAATATATTAAATAACTGTATTAAAAGTATAATTATATTACATGAGGTTTTTATAAATTTTTATAACTATCATAATCTCGTTTGCTCCGTTGAGGAAGTACTTCTGACCTTGTCCTCATAAGCTTTTTGGGCCATTTGGTAGAGTTGTTCAAACATGGCGTCGCCGGTTTCGGCCACGAGTGCTCTGAACAAACTCGATTCATTTTGCAATAGAGTGTAAGGATGATCGAATTCCTGCAAGAGTCAAATTTGTTGAAAAATTAATTTCTTTTCGAATCCTCACGTTTGTATGCAGGATACTTACGATTAAATGTCCCTTGTCCATGACCATGACTTTGTCGCTGTCGATGATGGTATTGAGCCGATGAGCCACCGTTAAAACGGTGCAATTGGCGAATTTCGTCCTGATCGTCGTCTGAATCAGGGCATCGGTCTGAGGATCCACGTTGGCCGTGGCCTCGTCCAGCATCAGGACTTTGTTGTTTCTCAGGACTGACCTGGCTAGGCAGACCAGCTGACGCTGACCCACGCTGAAATTCGCTCCTTGATCCAACACTCTGCTGTCCAAATTATCACCAGATGCTATGATGGATTCTTTCAGCTCCACCTATCATTTACATTTTTTAACGATCGATTTATGCGTTCAAAATCGATGAATTTTCATCAATTTTTTCTCCAACATTCGCATAACTCACTTGCTCCAAAGCGTCCCACAAGGCTTGATCGGAAAACTCGCCGAACGGATCCAGATTACGACGGATGGTGCCTGAAAACAGCACCGGATTCTGCGGAATGATCGATATGTGACTTCTCAAATCTTCTAGAGCTATCGTGCCAGTATCCAACCCATCTATTCTGATGGTACCCTCCAATGGTGACAACCTAAACAGAGCTGAAATGAGCGAAGACTTTCCTGCTCCTGTTCTTCCAACGATTCCGACCTGTTAAAAGAGAAAAAAATATAAGTATGACAAAGGAAAATTCAAACTTTATTAAATCCCATACTTTTTCCGATGAGTTGATGAAGAAGCACAAGTCCTTGAGAACAGGATCTTCGCTCTCGGCGTATCTCAAGTAAAGATGTTCAAATTCAACGGTACCCTTGGAGGGCCAATTCGACGGCAAAGGAACCAGATTAGGCTCATCGGCATCATTGATCAATTTGTGCTTTTTCATGTACTTGTAAGAGATGCCCTTGTCGCGCAGATTCTTCTCCGGCGGTACCTGAGTGTACTCGAGTATCCGCTCGACGGACATCAAATTGTTGGTGACTTCGGCGCTCTGACGCATGCCCCACTGCACCAGCAGGACAATGGACATGAGCTGGGTGATGGCGAGACCGACTTGGCCTCCGTCGAATTCTGCAAATCGATAGTTTTATGATTGTATTTTGCGTACTAAAACCCACTAGCCTTGGTAATGATTGTACTGAAAGGACGACTCACGATCGGCTAGCATCAGAAAAGTGAACGCCGTCAAGGTGATGAAAATGAAGGTAAACATGTCCAAGATGAAGGCGTAGGCGAAGCTGCTCGTGACGAACATGTACCAGGAGGACGTGTGTACATCCTGGAAACGGTCGAAGTCGTATTTCAAATTGGTCTGGGCCTCGTAGGCTCTGATGGTCGCTATTCCGCTCAAGGTCTCGTTCAGATGAGTAAATACCGGAGATCTCGCTGCAATCGCATGAATCGTTCAATTTTTTGTTTCGATCCAAACGTTGGAATTCGTAATTTATATTTTATATACGAGTACTCACTCATTCCTTCGAGACGCTTGATGTTCTTGCTCGTCTTCAGATAAACCTTCCTGATCCAATAGCAGATGACGGCGATGATTAGTGCCGGAGCCAGAAAGATCTGATTGACGATGCAAGTGAGCGTGAGGGCTCCGGCGATGTTCAGCAGATTCTGGCCGGCGTCGAGCATGGCTTTGGTGAGTAGCTCATCGATACCGATCGTGTCCTTGGAGAAGCGATTGAGTATGCGTCCACTCGGATTGTCGTCGAAGAATCTCAGGGGAGCGCGTATGAGGGCGGAGAAGGCCCGATTGTGCAGGGCCTCGCCACTGCGCATGCAACGACTGTAATAGACGATGGTGCGCGTGAGACCGACCACGAACACGGCTACTGTCACGCCCGTGTAGAGATAAATGTAGAAAAAGGCATCGTTGGGCGTGTCCTCGATCTCGTCGGAGCTGGTTTGATTTTTCGATTCGTCGGCCCTCACTCTGTATATGAAAAAAAAACATATCGTGACATTCAATGATCTTGGCTATTTAAATTGCGACGGATTCACGACGTACATGAGGGGTACGCAGTAGTCGTTCATGCTGACGAGCATCTGGGTCCCGATGAACAGCACAGTCATGATCAGGATGACGAATACGTTGGAGCCGGCTTGGAAGTATTGAAAGAAAACGTTGCCCTTGACGAGGCCTTTGGACGTTCCCTCGATTATGTCCTCGAATTTTCTCTCCTCTTCGTCGTCTTCGATTATGCTGGTCTCTTCGGATCGGCGAATCTACACGAAAAAAATATAGGTGAGACATCATTGAAGCTTCAAAGAATAACGTTAAAATCATTTTCGTTAAAATTGAATGAAATGTTAAATAAATCTTTATGATTATTGACCGATTTACATTAAATCTGTATTCAATGTAAATTTTTTTTTCAATCATTGCACTCGACTATCCTAGTAGAAATGTTCAACTTATAAGACCAAAAAATAACATTATCACAAGTTTTAAAATATATAACCATTAATTGAATTCTTATGAATACTCAGTGCATTTTAAATGTCTTGAAAATAACAATTTAAATGTTTTAAAAAATGTAGACCCGTTTTCGACCACTCTAAGTGAGATGATATTGCTTTAACCCTCCACCACTAGATGGCGAATACCTATATCTGTAAATTTACAAGTGGCAAAGTCAAAATAATTGTATAAGTCAAGATATGGTTTTAATTTAATATGGATTCAATATTCTGATTTCTGCAAGCGACAAAGCATAAAAAGTATATTACTCCAATAATACCAAGGGACCCGCTTACCAAAAATGTTACTATGAAAATAGATACAGATAATAAAAGTGGCCGGGCTTGGCATCTTTTATAGCTACTAATACAAAAAAATAAAAATATAAAATATAATGTAAAATAGATAGCATGAATTTTATACAGCCAAAAATGGTCATTAAATAGCAAAAAAAACGTGTAACATTAGGTAATTATAAATTGTTGAAAAAAATTGTTACGCGTTTTGTTGTTGTGTATCTAACTCTGATGGCTTTTTGATTTGGACCACAACTAGACATAAAGTTCTTATTAATTTAGAAGGGTCTAGTCGAGTGATTAATGAATTAGCTGCCGAAACGTTATTACCATACTTCCCGATCTCGAGGAAAATCGTCGTCGAAGTTCAGTGGCTTGGCTCGACGCGTCGTCGTCCTCGAATTCCTCTTTCTCTCCGGCTATCAGAACATTGTACTCGGGATAGGCTTCGAGCAACTGATGATGATCCTCGTAATAGGCAATTCTGCCCTGATCCAGCAGTATGATGCCGTCGACGTCCTTGACGAATTGCAACTGGTGCGTCGCCAGGATACGAGTTTTCCCCTTCAGGTGTCGGCTGATGCACTCCTCAAACAGGTGTTTGCCCACGTGAGCGTCTACGGCACTCAGAGGATCGTCGAACAGGTAGACGTCGGCCTGGCGATAAACCGATCTGGCCAGATTGATTCTGGCGCGCTGGCCACCCGACAGCGAGCTGCCTCTCTCACCCACGATCGTGTGGTCGCCCTCGGGGAACTGCTCGAAGTCCTTGCTCAGCGAGCAGGACTTGATGACCTTCTTGTAGCGCTTCGCGTCGAACTCCTGGCCGAAGAGGATGTTCTGCCTGACGCTCGCGCCGAAGATCCAGGCGTCCTGGGGCACGTAGCTCACTTTGCCCGTCACGTCGATGCTGCCCTCGATGAGATTGATCTCGCCGAGGATCGCCGACAGGAAGGAACTCTTGCCGGAGCCGACCGTACCGATCACGGCGTATAACTTGCCCTTTTCCAGCTTCAGATTGATCGAGTCGAGTGTCGGATTGGACAGGTTCGGTGTCCACTTGGCCGTGACGTTTTTCATGACGATCGAGTGAGGTTGATCCAATAGAATTTCACTCCAGTCGCTGCAGCACAATAAATATTAAATCATGCTGCAGAAAATATGTTTGCGATTCTATTCGGTCTGGTGAAATTGTTCCGTTCATATACCCAATGAAAATTTTTTGACTTTGGAGATTTACAGTACTCCATCTATTGGTACAAAGCTCATAGTCGTACACAACACTTTTAACTTCGATGAATCCTGTTACAATACTAAACGAATCCTCCCATTTATTTGCGAAAATATAATTCACTTTTAAAATTGCTCGTCTCTCACGTGATAACCCTCTTATCAAAAGTTCCGTAAAAATATTAACTTTGTTTGGACTCCCAAAATGGCAACTTACTTATGGTACTTGTCGGTTTCTTCTGCCTCGTGTTGGTCACCGCTCATAGCCGCTCGTTTCTTCATGACCTTCAGCGCGATATCGCGATGGTCTTTGTCACTCTCGTGGTTCTCCGTGCGATTGACGTTTTTTGGTCTGAACTCGTCGAGCATGAGGAACTTTTGTATTCTGCCCACGGAGACTCGGCACTCGGCGATCTCGGCGCAGCCACGGATGAACATGGACGTCATCGAGTCACCCAAGACGTTGAAAAACGAAGCGAACACGAAGACCTTCTCGGCGGACAGCGACTGGCCGAACAGCACCATCGAGACGATCGTGCAGAAGAGGGCCAGTCGAGTGGTGAACAGGAAAAAGGTCATGTAGAGTCCGCGCAAATTGGCGATCTTTCGTATGACGTTGAGCTCGAGGCGACGAGCCAGCTCGATGAGGGCGCAGAACGGCTTCTCCCACGAGTACATCTTGATGACCTGCACGCCCGAGACGATCTCGTTCATCAGACGTATTCGTTCGTCCGTCTTCATGGCGGTCTGGCCGCGGAATTTCGAGGACAATTTCGCCGAGTACACTGATGGAGTAGAACAATAAATAATCGTTTGAAATGCACAGCATATCTACAATCTACGTGTTAAAATTTTAGATCATTTACTTTGTATGGGGACGGTCGACATGAGAACGGCGATACCGATCAAACCCGCGTAGCCGGCTTCGCTGTAGAGGATGTAGGCCACGATGATGGTGGAGATCGGACCGCTCCACATTATGTGGATGAACGTCATAACCCATTCGAAGCGATTGACGTCGTTCGCGACGAGATTGACGATTTTGCCGGGCGCCGTCTCGCCGAGGGCCGTCTTGCTGAGTTTGAGGGCCTTGCGGTAGACGAGGGAGCAAACAGCGACGCGTATGCGACCGCCGAGATGCGCCGCCATGAAGAGCACATGATTCGTCGAGAGGATCGTCAGGAAGTTGGTCAGGGTGAAGGCGAGGCCGAAAGTCAGGGCCTCGTCGAACGTCGTCGTCGTTTCCTTCTTGAAGTACTGCAGAAACTTGCCGAGAAGAATCGGCGTGCCGAGCCTACCAAAATCGATGACAACAAAAATTAATTAAAACTCCGGTTTCCTTGTTTATGTTTTCTTGATATTAGTATCTGATTGTGCTTACTTGAAGAAAAATTCGAGCAAGCCATTTAGTACGCCAAGAATGAAGATCTCCCAGCCGAAGGTAAGAAGGATGGTTTTCAGCAAATGCGGCTCTTTTTTACGCTTTTTCGACTTTTCGATCTCGGCACTCCACTGGCTAAACGTTGATACGAAACGATTAAAAAAAAACAGTTGAGTAACAACTGAAATAATTGAAAACACACAAGTACGCGCTCGCTTCGATCTCTTACCTCTCCAATCGGTCGCCCAAATAATTCGAGCGATCCTCCTTCAACGTTACGTACAAATCTTCGAACTTGAGCACTTTCGAGTAGCCTTTTTTGAACAAGCGCAAGGTCCAACTGTGAATGAAAGAAAAAGAAAACAATAATGAGCACTACTAATTGTCACACGCGGCCGGTTGTAATTTGCACTTACGTCCAAAGCAAGACGGAAACTACGTTGGCTTTAGCTCTTGGATTAGGCAACGAATTCACCTGTTTCGATTCCATAACTGTCACTTGGTTAAGGAAATAAACAAAACAGAAAAAAAAGTAGGCACACTTTAAGCGGCCGTTTTTCGCGTTTTCAAGGAGATCGATGTATGTTACACATTAGCCGCGCGCGTTCGGACGAGCGGTTCACTCGCGTCGCACGAGTCGGCGTAAGCGCGCTCGTTATATATATGTAACAATAATTATTAATTGAACAGTCGCGCGAAACGATAAGAGCGGCGCGCACGAGAGAGAGAGCAGCTTTTTTTCCGCGCCAAAGAAGTCAATGGATTTTTTCTCGTATTTTATCGACTAATTCAGAGCAAATAATACAATCGCGTTAACTCGCTCATTCTGTTTCTATCGCTCGTATTTGTCTTTATATTCTTTTATATGTTACAAAGTTAAGGTTTATATACGCGAATCCCGAAGTTATTATAGTTGGTATAGGCTTTGCTTGGCACACCGGGTGCGACGTCCCCTCGTGGCTCACTGTTACAAACTATCGCGATGCTCGACAAAAGTTTTTCGACAGAGCTTCTCTCCTTCCCAACGGTGTAATATAGTTTCCAGATTCCAGATTTCATGAACCTCTTATCTTTATCAAAATTAGAACTCGATGTCATACGTATAGCTGGCGCCTTATCTTTTATTCACAATCAATTTTGTTTTTTGGTAGTATAAATCGTCGTTTGGATAATTAAACCTCAGATATTTTCGTACATAATCTATACATATCTATGTAAATGTTACATAATGGCGATTTTGAATTTTTCTACACTATGAGGCTTGGGGGCACGCCCACTTTTTTTCATCAGATTCTTCTCGATAAATACGAATGAATTGGCAACGATCATTACACTTATGTTATTTTAATTTAACAGCCTGCACCGCCTGCATATATATTGCCGAAGCGTGTATCGTTATCGTGCATCACAGCGTAGTATAGTATCATAATTTCTTGGAATGAAATTGTTTGGCCTGCTCGAAGAGCCGATCGAACGTTGCGTCACCTGTTTTTCTGACGAGCTTAGATAAGTGGCTTTCCTCCCGCTGAAGCAGCGCGTACGGTTGATCGAACTCCTACGATCATATAAGTAAAAACGAAGGTGTCGAAAATCGAGCCTCACGTTAACGACGGGTCACGGGTAAAATTCAACAAAAATATCGATAATACACCCGCGAGTGCTTGTCTTACCAACAGAGAGCCGTTATCCATCACGGCGACTCGATCGCTGTCGATTACGGTGTTCAATCTGTGCGCTATCGTCAGCACCGTGCAGTCGGCCAGTCGCTCGCGTATCGTCCTCTGAATGAGCGAGTCGGTCTGAGGATCGACGTTGGCCGTGACCTCGTCCAGCAGAAGGATCCGATTCTTTCGCAGAATCGCCCGAGCCAGACAGACGAGTTGTCGCTCGCCGCAGCTGTAGTCCCTGCCCTTGTCGGCGATCTTGCCGTCGAGAGCCAATTTGCCCCGAAGCTCCACCTCGTCCAAGACTCGCCAGAGCTCGTCGTCGCTGAACTCGTTCAACGGATCGAGATTTCGTCTCAAGGTGCCCGAGAAGAGAACCGGATCCTGCGGGATGATGGAGATGTTCTTTCTGAGATCTTCGAGGGATATTTTGCCGGTCTCGATTCCGTCGATCTCGATGACACCCTCGATCTTGGCTAGTCTGAACAGAGCCGCGATCAGAGATGACTTTCCTGCTCCGGTCCGCCCGACTATTCCTATCTGCCAATTTTATTTTACTGCATAAAATAAAACTTTAAAATCGACGCAGCATTATAGTCACCCGCGCGTGAGCTCACTTTTTCTCTTGGCCGTATAATCAGATTTATATCCTTCAAGATCGGCTTGCCGTGCTCAACGTATCTCAAAAAAACATTTGTGAAACGAATTTCACCTCGACTTGGCCAATCGTTGGGCAACGGGACAAACGATGAATTATCCGACGAATTATTCGCGTCGCCCAGATTTGCCTCCGGCTTCTCATTGGCGTACTCGAGAATCCGCTCGACCGATAGCACCTCGTTGGCCGACTCGAAGCTCATGCGCATGCCGATCTGTATGAACACGACGATCGACATCATCTGAGTGATAACCAGGCCCACTTGGCTACCGCTAAAATCTGCAACATTTTTTTTCTTCTTAATTATTTCATTCCAATGTTGGACCGGCGCACTTACGATCGCGCCAAAGAACAAATCCAAACGTCGTTAGCGTCGTAAACGCATAGACGATCAACTCGACGGAGAAGTTAATGAGAAACGTGCAGTTCAAGCAGATGTACCAAGCGCTCGTATTGACATCCTGGTAATGGTCAAAGTCTCTTTTCAAAGTGTCCTCTGATTTTACCGCTCTGATGGTGCATATCCCGTTCAGAGTTTCGTTGAGATACGTCAGTAAGGGCGATTTCGCTGCGAACACCATTCGCCATTGTGAAATAGAAAACGAATACAAGGATATTTTGTTTTCATAATATACTCGTGGCTTCCAGACGCTTCATGTTCATGGCGGCGACCAGAAATGTTCGCCTCAGCCAGAGGCAAAGGAACAGCAGCATCGAGACCGGCGCGACGAGTATCGCGTTGACGCTGCAAGTGACCAGCATGACGCCGAGCATGCACAAGAATATCTGCGCCGTGTCGAGCATGACCTTGGGCAAATTTTCGTCGACCGAGCCCATGTCGTTGGAGAAACGATTCAACAATCGGCCGCTCGGATTGGAATGAAAGAAGCTCATGGGTGCTCGCACGACGGCTCGAAAGGCACTACTGTGCAGGACCTCGCTGCTTCGCAGACAAGCCCAGAAGAACAAGAGGGAACGAGCCAGACTGAAGGCGACGGTCAGGACGATCAAGGCCGCGTAAACGTAGACCAAGGCTCGAGTGCTGCTTTCGACGAGCTTTCTCGAATTCGATCTAGGAAAATTTTTTGCGCTCGGTATAATATTTTCGTCGAGGTGATTAAACTCTCTTATCTCTCCAGCTCGATAACGGAAAGCGATCATCTCGACTTACAGCAAAGCTACCATATAATCCCCCGCGCTGATGAAAATTTGGCTCAATACGAATATGACGATTAAAAAAATTTGATTACACGTGCCAGAACCAAGGGAAAAGTAACGCAGGTACAGGCGCGACTCCGTACTGGAACTTTCGGGGTTCTTTTCCATCATGTCCCCCAATTTTCTCGCCCGACTTTTGATATTCTCATCGTTCTCGCTGGAGTCGTTCGCGTCGAATTGAAGCTGCACGGAAAAACATGATCCAGTTGTTTTTATGAATGAATTAATGAACGCAATTAATTTGAGCGAAGCTCTTTTTGAGGTACCGTATCCTCGATCGATGGCGTTTCCGCGACGTCGACGTTCTCGGCGATGAAGCCTGCGTAATGCGGTCTGGCCTGTACGAGCTCTCGACAGCTCGGATAGAACTCGACTCTGCCTTGCTTGACGTGGAAAATTCCGTCGACGTCTTTGAGGTACTGCAATTGATGCAGTACCAGAACTCGAGTTTTTCCCGCCAGATACCCGAGCACGCATTTCTCGAACAGGTGTTTACCCACTTTGGCGTCTACCTGAACAGCGAATGCAGTTATTTTTTCTCGAGTCGACGACGTGCGTTCTGTACAACTATATAATTAAAAAATTGAAACTTTACAGCGCTGAGAGGATCATCGAGAAGGTAGATATCGGCTTGTCGATAAATCGCTCTAGCCAGACTAATTCTGGCCTTCTGGCCACCCGACAGCGACACCCCTTTCTCGCCGATGACCGTGCGATCGCCCTCGGGAAACTGCTCGAAATCCTGGCTCAAGCAGCAAACGTCTATGACTCTCCTGTATCTCTGTTCATCGACTTTCTCGCAGAAGACGACGTTTCGATGGACCGTCGACGCGAAAACCCATGAGTTCTGATGCAGGTAGCTCAATCGCCCATTGACGATTGCGCAACCGTCGACAAGATGCGTCTCTCCTAAGATAGCGGCCAAAAGCGAACTCTTACCCGAGCCAACTTTACCGATGACTGCGTAGAGTTTGCCGTTGTCCATCTCTACATTTACCGACTCGAGGATGGTGTTCAGTGCTTCTGCTCGCCACTTGACCGTTAAGTCTTTCAAGATGATGGACTTATCCACGTCAATTCTAAAATTATATCATCTGTTTGCTAGTCAAAAAGTGACGATTAATATATCAGAAAGTCAGATGTATAAGTACTTGAAAACAGCGTCGTTGGTTTTTTTCCGATTCGTTGTCGAGATATTCTTGATGTAATAGACATTGTCTTCCCTCTTGCACTCGCTCAGCATGAGGAACGATTTCACTCTGGCGACGGTCACCGAGCTCTCGACGATCTCCGGATAGCCGCGCACCAACTGGGCGATCAACGAGTCGGCCAGGGCGTTGTAAAACGAGGCGACGAGAAAGATCTCTCGCGGCACGAGTGGCACATTCGTGAAGACCATGAGGACGAGGGCAAAAAACAGAGACAGCCGAGTGGCGAAGATGTACGAGGTCATGTAGAAACTGCGAGGATAGCAAGTTTTGCGGAACATTCGTAGCTCGAGGTGACGGACCAGCTCGATCAGTTTGCAGAACGGTTTCTCCCAGGCGTACATCTTGATGACCTGCACGCCCGAGATGATCTCGTCCATGAGGCGGACTCGCTCGTCGGTTTTCGACGACGTCTCGCGACGCTGCTCGGCCGATAGTTTGCCCGTGTAAACTACGGATTCGACGAACAGTATAGGTAGTTTAGGTTTGCAAGAGCTCGAGGTTGGATTTTTATATACCTTGAATGAAGACCAAAGTTATCAGAACCACGACGCCGATCAAAGGCTTGAAACCGACTTGGACGTAAACGAGTCCGGAAACGGCGATCGTTAACAGTGGTGCCGACCAGATGTAGTGTACGTAAATCATCACCTGGTTGAGCCGATTGACGTCGTTGGCCACGATATTCACGATAGCTCCAGTAGATGTCTCGCTCGACAAAGCTGTTAGGTTCAATTTCAGCGCCTGCATAAAGATGCATATTTATAAAAATGTAATAAAACTAGTACCAAAACATTCTATGTAAAGTGAAAATATTCGATTTCGTACTTTTCTGTAGACCAACGAAACGATCGCCACCCGAATTTTCATGCCCGTGTGAATACTGTGATTGTTGTAGTGCTTCAGACTGAGAATACTCGCCAAATTCGCCAAGCAAAACAGTCCAGCGTAAGCGAGTGCTTGTTCGCGTGTCATCGAGGCGTCCGAGGTGAAGTAGAACATCAGCTGGCCCAAAAGCAGAGGCGGACATAATCTGAGAAGTTTCACAAAGTCACGTTATCTATATATTTTCTTTTAAAAGGACAAATATATTACTTTAAAATTAAGCCAGCAAACAATTGAAGAAAAATTTGCCAGAATATCTCTTTGCGAAAGGTAAGAAAGATTGATTTGGCTAGATTCGGTCGTGCGTTGAGTTTCGTCGCTCTCTGCAATTCTGCGTTCCACTGTCTCAAATAAATAAAAGAGCTTTTTAATACGGAGAGTCTTTTCGTTCAGAGTCTATCAACATTGAATAACTAGAAAACTTACTTTTCTAATCGATCGCCTAATACACTCGACCGATCTTCTTCCAAAGGATTACACAGATTATCGACAGACAACTTTTTTTGATAAATGGCTCGACACGGTTTGATGGCCCACCTGGAATTATGTATGGTAACAATTGTATTATCAAAATTTAAACAGATAAGCTGCTTCAACACGAATACATCACTCACCACCAGAGTAGAATGGACAAGGAACTCGCTTTCTCACGTGGATTTCGAATGTCACTGACACGTATCGAATCCATGGTTTTTTATATTTTTATATTTCAATAATCATGACTTTTAGAAGTTTTTTTCTTGAAAACAAAACATTCATTTATCAACTGTATTATAGTTTTTAAATAACTTATTATATTATATAAGAAAAAAAAAGTTAACAACTTGTGTAAGAATGTATAATTCGAGTCTACCACAAGGTAATTCACAGAAGAACGTCGTGTATAGCTGCAGTACATAGTCGTCTCCTCGACGCGCAGCGCTTCAAACGGCTACTATCGCAGCTTGACAATCGTCAGCATAATTATTTATAATACTTATAGAGCTAAACGACTGATAATTAAATAAAGTCGTCACCCAGTAACGATATTATCACCTCGCCGCATTTAAATTAAAACTAAAAAGAAAACTATTATCATTTTATTTATACATAACAAAATTGAGGAAATAGGGTAATTGAGCACGTGCTATTGTTTTCTCATTCTTGTTCTTCTTTTGTTTTTCGTAAATGAAAAATATTCTTCATCTTATGTTCGGGTCGAAAAATTGTTCTTCGTGTCTCCCGATACTCGATTATTAAATGTTATTTATTTATTTGAAAATCGTTTCTGTTTTCAATCTCAAAAAAAAAATGACTTCAGAGAAAAAATATCAAGACAAAGAAAATTCTCGACATGTGCAAGTTCATCGTTTTTAAGTGACTTTTTTGGTAATATAAAATTGTATTGAAACTTACTTATACTACATACGTAGTATGTGTAGAAATCAAATATATGTTTGAATTTTTGCACAAATTTGCAGTTTTATTGGAATTACATGAAAAATGTTAATTGTCTCCCCAACCATAAGCATGATTTAACGACTTACTATTAAACTTTATTTTTTACCATAAAACGTATTTTTTAGAATACAGGAATCCCTCGGTATTCGCGGTACCTTTTTGGAACGAATTGTCCGCGAATACGGGGAGATTCCTGTACCAAATGATATTTAATAAATTTCATAGAACTTTCTAATTCGAGGGTCAAAACGTCCCGTTTTAAGTATTAAAATCAATAAACTATATAAAGTTAGACAATGAAAACAACTTTTATTCGTTGAATTTCATTACAATACTTGTGAAAAAATATTATTGAATGCGCCAAGACTTATTTTTGAATCGCTACAATAATTATATTATTATAGTGCTTACAATACTGATTTCAATCTTGTGAAAGCAAAAAATGGGATGTGAATCTTTTTCAAACTTTATCAATCGTGTTTGTATACAATACTTTACTGCGTCAGCATCTAAATAATTGGCTGCATAAAAATAAAGACATTACTTCACATTGGAAATTTGCATAACAGTCTCTCATCGGCCTCAATGAAATCGAGTAGCTCATAAATTATTATTACGACATTCGACTATACAGGATTCACGAACATTGTGTTCACAAATATGTAGGTTGACACTACATAATTCATAATATTAGTGAATAACTTCATGTTGACTATCATGTTTGGCGTATATTCTATTTTTAAACTAAGTTTGCATCGATCGTTCATAATTTCTAATTCCTTCAAATACTTTCGGTTTGATCCGTGTTCGGCGTAATTATCTAAAAGTATCCCATCGCCGATTCGAGATGATAAGTCTTGCAATAATTCACCAACATAACATATCAAATAAATGGTAGAAGAACATACAACCAACGTTACGATATTTTTAATAGCCAAAGCTCCGTGAGTTTTCCAGCTTATCTGAAAAAAATATATATATATTCAATTATTCAAGAATTATTGAAAATTTCATTTCCAATAGCTAACTCAAAATAAATAGTATATTTTGCACTTAGGGAGTGAAAAACTAGAAAGTCTCAGAGCACGTGTAATTTATCATCCGAGGCGAAGCCGAGGTTGATAATCACGTGCTCTGAGACTTTCATTTTTCGCTACATAGGTGCAAATACAATTTTTTGTGAATCCCCCAGCCTAAAGTAACATTTTGGTTTTGCGCAGCGGGAGTAAAATGTTAGTTTAGGTTGGGGTGGCACAAAAAAATAATTTTATTCCAGAGCACATTCACAGCTCGAAAATGCCACAATGGAGTAACTACTCCGAAAGAAGAAAATTAAAAGATAATCAAAAAATTTCATTGATCAAAAAATTATGCAGTAAGAAATTTTTTTAATGAAATAAAAATTTTCAATGTTCATAGACTATGAAACTCAACTGTTTGGGTACAGTAAATGAGTTTTTTTTATACTATACTTTGAGCAAACAATCATTCATTATTTGAGATAGAATTTGCTATACCGTCATATTTTATTGCTATATTTAAACTTTGTAGCCCAGAATGGATTCGATACTACATATTTTTCAAGTGTAATCAACTTTGAGAAATAAATCGGTGAACCAATGACGGTTTCGCGCACTAAAATCTGTGCACAAAAAGGCATAATGCACTAACGATCTAAGATATCCTATGCAATAAAATGCCAACTTCGAAAAATCAGACACACCTAAGGTACACTAGACCCAATCCAATTCTGTCCAGGGGAACGCCGGAATTTCCTAAGCTTATGCACGCTCCACTACTCTGTTAGACCGGACAGAATTAGATTGGGTCTAGTGTAATTTGAATATTTTTTAAGATACTAAATTGAAATTTTAGAGGAATGTACTTTTTTGTGAAAATTTGAATAAACACACGCTCTCTCTGTCAAATATAGCAAGATCAACTACGTGATGAATGACACGCCGCTACTCATATACAACGCAGAACTTTATGATAACAGTGTCAGAAAGTATCCCCTACAGCACAATTATCATACTTAATTTTATAATGCTTTCCCGAGTCATAAATGTCGACTCATGCCACGCAGTGCTATAAAAAATTATTTGCTACATTTGTTCCGTAAATATGATTGAACCTGAAAAAATATGTGGTATCGTGTCCGTTTGGGACTGAAAGGGTTTATTATTATTTACTCATAATTCAAAATTGTACACTTTATCAATGAAATGGCAATTACCTCTCCTATAGTTATTGTTCCGAAGATCAAAAATGATCCGTAAGAGCAACAAATTGCGAAAAAAATATAATGCACGACCTCACACAACTTTTGGCCATACATCAAAACTTTACTATGCCTCCGAATGATGGTGTGTAAGGTAGCTCTATCCTTGCCGCGCAGATCTTGGACAGCAGCATAAACCAATTCTAAATGCATGCAGAGTTGGCACAAAAAAATGCACAAATAAAGATCCAAAGATACCCAAGCCGGACAGGAAAGAAAGATTGCTATGCACTCTATAATATACAATCTAGTATACCTAAAAAGTGATTAATCATTTTTACTCAAAGGATGGTGAATACAATTTTTTCCTATTTTCAAGTAGCATTATCTGTACCCTTAAAATGTTTTATCATATTCATACGTGCAAATATTACAAAACTTTTTAATTGTCAATAATTTTTTCGAGAAAATTTCGTTTGTTGACGAAAAGTAATTAAGGGATTTTTTCCTGAGGACAAGTCTGTACAAACTTATTTTATCATTCGAGTAAGTTACTCGCATATATAAGTTAAAAATTGTCTTATAAGAATAATATCTATCAAAATAGTTTTTACTTTTATGAAAAGTGTAATTATTATCTGAGAATCCTATCGGCCGAAGAGGATTTCAAATTTTCAACATACAATATTTCAAATGAAATTTGATAAAACTTATCAAAAATAAACTTGTGTCTCGAAAAACAATTATTTCAATTTCCTTTTTCCAAAAACAATTTACCATCTGAAAAGAAATAAATTAATTGATTAAAATTTTGATTAAAACAATTTTTTTTCAGAGAGAGTCGAATTATCTAATCAAGGTTATCAAATTCATTAAGTGAGATCTTACTCTGTGCATAAATTTTCTGGTATAAAAACAGGAAAGGGCAGCTTTCTGAAAAAAGCTGGAGGGATCAAGTAAAAAATTACCCCGAGTAAATAACCCACACTCAACATCTTGGTCAAAAAATCCTGAATGATTCTCCACTTATTGATTATTATACATTCCTCTTTGCTCAATAATTGGATTGGTCCTTTCGTTTCCATTTCGATGGTGTGATATATCATAGAATAGACTTGCGGCCTTGTAAAATATTTTTCAATTAACAAATGATAATTTAAGTAAATATTCAAAATAATAATACGTTACTTAAGGGTTTACTTACTTTCGCAGTAACAAAAAATACATTCTTGTCAATGCTGTTATTGCAGCAGATTGAAGACTGAAGATTCTTAAAAAAAAAATTTATGGGTCTTTATTTTCTTCATTATTTCCTTATAGAAGTATCTCCTTGGTTTAAAATTTTTTAAAAATCAAGGAGACAGTGACAATAATCATAGTAAATGAATATACTCTATGAAGTCCTCTGTAGATACTGATGGTGAAAAAAATGCGCTCATCATGATAAGAAAAATCCCCGTCATGCTAAGGCTTGGTAGAATGTGAATAATTTTCCTCGCATAATTGGGATAGTATGATTTGTCCAATGGCCAAATTCCGCACAATATATACATAAATTTAAGAAAAAGAAAAGGATCATAATTTTCAAAATTATCGTAATCTATTTTTGTAAACTTTTCAGTTAATTTTTTGATCATTTTGAAGATTAAGTATAAATAGCACCTTCTAGTAGAGATCGAAGTCTAAGCGTATCGTTCGGTAATACCCAGCATTACACTGCACAAAAGAAATATTTAAAAATATAGTCCCGTGTAATGCAATAGTTTAGTCAATTGAATATCCAGTGTTAAATAGTACAAAAGAAATAATTAAAAATATAGACAGTAGTGTTAACGAGGTCGTTGAATAATGCCGTTATATCCAAGTGCCTAATTAAGGGGACCTCATACTTCCTGACTACAAAAAAAGTTTTTTTTCAAAAGGTTACTTTCATTAGAATTAAAAGACATATATTAATGAAACTTTTTACGTATATTTAATTAGCCTTAAATTTATGAAAAAAAAAATTTCCCAAATTTTCAGATTCAGAGTCATCCGCTAGAAATGTTTAAAAAATAAAGATAAGCTGCGTAAACGCGAATACATCACTCACCATAAAAATATAATGAACAAAAGACTCGCTTTCTCGCATAGTTTTTGAAAATCTACGCATCAAATCCATGCTTTCTTTTATTTTTATCTATATATATAAAGCGAAGTTGGTGTCTGTTTGTCCTTTATGATCTCAAAAACTATTTGTCCAATCGGCTTGAAATTTTTACCACATATTTATTATACCACTGCGCAGGTTTCTATCATATTAAAACCATTATTTGCTTATTTATTTTTGAGTTCAGAATTTTTTTCGTATTTTACCACTTTGCGCGCTCGCTCGCCCCTTGCACGGTTAATGGTTATAAAAAAGACCGAAAGCAGTTGTTTTTTTTACACGCGGTGAATCGGAATACATTGTATTTGACGTGTACATGTGCTATTACGCTATTCGAGTTTTACAAGTGTGTGAACTCAACTCATAGATTTCCTACTACGCACTTGACGTGACCTGTTTAAGATCTTTTAAGCAGTCGAATTTGTTGAAAAAATTGAACGTGGGCGAAGCCACGACGGGGTCGCTAGTATTTCAATAATCGTGACTACGAGAAGTTTTTTGCTAACAAAATATTAATTTTTTTACTCTTATGTATTATAATATGCTACTTAAAAAATATAATAATGTCAACTTTTGTAAGAATGTATAATTCGAGTCTATCACGAGGTAGTACACAGAAGAACGTCGTGTATAGCTGCAGTGCATAGTCGTCTCCTCGACGCGCAGCGCTTCAAACGGCTACTATCGCAGCTTGACAATCGTCAGCATAATTATTTATAATACTTATAGAGCTAAACGACTGATAATTAAGTAAAGTCGTCACATAGTGACGATATTATAACCCCGTCGCATTTAAATGAACAGAAAATTATGATAATTGTATTTACACATAAGTGAACATAATATTTTTTTTTTAGATCATCGCTGCTGATCGGGATACTTTTCCTCGTAGCATTGTTTGGCAAGATTGAAGAGCTGCTGGTACATGGCGTCGCCGGTCTCTCTTACCAGTGAATTGAACTGGCTGTCGTTGTTCTCCAATAGTTTGTAAGGATGATCGTATTCCTGCAAAGAGAATAAAGAGATTGGCAATTTGGCAACAATGTACTACTGGTGCGAGGTACTTACAGCAACTTGACCTTTATCCATGACCAAGACTTTGTCGCTGTCGATGATAGTATTAAGCCGATGAGCCACCGTTAAAACGGTGCAATTGGCGAATTTGGTCCTGATCGTCGTCTGAATCAGGGCATCGGTCTGAGGATCGACGTTGGCAGTCGCTTCATCCAGCATCAGAACCTTGTTATTCCTCAATATCGCCCGGGCCAAGCAAACCAGTTGACGCTGACCCACGCTGAAATTGGCGCCTCGGTCGAGCACGCGACTGTCCAGGCCGTTGCCCGTCGACACAACGGAATCTTTGAGCTCGACCTGCTCGAGGGCCTGCCACAGCGCCTCGTCCTCGAACTCCTCGAACGGATCGAGATTGCGACGCAGCGTGCCCGAGAAGAGAACCGGATCCTGCGGTATGATCGATATGTGGCTTCTCAAGTCCTCCACGGCGATGTTGCCGGTATCGACTCCGTCGATCTCGATGATACCGTCGATCTCGGCTAACCGAAACATTGCCGAGATGAGCGAGGACTTGCCCGCTCCGGTTCTCCCGACGATACCGATCTGCAACAGTTGGCTTGACTTAGATTCCATTCGGCAAGTTTAAAATTTATCACGCGTCATACCTTCTGCGACGCTTTGATGTAAAAGCTCAAATCTCTGAGAACGGGTTCGCCCTCTGGAGCGTAACGCATGTAGACGTTTCTGAATTCGACGGCACCCGAGCTCGGCCAATGGGCGGGCACATTGAGCAGCTTCGCCAGCACGGGCTTGTTTTTACTCTTTTTGCTCTGCGAGGCCTGGCCCTGATCGCGCAGATTCTTCTCTGGCGCTATCTGCAGATACTCGAGTATCCGCTCGACCGACATCATCTGATTGGTCACCTCAGCGCTCTGGCGCATGCCCCACTGCACGAGCGAGGCGATCGACATCATCTGGGTGATGGCTAGACCGACCGAGCCACTGTCGAACTGCTCCTTGAAGATCAAAAAGCTGAACGTGATGAAGGTGACGAAGCTGAAGGTGAACAGGTCCAGGGCGAAGGCGTAGGCCATGCTCGTGGCCGTGAACATGTACCAGGACGAGGTGTGCACGTCCTGAAACTTGTCGAACTCGAGCTTGAGGATTGATTGGGCTTGGTAAGCCCTGATGGTCGAGATGCCGTTCAAGGTGGCGCTCAGATGAGTGAAGACTGGAGATCGAGCTACAGAAAAAAAGAAGATCGAATGTGAAATACAATTAGGAAACCGATCGGCATTATACAGGCTGCACGTGAGAGCCTCGAAACCTACTCATTCCCTCGAGCCGCTTGATGTTCTTGCTGGTCTTGAGAAACACCCGTCTGATCCACCAGGAGACCAGGGCTATGACCGCGGCCGGCACGAGGAAGATCTTGTTGACGATACAGGTGAGAATCATGGCGCCGGCGATGAAGAGGAGCACTTGGCCGGCGTCGAGCATGGCCTTGGGTAGATGCTCGTCCGTCGCGGTGGTGTCCTTGGAGAAGCGATTGATGATCCGGCCGCTGGGATTGGTGTCGAAGAATCGCATGCAGGTGCGCATGAGCGCGTAGAAGGCCCGATTGTGCAGTCGCTCGCTGGCCCGCATGCAGATGCCGTAATAGACGAATGAGCGACACAGGCCGATCACGAAGATCGACAGCACGAGGCCCGTGTAGACGTACACGTAGAACTCGGTCGTGTAGTAGCCGTCGTCGTAGCTGTCTCCCGGCCGGCTCCAGCTGCTGTTCGACGCGTTTTGCGTCGTGCGCTCCTGACGCGCCTCTTCGATCGATGTACTATATATTGCGTAGGCAGAAAGTAATAATGGCTTTTTATCCAGCTGGATTTTTTGTGACATCGACTTTTTGCGTCATGATGATTATTTACTTACATGTAGGGGACCATGTAGTCGTTGAAGCTGACGCAGAGCTGCGTAACGATGAACAACGCGGCCATGAGGCCGGTGGTGAACAAGCTCGAGCCCATGCGGAAGTACTGCAGGAATACGCTGCCCTTCACCATACCCTTGGACGTGCCCTCGATCGTGTCACCGAACTTCTTGGCCTCCTCGTCCTTCACGTCCTCGCTCTCGGAGTCGCCTCCGCCATCCGATATCGATACCCGAGACTGCGCTCAACAACCACAACAAAACAGATAAATCGTCCGTGTCATTTTCACTCTGTTTTTATATAGAATTCATGATTTTATATAATACTCACTCCTCCTCTGCTTCCAGTGGAAGAAAATCGTCTTCTCAGCTCGACCTTCTCGACGTTGAACTCGTCCGGATTTTCAGGATTATCCGAAGCGATCAGACTGTTGTACTCGGGATAGACGTTTAACAGCTGATGATAATCATCGTAGAACTGAATTTTGCCCTGATCCAGCAGTATGATGCCGTCGACGTCTTTGATGAATTGCAACTGGTGCGTCGCCAGGATACGAGTTTTCCCCATCAAATGACGCCTGATGCACTGGTCGAACAGATGCTTGCCCACGTGAGCGTCGACGGCACTCAGAGGATCGTCGAGCAGGTAGATGTCCGCATGTCTGTAGACGGCCCTGGCCAGGTTGATCCTGGCCTTTTGACCGCCCGATAAAGAACAGCCTCTCTCACCCACGATGGTCTGATCGCCGTCCGGGAACTGATGAAAGTCCTTGTAAAGCGAGCAGGCCTTGACGACCCTCTGATAGCGCTGCAGATCCAGCTCCTGGCCGAAGAGGATGTTCTGCCTGACGCTCGAATTGAAGACCCAGGCGTCCTGGGGCACGTAGCTGATCTTACCCTTGACCTTGACATTGCCGGAGACGAGCTTGATCTCACCCAGCAGGGCCGACAGTAGGGAGCTCTTGCCGGCGCCGACCATGCCGATTACGGCGTATAACTTGCCCTTTTCCAGCTTCAGATTGATCGAGTCGAGGGTGTTGTCCGACTTCTCCGGATACCACTTGGCTTGGACGTGATTCATCGTCACGGCGTATCTGTCGTCCTCGATTCTATCGACCGAAGAAAGTTCGGGTCAGCAACATGTGTGTATGATTATAGAATTGCAAATATGTGCGTAGCGAGTGTTATTTTCGTCCTATCTCGTGTAGACATCGTCGATAGTCTCCGATAAGTCGTAAATGACGCGACTCTCTTGGGAAGTTTGTACAGCTTGCGCTGCGGCGTGTGCCTGAGCGAGCCTCTCGATGAGTATATGTATAATTATATAAAAAAAGAGCACTCGACGAGAGAAAAAGAGGCGATACAAACGATATCGATGAATAATAAAACAAACACGACTGACGCGTGCTGCAGTTCGTCAAACTTACTGGACGCTCTCCGAGGTACTTTTGGCCAATTTTTCGTCGTCGCCCTTATCCGCCTTATCCTTGGCCATGAACTTGACGTCGACGGGGCTCATGGCGGAGTCGGCAGCGTCGGCACCAGCCCCTGAGTGGGTCACGTTCTCCGGATCGAACTCCTCGAGCATGAGGAAGGATTGTATCCTCGACACGGAGACTTTGCACTCGGCGAGCTCGGCGAAGCCCCGCACGAACATGGCCGACATCGAGTTCGAGAGCAGATTGTAGAAGGAGGCGAACACGAAGATCTTGTCGGTGGTCAGGCTCTCTTTGAAGTAGATACTCGACACGATGGTGCAGTAGAGGGCCATGCGAGTCGTGAACAGAAAGAAGGTCATGAAGAGGCCGCGCAGGTACGAGCTCTTGCGCACGACCTTGAGCTCGAGGCGGCGGGCCAGCTCGACCAGGGCGCAGAAAGGCTTCTCCCAGGCGTACATCTTGATTACTTGTACGCCCGAGATGATCTCGTCCATGAGGCGGACTCGCTCGTCCGTTTTAATGGCCGTTCGCAGCCGATAGATCGACGACAGTTTGCCCGTATAGACTGCACACGAGAAACAAAAGAAATCGTTATCACGAGGCGAAAATCGGTATTATTTGTATATAAATGGAAATTATTTCTTGTACTTTGTATGGGCACGACGGTGAGCACGACGGCGATACCGATGAGAGCGGCGTAATGGGCCTGAGTGTACAGGATGTAACCGATTATCAGGGTGGACAGGGGTGCGCTCCACATGGTGTGCAGAAATATCATGACGAGCTCGAAGCGATTGACGTCGTTCGCGACGAGATTGACGATTTTGCCGGGCGCCGTCTCGCCCAGGGCCGTCTTGCTGAGTTTGAGGGCCTTGCGGTAGACGAGGGAGCAAACGGAGATGCGAATGCGCCCGCCCAGATGGTAGGCCAAGAAGAGTAGATGATTGGTCGAGAGGATGGTGAGGAAGTTGGCCACGGTCAGGCCGCCGGCGAACATGAAGGCCTCCTCGGTCGTCGTCTCGGGCTTCTGCCTGAAGTACTTGAGCAGATAGCCCAGAAGTATCGGCGTACACATTCTGCAACATCATCGTTCGCGTGTACATTATGATATTATTTCGCGCAACGTGCTTCATCGCGCGTGATTATCATTAATTATCTTTGCTCGCGCGAGTCCTACGCGAGGCTAATAACTCGCAAAACTTAAAGTTTCGAGCTATCGTGATACGCGCACACATGCCCGCAATTTATCTGCATCACAATTAACAACAAAGTCGGTGACATTAAACGCCCAGCACTAATATTGACAATGTTGCGATTCGAGTGCGACAATGACTTATTGCGGAAAAGTAACGCCAAATCGTTTCGTATTCTGTTGCAATTTACTTTGAATTATATGTCATTATTATACCTGAACACAAATTCGAGCATCACGTGAATAAAGCCCATGAAGAAGATCTCCGCCCTGAACGCCATAAACATCGTTTTCAAGAGGTTCGGCTGCTTCTTCCTCTTTTTCGCTTGTTGCAGTTCCACGTTCCATTGTCTATATGAAAGTAATCGAGTTGTTAATAACGACTACTGTTACGGTAATAGTTGCGTGAAAATTTACAGGAACTTACTTTTCCAATCTGTCACCGAGTAACGTCGAATGATCCTTTTTCAATGGGTTGTAAAGATCCTCGACGGTTAGAATTTTTGTGTATCCTTTTTTGAACAGCCGCAACGTCCAACTAGAAAAAATACGCGAGATAATTGTAATGCGGTTTGATTATTCAAGGACTGGTTTGGAACACAATACTTCAAAGTACTTTTGTACTTGTAAGATCGTTAAGCTCGGCGAGATTCTAACGGATAACTAACTAGCATGATTTAATATTTCATAAAAAAGCTCGATAATATCGATTGTCCTAACAAAGACAATCTCACATGGTAGCGAGATTAAAAAATCCCTCTAAAAATTTTTCGGATAAGAAAATCTCTCCGAAAAAATTGCGGAGAAGATTCAACAGAAATTCTTCAAGAAGAATTTTCAACTTTTCAACGAAAAACTGTTATATTTTTCCCCAAATTTTCCCTGGGCTTGTTCGCCAAATATTTTTTCCCCTCTAATTCAAGAAAAAAAATTTTTCATGAAAACTTCTTTCTCTGGAGAGATTTTCTTGAACGCATTTTCAAAAGAAAGATTTTCTTTTCCGCATTTTCGAAAGAGAGATTATTTTATGTTTTAGAGATAGTCTTCGTATAGGAACGATCGATGTACCGATCATACACCATCGACTATTTTTCAATTATCACTGCAAAGCAATAAACCGTAAGAATTACGTTCACTTAGGAAAGAAAAACATGAGTTAAATAAGTGTAAAAAGGTAAAACTGCTTTTTACGCACCCGATACCGACGATAAGCCGCGGGAGAGATTTCCATCGCGCTATCGACACTATACGCGCCTTTTAATTACACGGCCGTATCGTAATAGCACTCGGGATCGGATGGCTTTAAATTAAAAGTTTATCGATTTCTTCGGTGTAGGCGTATATGCGAGCATATTACAGTGTCGCGCGACGTTAGTTTAACAAAACTTGGAGAAAGCTCTGGTACATATGCACGACGATCTCGCGTTTCGCTGGACATTGGACATTCGTATACAGATGCGCAAAGTTTCTATCGTTCGAATGCACGCTATACCGTACGATTAATAATGTTTACTTACCACCAAAAGACGACTGAAAAAGGATTTGCCTTTTCTCGCGGGTTTGCCAGATTATTAGCACCGGTTGCATCCATGACGATGGTCCAGTCGATGAAGGTACACGATCAAGGTGTTTTTCTCCCGACACACATGAAATTGGCTCCAGAATCAAAGTCTGCACCAACCTTGGCAGTGGAATTAGCTTCTTGTATATCAGCGCTCTGGTCTATTTCCACATGTTCTTGGTAGATCGGCACGTGCGATGCATCTGCTTGCGGCCGCCTCCACAAGAAAAATAATCAAAAAATTGAAAACCGTTTTAAAACATCCGCAGCACTATATAAATTTGACGATTGAAAAAATTCGAAAATGCTCTCTGTTGCATATAGAATACACGATAGCGCAGGGCAACGAGCGACCGTACAGTGGACTACGATTCTTGACACTTGCAATATTATATCACTGATTATCGAAACGGCTCGTTATTTTATTTTTGAATTTTTTAACCGAAAGCACGCGATCCTTATCGAAAGTCTTCTTTTTCGATTTAGTTTGATAATGTATCGTTGCGAAGCTTCTTATCTTGGCGATCGCCCGCTTGGCGCCCCGCGCTTCTCAATTATAATTGTGATGTAAGCGCACAAAAGTTCAAGTTTATTACAAATTCCAGCAACTATTGTAGCTTGCAATCGGCGGCAACAATTGTATTACTATGTATACTTGCGCGTCGACTGGCGCGGCCCGTTGAATTGCTCGCGGCGATGTGCTCTCCGCGACGACTGATCGACGAAGAGTCGCGAACACGTTTTTTTCTCTTATTTTATCAAATATCACTGTGCGGCAGTATAATAGTGTGCCTCGCGCTACGATCGTGCAGCATTCTCTGTATTAGACTGATCAAACAAGTTTTAACTATGTTTTATTGCGCGATGTACACAGACGCGTTGTGCGTATGTGTTTGTATGTATGTACGAAAGGCGACGGAGGCGAAAATAGATTATTTCGCGCGTGTTGACAATTATACGGAAGCTCGCAAGCTTATGTACTGCACTGAAAAACAATCGCAGACGATATTGATGCGCGTCTGACAACACACGAGACACGCGCGCGGCCCAATGGAGTAAAAGTGCGTTCGAAATTTCGCGTCTCTGTTTTGTATACAAAAGAGAGAGAGAGAGAGAGAACAGAGACGGAGCAAGAGAGCGTTCCAATTAATATTATATGTTTACCTATTAGGATACGTTCAGCACGAACGTCGAAGGACAATCGATTATTAATAATAGATAGAGTAGGAGAGCTGTGGACTTAGAGGCAGCCAACGATCGACTAACTAATAACTTGGTGCGGCGCGCTTTAATAGTATGGTAACTCGTCGGCAACAAATATTTAAGGCTCTCGACTTGTCGGCACTCGCGAATCGTGCGTATACGCGTATTACTGACTCCCTCTCTCGCTAGCTCCCTTTTATTCCTGCTTTCTTTGCATTTGAGAATAGATGCTACGGTGTGTGCGAGTGCGCTACCGCGTATCCGTGTGCCGCGCGCTGGATCTGCCTATGTACATTTTCAATGTGTGATTATATTTATTTTCAGCAGACAATCCGATCGATGACGATGCAGCAGCGTAGACGACGTCGACGACGACGATGATCTTGTATAGCGTGCGCTCGATTGCGCAATCTTTTTAACGCATTGCCATCTCTCTACGCAATGTTTCATTTATATATGTAATGTGTACAATATCGCTAAACGGATCGGGGTAATAATTGATTTCGTTATTTTGTAACGATACGTGACGAGCCGACACGCCTCTTGACAGCTAGCTCGCAATCGAGCTTTAGGAGATCTGCTATTTTTACAATCGTTATCGTGCAAGCAATGATTTATTCTTCGGTGCACAAGTGCGGAAAATCCGCCGGCAAAGACGACGACTCGATTTCGACCTCATACGTTGATACTGCTGATCGCCATCTATTGTAGTTCATTAAATGCATAAAATAGCTTCGTAATATCCTTTTACATAATCTGCAGTAAAGTGCGTTAACCCAAATCAACCCCGTTATCTATACATGTTTCTTCGTTTATAAAATAAGATAAATTTTATTGTACAGACTTAGTCATACACAAATTATACATATTGAATAAAAAATTGCAGATAAATTATCTTAAAATTATATATAAATGAAAAGGATGCACTATATAGCGAAAATAGTAAAAAATGTGTTCTTTTTATGATACACTAAGATATTTCAGATTCTTAACGGATATCGAATTTTAAAAACAGATCAAGTTTTTTTTCGTTAAATACATGAGAGTTGTTTTACTTCAACTTAAATTTCATTGTTTTTTTTTTTTTTTTGAAAAAGCTGAATTACTGAAAATATTTTTAATGCATTATAATGATGTGTATGATTTAGATTCTGGCGACCTTAGAATTTATCAAATCTTCGAGGCTAACATTTTGAAATAAAAAATTGTTCAGTAAATATATATATGTACACAAATGCCGGAATTGAAATTATAATAGGTAGTACTTAACTCATAATTCTTGCAAATTTCTATTTTTTTTTTTTTATTTTAATTGTTTTATTGCTTAACTTAATAACTTGCTTTGATTTGAATCAGTCAAATCGCAGTCAAAATAAACGGTAAAATTTGTATCATTTTTTTCTTACTGAAAAATGTTTTAAATTCTGTTGTACTTTGCACAATTCGAATTTATGGAAAAAATATTTCTTAAAATGTATGTGAACCACATCTAGTAAAATATTTTAATGAAGTATTCTTAAACATTATATACTTCAAAAAACACCTCGTTATCTTTCTTAATTTAAAAGCGTTATGAACTCTTGTTTCACAAAAACAACAAATATTTTACCTTTAAATATCAACTTAGTGAATCTAAAATCAATGTAAGTGCTACTGTTTATCAAAAATATTTTTCAAAACCACGTTACAAGTGAGCATAAACGATGTGAGACACGACATTACGGAACAAGCCAAATATTAAATATTATGTTAAAAATGAAACTTCCAAGTATCATAGAATCGTTGTCCTGGTTTTCAAAGTAGCTTCATAAAAAAGAAGTTACTTCAGAGAGTTAAAAAAACTTTCGTTTTCTTCAGAAATAAAGCTATTCTAAAAAATCGTTGAATATTATTAGCCTATGTAAAAATTGAGTCAAACTTAACAGCTCTTATTAGATACCTAACAAAGCAGTTCGACAATTGTAAGTTCAGTTCGCTAATTTTTTTAAATTACACGCAGCAGCCACTTTGAAAAGCCCTTCCTCGACTGACGTTGTCGTTATCGAAATTATTTGCAAATATTACATTGGTTGAGGAGCGGCAACCGATCGTTGATAAGACTTCGTCGTGAGTATAGTCACTTTTCCGTAAGCGTAACTTAGACATTTGGCGAGATCAGCACAACAGCCGTACTTCTTGATCGTTTTAAATCTGTACGTCCTAAAGTTCTTTTCTTGATCAATGTAAGTAACAGCACCCATAAGAGGGCATAAGATGATTTTTGTATGATCTCCAAAATTGATCTAAATCAAAATTTATTGCACATTAAAAATTGCACCGTTTTTGTACAATTAAATTTAAATAAAATTTAAAAATCAAACCTGCAGAGCGCCATTCGTTAGTAACATAATAACAGCAGTTGGTGTCCTAAACCATTCATGCAGATACGGAGGTCTCGCCAGTGAGTCACTTTGTTTTACAACAACTGGACCGCTAGCCTTTAGTAAATGATCGTTCATGTATCGCAAAAAGTAGGTTAACAACTTTACTTTCTTTTCAAGATGTGCTGGGGAATCATCGACGGTATAGTAAGATTCTTCTCCTCGTTGATTGATATAATGAATATTGAAATTATTTGCTAACATAATGATACGAGTACCATCGTTAAACATAACGCCTACACCGTCGTCAGAAAGTTGATAACCGAATCCATATTTATCAGAATAATCGACCCACTTGGAGACCCATAAGAAGGGTTGCGCGTCGGGATCGGTCATGTCATCTAAAAATTAATTTCATTATGTAGTTGAATTCATACTCTATTTCAATAATAAAATACATTTAATCAACAAAAATATATATAAAAAAAAATTATGCATATAAAAATAACTGAGGAACGATGGCATATTAATAAAAATATCTCACCTACAGCACCCATTTTTCGACCAGGTTTACTTTTTAACAAGTTCCCTAATTGCTCTTGTAAACTCTTGAGCATAGTTTCAATGTGTAATTCTTGTTTTTGGGCATTGCTCATATAGTTCTTGAGTTTTCGCGGACTTTGCAGTTTGCTAATTTCATCAACTTGTGGACTGTTGTTCATATCCTTTTGTGCAAGAGGTTTACGAGCAAGAGCTTCAAGCATATCAAGACGAGGTGCCATTGTTAAGCATGATGATGGCAAACTAGCTGGCATAAAACCATGAGAGAAGAATGGATCTTTTAGTAATCTAGCTACACTAGGTCGTTTTGCGGGATTTCCTTGCAGCATGCTTGATACCATATTCATAGCATCAGTCTTTTCCATTGAAGCTGGAATTTGGTAATTAACTTGTTTGATTCTTGCATAAGTTTCTTTTAAACTCTCTGTTTCAAATGGTGGATTTCCCACCAAGAGTGTGTACATAATGCAACCAATACTCCAAATATCAACTTCATAGGAATGACCTACTTTTGTCAAAATTTCTGGAGCAATGTAATTAGGAGTTCCACACAAAGTTCTGTCAAAAATTAAAATTTGATTAAATTTAAATAAATAAAATTCTAATTAATTGAATAATAGTTAATCAAATTCTAGATTTTCTTACTTTTTTCTTTCACCATCATGCTCTAGAATGGTGGCCAAACCAAAATCTCCTATTTTAACTTGTAAATCATCGTTTAAAAAAAGATTGCCAAGTTTGAGATCCCTGTGAATAATGCGCCTGTTGTGCAAGTAGTGCACACCAAGCAAAATTTGTTTCATGTAATATCTGGTTTCCCACTCTGTGAGAGCTTTCCTTCTTCGATGCAATTCCATCATGGACTAACACAGAAAAGTATAAAGAATAGTTATCAAAATAATTATACACAGTAATTGAATTAATTTAAATATTATTCACTTACTCTTTTTCTACACAACTCCAAAATAATGTAAACATTATAACTATCGTCAAAAAACCCATGAAAGCCAACTATGTGTTTGTGGTTCAAACTCTTATGAATAGCAATCTCTTGGGTCATTTTTTCTCTCTGATTGCTTTTGGTCATCAGAGCCTTTGGCACTATCTTTCCTGCAAAGACCTCCTGTGTTTGAGAATCTCGTATCTCGTAACATTTTGCAAATCCTCCCTGCAATAGAAATCACTGTTTTATATTTGAATTTCCATCGTAAGGATTTTCAGTAATCTGAATAAGAATACTCAGTTAAGTTTTATGTATCAACACACTTCTGCTTGACTTTTAAACTCTAATAGAATAGATAGAACAGAATAGGAAAAGTAGTCATTTAGAACATCTCAGCAACAATTTACTGTTCAAAATGATAATAATACTTGACAACTTGCTGTAGATTTGAATAAACACAAAATCATACGGATGGAACAATGAATCAATGCCAGCGCGAAAAGAGCCTAAAATCCAACCTCTCTCTCAAAAAAAATGTAGTGCGCGCAGATCGCAAAAAAAAAGTACGTTAGTAAACAATCCCGTATGAGCGATATGGTATGGAGAATAAACAATTCATTTTTTATCAATAATAAAAATTAGAACGAGTACGAACCTTGCCAAAAAATCGGCCCTTTAAGTAGCTTTTGTTGGTGTTCTTGTCGTAAACTGGATCGGGTATGACCCATTCGATGGCATCCTTGTCTTTCGACATTATTTCAAAACGTTGCACGTATAAACCGCACGCAGAAGCACAACTGATGAAAACAGCTCAAACCTTGATTCCGAAGGGCCTCGTTCGCGATGGTGGAACGATTGTTTCGACGAGTCCCCCTAGGTCGGTGCACTCCTGTGGGCCGCTCGCTCGCGATGATTCCGAATCTTACGTGGATTTTCGTCTACTCGAGCAACGATGAACGTTCAATTCAGAGCTGCTAAAGGCGATGGCGGGCCACTGTCTCTGTGTCGAACGCGTGCAAATACAGAATTTGTGTAGTTGGTCCTAGGCACATATGATGCTCTGTATAGGGCAGAGAGAGAGACACAGAGCGGGCTCCTCTTTTGGTTTTACACAGCGATGGAAGAGAGGCGACCGTTTCGAAAATTTGAAATGCCGACTCGAGCCCCCTACCCTAGCCGGTTGCCGGCAGCGCTACCACGTGACGTCTCTCGCCAAATGGCAGTGCGCGAAGCGTTGAAGGAACTGTCTGCCGCTTTATACATGGATATATAGATATATCGTGCGGTACACACAATAACACACGAGTCTGCTACATACGATACGTTGTATAATATGAGAGGGCTCGATCGCGAGCTAGTGTTGCAATTTACAAGCAGAAACACTCCCCTGTTGAATTGTTTACCATTGACTTTTTTGCTCAATGCGGCTGCCTCGTTGGTTAGACTCGGCCACCTCTGCGCGTAAATATTCCGACTGCATTAGAGATTTGTTTTTGTTTTGTTTTTCTTTCACAGTCGCTTCGTAAATATATCACACGCGCTTCGGTGTACATACGTTGTGAATGTACTTAATTAGCAATAATATCTTTTCGAAACTTTCTACAATAAATGTGTAAAATTGTACGATTTCAATCGCAGCAGTTCTGTCAAATTGAGCTGAACGAGGAATCGAAGAAGTTCGATCGATTTCTTTCCCATGTATGTAGCAATACTTGGGGTATTTAAAACGCTCGTTGATGGGGCACAGTCGAAATTTAATTTTCCTCGTAAATTTCGACGGAGTTTCAATCATGAAGCCCAACGGTTCTATGCCATGCAATGCTAGATTTCAGCGAAAGCCTTGAAATCACAGGAAACTGTCGTTTCATGTGTAACATGATGAGTATTGCGTGGCAAGTGGAGGCAAATGTGCGCTACTTCAAACGTAACATCAACGGTTTTTCGTTTCGGAGCATACAAACATAGTAGTATACATAGTAAGGTCTGTTCTGCATACTCCTGTTTATGAACCTTTCACCGTTACGAATGATTTTTTGAGAATGTGCAATGGGGCAGTAGTATTTATGATCGTTCGAAACTGATCTCAATGAATTTTCCATCGCTGGATGCTGATGGAAATAATCAGTTTGAAGTATCTCATTAAAATATCATTAAATCGATGCAGGTGTAATTAATATGTTTCCTCGCAGCTGTAAGATACTTTTTATGATTTTTGACGATTATTTTTCTAACACGCCGAGACGATCAGTTCGAAATCAGTTTGAAGTATCTTATTAAATTATCATTAGAACTATGCAAGTGTAATTAAAATGTTTCCTCGCGGCTGCAAGATACTTCTTATAATTTTTCACTATGATTTTTCTAACACGCCGAGACGATCAGCGATTAAAACTTTACCTGCCTCTAAATTGGGTGGTACAGAGAAACAATTCAAATTGATAAGACTCAAGTCAAGATTAGAATAGAGTATTTAGATAACTTAATCATCGAGCCTCATTAAAATAACCAACTTCTGTGACATTTAAATCGAATGCTCGAGTCTTTATCTACGGCGCATCGTTCAAACTTTCGTTGCGCAGCTTGCCATATACCAAACAATTTTCAAAAGAAACATGTTTACGCCTATAACACATAAGTGTAATCTGTCGCGTTTAAAGGCAAAAGTTTTCCGAGAGCGAGTACACAGCTCGTTCTTTAATAGAAAGTCTAGTGGAGTACTTGTGTCCGCCCTAAAGAGGGAGCCCCAGTCCTACTCCTACTTTGCCAGGTTTCGCAGGCGGCTCGTCGCGCGCGCAGCCTACGTGAGAAGCTTCCGTTTCACGGCCGGCGTCCATCTTCGTCATCGCTGTGTAGCGTGAGTTCAACACTGCCACACACTACACAGTTTTGGTTGAGACTTTTGGAGCAGTGCTTTGTGCGGCTACAAAAAAGAGCTGCCCGTTCTTTAAAAACAGAACGACATCACAACAGTATTATCTTTAGGCTAAACGCGGGCTCAGCTACATTGCCCGTTCTAATGTAAGTTTCATCATGTTCACGTTTACGTTATTATTTATAAAAGTGTCAATCAACCGCTCGCAGCTCATTGTATACTTGCAAATTACTGTTTTCGTCGCGTGTCGTGTGTATGTAAAAATCATCGAGTGACAGCGTCAGCGAGGAGCAATTTAGTGCCTGTGCTTATGTGAGACGACAAATTGTGTGCGTGCGTGCATGTGTGGGTGCGCTGGCTATCGACCGACTCTTAATATTTTAGTTGCTCCTATTTGCACATTAACCGTGTGTGTTGTCGCACTCTCTCTCTCTCTCACACAGACTCGTGGATATTTTGTGTTACAGAAATAACTCAACGAAATTATTGCACTTGGGTCAATCAGCGAAGGCAACCATGGCTGACGTTGTTCCAACCGGAATGCCTAGAGGTGGAGGCGGTGGATTTCGTGGACGAGGTGGTCCACCCCGGGGACGCGGTGGATTTGACCGCGGCGGCAGGTAACAAAACAATCATCCCATTAGCTTTCACCATCATAATTGCCATTAGAATTATTAGTCACTTTTTTACGTCATCAAAATAGCATCGTATGCACCGTAAAATAGCTTGAGAAAGCGCCGCTGCAAGTAGCGCCCCGAGAGATAATCGATCAAGAGCATATACATTCATTTGCGCATGGGTTAAAAAGAGACGGAGCATGGTGGTGTAATGTTTTAAATCTAAGGGTGCTAACTTGCAGTAAACTTGTGTTTTTATAACGATGGTCTTTGGAGTTTTAGACATTATTCTCGGTACAATCAACTTTGGATAAAATTAGTCTCAGTTTATGGAAAAAATTTATCGCCAAACTTTAAAGTTTCTTAAATTATATGTTAATTTTAATATATTTCTTCATTGCAGAGGAGGCCCCCCACGAGGAGGTATGATGAGAGGGCGAGGAGGACCTGGTGGAATGAGAGGTGGTCCTCCTGGTGGAAGAGGTCGAGGAGGTCCCCCAAATAGAGGACGTGGTGGGCATTTCCCCCCTGGGTAAGTAATTAAAATTTTTTTTATTCTAAATATAAGAATTCGAACACAATAAAATTTATTACAATTATTTTCACAGGATCAAATTGTGAACATAATTTAAATTGTGATTTATGAAAATACTTATATTTTTCTATGTATGTTTCTAAAACTTTTATTTATTGATTTATGTAGAGGACCACCTGACAATGGTGGAGTAGGAGCGCCAGGGGCACCCAGAGGCCGTGGTAACGGAGGTGGATTTAGAGGTAGAGGTCGTGGCGATTTCGGAGGACGTGGTGGTGGTGGTTTCAGAGGTCGAGGCGGCCTTGGTGGTGGTGATAGAGGTGGTCGTGGTGGTCGAGGTGCACCTCGTGGAGGACCTATGGGAGGTGGACGAGGTAATGGTGACCGTGGTAGAGGTATGGGAGGTCGAGGAGGTCCACAAAAGCGAGGAGGTGGACCACCAGTCTCTGTAGGGCCACCAAAGAGGCCACGATTTGATGCTCCACCTGCACCCCCAGCAAATGGTTATGCTCCACCTCCAGCTCCAGGTTACGGAGCTTCAGGTAATGGGTATGCTGCTCCTCCACCACCTGCTCCAGGTTATGGTGCTAGTTATCCACCCCAGCAAGGATATGCACAAGGCTACCAAGGCTATGAAAATTACCAGCAACCACCAGAGTATGCGCAACCACCTGTATGTGTAACTACTATTTAATAGCAGAAAAAAATGAAACAAAATAATACTAACTTGCTTAATATTCTTCTAGGGTTATGCACCAGCTCCCCCACCCCCAGACAACAGATATGGTGCCCCACCAGTAGCAAATCCAGGATATGCAGATCCTTATGGTTATAAAGCACCTGCTCCAGGTAAATATAAAATTATAACTAATTCAATTTGAATCCACAAGGAGTCAATATAAAATCTATCATTTACTCATAAAAGATACATATGCAGCCACATATCAACCTGAAGCAGTTGACAGCGGCTACTATAATTATTCTTCAGGTTATGATTATCAGGGGCAAAATACTAACTATACACCCATGAATTATGGAGCGAACTAAGTAAATAAAACCAAATCTACCATCTCATGGTGAGTGAAATAAATTGTCTTACTTATGTTATTCTGATTGAATTAAAGTTGACTTAACTCATAATTACATTGTGATAAATATAGATTAAGCTGTTCATGGAGATGGCTAAGGAGTCGATTTGGTGTCTCTGTCAATGGTGAGTACTGTTATTGAAGAACAAAGAAAATTCCTTACCTCGAAAATTGCGTATTACATCGCTGATAGTAATTTTGCTTGTCATGAAGATAAAATTTTTTAATTTTTAAATTCTCAAAAATGCAAAATTACTTTTAGTTGTGTCGACTTCTTAGAATAAATAGGAAAATCTAAGTTTTATGTTAGGTTCATATCACAGTACTTGTCATCCAAAAAATTATTGCGAAAATAAAACCGTAAATTAGCAAATCTCAATGGGTTTTGCTCAAACCCATTTTTTATGAATGTTTGATGATTGCTCTTAAGTATGTAGACAAAAGAAAGTGAGATGTGAGATTTTTTTAAATGAAATCATATGCTTTGTAAATAAAATATGAATGTATGAAAGCTTGATAACTACAGTTAACATTTTAAAGACAATATCCAACTTGAACAATTTTATTTTGATTGCTTAAAACAATACTGAGACACACTACAACAAATAACATTGTGAGCAAGCATACAATGCTAGCAATGATCTCTATAATGTTATTTTTTAATAGACAACTAATACAACAAAATAATGATTGTAAGTCACAGAAAAGCTCATTTGATATATAGGGAATAATGAGTTAAAAGACTTAATGTCACAAGAATTCAAAAGAAATTGTATACAACAATTATTGATAGTCTCTTTTGAGCAAATGAAATATATTATCACTTTTCTTCATTCTTAAATGTCATTAGGGCTGTACATTACAGTATTCCTCGCGAGTGGCAACAATTTTTACAATTTTTTTTATAATCTTTTAATAATTAACATCAATGTTTTTAAAATAAGAAACGAACTTGATTTGTAAAATAATTAAAAACAAGGGATTTATTTGTGTTTGTCACGCGCTAGGATATTTGATAACTATTCAAAATTTTAGAACAAAATAAATATTTATTATCACTATTACATTTTTATAATTAAATGATACATAAAACAACACTTAGTGTACATTAGTTCAAGCAGTTAGTAGCAGTAGTACTTGTCAATTTACTATAATTGCTATTCAAATATTGAAATCCAGATAATAAAAAATATATATGTACATGATTTATTTATTTAAAAAAATAAATCTTGTTGATGAAATTTTTACCTTACATTGAAGTGTTTGTACTTCTACATTTTGCGTAGAAAAATTGATGAAAAAATCAAATTCTCATCAAGTACCAAAAAGTTGGTTTTTACCTAAATAAATAATTTCAAAAATCACAAAATATTGCGAATGTTTTTTTGTAAGATAGGCAATGAGTTTTTAAGCAGTTGAAAATTGAGGCAGATTCTAAATATTTTATATTGATTACGAAAATATTCAATGTGCAGTACACTATCATTTAACTGATTTTTAATAGTATCATGTAAATTTTAATTTCTATAAATACAAATTATAGAGGAATTAAATTGATGGAAAAGAAATTAATTTATGTATCTCCTCTCATTTAAACCACGGAAAAAATCCAGTCAAAAAAATGTAAAAAAAAACTGAATAAAATCAGAAAATTACTTTACAATTTAAAAAAGCTACAAGTTTTTCATAGTAGAAATTCATCAACCAATCACTTGATTAAAACTTGATTTAGTTATTTTGTACAAAATTTGTAGTATTAAATTTTTCAAGATGATCAAATTGAAGTGATAAGCAGCAAAATAGTTGGTATAAACATCTTTCAAACTAATCATACAAACTTGTAAGTATTGTTCAGATACCAATGAATGTTTCTTTCTATTACAAATGAGGCATGTCTTATTTGAGTTTTTCATTCATCTATGACTTACAATCCTAATTTGTATAATAGAATTTTATTCGGCTTTGAATTTGAAAAAAATGTTCAAGAATCATAAACTGATTTCAAAGCATTTAGTATGAAAATTTTTAAATCGTAATGTAGGTATAATGAAATGATTACTCATTTGAGCAATTGATTTTCTGTCATACATTTTATTATTTATTTTTGAAAACGTTTTTTATGAAATTTAGTTTTTTGTTGTAGCAATTTTGAGTTTCATATATACATTTTTCTGTAATTAAAATGAAAAGTTAAAAAGTTTTTTATGATGTTGGAAGTGCAATCAAAAGAATACAAATTATTAATCTGCTGGCAATTAAATGAATTAAGTTTATTTCAGAGGCATCAAGTTGATGTTATCTCGAGAATGAGATACATACATCCCAACAAGTGGGTCTCAAAGATATAAGATCATGCAAATCTTACATCCACAAAAGATAAATAAAGATAACAACACAAAAATGGTTGGATGACTGCAAAAAATTCAAATTTGTTAATGCGAATTTCACTATTTAAAATGCAATGAAATATCTCAAAGTAATTTCATATGAATTATACGAGAATGATCAATAACATATTAAGTCAAATTCAATTGAAAGTTGAAATATGATTATGGCTCAGCGTAGATTAAAAATTCAAAAAGCTGTCCATACAGCCTTATAGCCTAATAATGATTTATTCAATTAAAATACCAATGGATATAATTAAGTCAAAGCTCGTATGTATCACTATATTAAATGAGAGTAATATATCTCCATCTAGAATCACAAATTTATCGAAGGTGAGTAAAATTAAAAAGTACATACTATCAATGTAAAAAATTGAGACAACAAAAACGTTTTGCTTTGTAATATAAGAATGAGCACAAAAATAATTAGAAATATTCAATCGATTGATAAAGCATAAAGCAAAATGAAATAATCACTGCGTATCTTTCAGTGTGTGCTTTCACAAATGACAAGCCAAATATTTCACTTATGTATTTTTAGGCTTTGGAAATTGATTCTAACATAAAGTTTTAAACTGTTTCTAAAGTAACAATCATACTAGAAAATCGTTATGCATTATATAAAAGAAGTAGACAATACTCACAAAAATTATTAGGATACGACTTTCTAGATAATTGGCTAAAAGTTTTCTTGTGTAATTACGATAAAAATGTAAATAAAATTCATATCCTTACATTCTGTTACAATTAAACAAAAAGTCAAATGAAAAAAAAGAATTGACGAAGGATGAATATAGCAATGAAATGAAACTAAAACAATTAGGACAGTTCTAACATTAGGCAATGCCATCGACTTGTAGACTAATATTTAAAATTATCATCTTTTATCAGGTCAACTATTTTTGGATTGAAATTCAAGACTGGACAACCACCTGAAATCGTGAAAATGAAGAATCAATGCAGAAGCCGGGTTCCTCAAGAAGTTTCTCATCTCCACTGTGATAAATAATAAGTACTTAATTTTTTCCGATGTGAAGAAGTACTGCTTTCGACAACTTGCACTGTGATTTGTAAAGACTGATTTTTTTATACAATATTTATAAATTTACATTTATTTAAAAATAAAAAGACAAGTATTTTTAAATTTAATTAAACGAGTATATTTTTATATTACCCTTTAAAAATTGCAAAGTAATATGGTGGCAACGAGCGGGCGCTAAATTTAGTAAATATTTTACGGTAAATGCGATATTTTAAGGTACCTGCATACGGTATCTATACCGGTGTGCACCTAAGCTTTCGGCTGGTATTTTCAAGATTCAATGCTAGTGCGTTCATTCGTTCTTTAAGCCACTCACGGCGGCTTTGATTGTGATTCCCAATGATTAGCGACATCAATCGTCAGGTCTGCGCGTGCAGCGCGAAACAACGATCTTACATTCGACTGGAAAAACGAATTGCGCCGAGCTCGTAAAATCGAAGAATCTACAATTCAATTCATCGAAATTCGCGCGCGCGATGTAACCATAATGGATTCGCGAAACAGCGCGAAATATTAGGGACGTATTTTGCAATTCACGAAGCTCGAAGCTCTGCGCTTGCAGTCTTTGTGTTCCGTTGCCGCAGCTATGTGTGCTCGATTTACATGAAGATGAGTTCATTAGCCATGTCTCTGTGATGTCTGCGCGCGCTCGCGAGGAATTTTGCTCGGGCCACTATCGGAGAAATTCAAATTCGAAAAGTCACACGTATCTATGTGTATACGACGACGAGCTTGCACGGAGGAGCTTTACACATACCTATATGCATCTTGCGATCTCGCGCGCTCCGTTCCTTCTTCGGAGTTACATACACACACATACACACACAGGTATATCTCGTACGCCGCAGTTAGCAGTTTCTCGAAGTAATTGAACACGGCGCGCATTAATATTGATCCCGAAAGGGCTCGGGCGAAATTTGACCTAAATCTCTGCGAGCTTCCTCCTCGTTTTCGACGACGATCGTCTCGTAGGCGCGAAAAGACGTAAAAAAGTAATGACTAACAGACCAGTGATTACAGCAGATGATATAATAATGTGCAAAAGAGCGCGCGCGGTGACTCACGTACGCGACACGGCAAACGCCAAGATCAACGAACTCGACTCGAGCGATCGTAAAAAGTCTCTCGCGCCGCGTTAATCGACGATTTTTTATACGCCTTCTGCGAATATCGTTTTTCCCTTCGGTCATTATACCTATGGATCCGGCGATGATCCGCGGCACTCGTAAACATCTTCGGAGCATCGTATTCAGGACAGTCTCTGTCTTTAATGAATGTAACGTCGTTTTCTTTCCACGAAAAAACTTACTCTCGCTATATTGGATTACGTGCGGTGCAGGTCGAAGCGTGACTCTTTCGATTAGGGAAAAAACAGAGGAAGAAAAAAGAAAAAGAGTCGTTCACGCGCGCATCCACTTATTATTGCGTAAAAGTGCAAATGCGCGTGTTTGCCCCGGCTTATTTTTGTTGTCTAGAACGAGGAGTCACTCGATTCGAATTGAATAAAAATAATTAATACTCATTTGACGAAGCAACGGAATAACGAGGGCGAGACGATTGCTGCACCCTCGACGTCGTTCCGCAAGTATATAGATGCAATTAATTACTTTCTGTGATCTATAAACAAATAAAAGATCTTTTTTTGTCACAAGGGTTCGTCGTGGCTGGAAACAATTAGACACGCGTACGATATCAGTCGGGAAATTCGAAAATGCCGTCTGCAGAATTATAACTGTGGGTATAGGTATGTGTATGATTGAACGACGCCTATATATATAATACGAGCTGCGAGAGCCGTTGGAACAATAACGCCTTACTCGGGCTACCGTGAACGCGGCAATATTGGCCCGAACAATCGGTACATATAATCAAGGGAATAGTAGTAGCTAGATAGTAGGTAGGTTGTAGAGCTCTCGACGACTGCGGCGGTCTACACTCGACTTGGCCCTATTATTCGCGCGAGTGCCTCCGTCTGTGTCTGTGTGTATCGTGTACAATTATGGCTTACCTACGCGCGCATCACGTGCACACGAGCTGCTGCTGCTGCTCGAGAGAGAGAGAGAGAGAGAGATCCACGAATGTTACCTCAAAGTCGGTGGCGCATTCATCCGGCAGCAGCAGCTCGTATGTGCGTAGACAGCAGCAGACTGCAGCCCCGTAGCGCTGCGCGCAGGTGTGCGTTTATATCAGGCTCGTATAGCTGCATTTGCACCTGCACACATGTAATCGTAATGGCCCGAAGGCTCTTCCGCAGATTAGTTCGTTCGACTTTCCGCGTCGAGACCGCGGACGTATGTGTGTGTGTGTATTACCTGCTGCGGGCGGTCCTACAACTACTTCTCTTATACGATTCGCTTTTCACTTGTGCCTAAATACACTAATGATATAAATCCTTGCTAAATAAACAAATGACTGGAGTCAATGCTTGTTTCTAAAAAATTTAACTTATCGATTCTTCACCAACTTTTGCGTCGTAGCGAACGCGCGCGCGAATGCTCACCCGAGGGTAAACCGAGTCATGCCAATTTTCGACACGCAATACTTCTTCGGCATAATTTAGTGTATTGAAGAGCACCAACTTTTTATTACCCTGATCATAGTACAACTACTCGTTGAGAGGAGTACGAATGTGTGTCGCCAAATACATCTCGATGCAGCGGTCGAACTTTGCCCCGTGAAAATTTGCACTCGTTTCAAAAAAAGCCCGCGCACTGGTTCGAATACTTTATACAAAATGGGCATGCCTACGTGTAAGCTCGAGACGATCGAAAAATTTTATTTAACTAATCGATCTAACTGGCACGATACGTACCTGTTGCTATAATAATGTATATCGCATATGGTTAAAAACTCGAGTCGCTCAAAGTTTTATCATGCTTGATCGCTCGGTGAGCGGAACTTTTTCCCCACGAAATAAAAAACAATTTTAGTAATTTTTTTCATTGCGTCAAAGGGACTCTGTGCTGAAACCATAGTTGCCTAAACTGAAATTGGTCAGATTTACGGGAAAAAAGAGTAAACAAACAAATAAAAACTCATTAAAAAGTCTTGGCAAGCTTTTACGGGTACAAGCAGAATAACGAGGCGAATTGCATTTATGAGGCTTTGAATAGTAAATAGGTATATTTTGCGTTGAGTTTATAATACAAACTCTGCGCTTTTCTCTCCGCGAAATCAGCATCAGCAGAAGCAGTTGAAGCTTTTTCTGGCCCTTTTCTCCCTCTAGCTACGCAGTATAATTAGCAGATTCTAATCAAGGAAACGAGAGGTATGCATGGCGCGCTCGTGTAGCTTTCGCTCGCGATATGACCACACAGACGACGTTCTCGACGCAGCTCGACTCTACTCTCTCCCTCTCGTATCTGCGTATAGGCAGCTTCGAGTTCGTTTGCGCGCTACACGACTGCAGCAGAGGTGCCCTATGCGAGGATAAAGAGAGATAATGCGTTTCGTTGTTTTGTCATTCGCCCCTTGGATACGCGCACACGCGCCCTTTGGCTTTTCCAATTTGCCTCGCTCGTTTTCTTTGCTTTTTTTTCTACCTCGTCAATTTTCATTCATCGCTATTTGGATCGCGACGAGGCATGTGTGACGAATTATTCTGCGCGGCATCATTTCGAGCGAGCGCGCGATACTCTGTCTTTGTTGCATGTAGCTGCATCCCCGCGGCGCAGCTCCTAAGGTTCTATATAGTCTGGCGTAAGCGCGCAAAGCAAACCAGTTGACTCGTGGCCGCCGCCGGGCTAACTTCTGGAGTGCGCGTGAATATATAGGACTGTCGGAAGGCCGAGCTCATAAATAAATATCTAATTTGGCGCAATGCCATGCGTCGATGGTGGATGTCATATATATTTGTGATTCGGGAGTAACGAAAATTTTACATTCGATCGAGACCATGATTGCTTTGGAAGTAGATTCACGCACACCTGATTAGAGGAAAAATTTGTGCTGCTTTGGATATCACTACTCTCGCAGGTATAATCTATCAAATTTACGCTTCACCAATATTTATATGATAAAAGTGTTCCGCGTCTTCTCGTTGCGTCATTTAAAAAGATCCTGTTCAGCTCGGTAGAATCCCTAAATCTTCGTCCTATACCGCGACAGAAAGGCTCTATTTACCCGGAACTATATACGCGAGCTATGTACACGCGACCGAGGCTATAAAGAGCAATTATTTACCTTTACCGCGCAGAGTTTCGGTCTTTCTGTGAGCCGGCGGTGGTAGCGGACGTTTGCCGTGTACGCGCGCGCGCGCGCGCGAACGGTCAAATAAAAGCCGCAGAAACTACTACTACATCGGTAGCCTGGCAGGTACATATAGCTGCTACAGCCTCGAAGCGTCTTTAATCTAGCCTGCAGGGAGGATCTCAAACTTTGCCCGTGGCACGTCCTATACAAAACGCGAACGGGGATTTCGATGACTCGCAAAAGTTATACGAGCCTTTTTTATCCTCGCGTATAGAGCAGAGCTTGCATGAGGAGAAGAGACGACTTCTATATACAAATATATAGGTCAGTCATCGAGACAAGTATCGCGACTATCGTGTGTACGTATATACCTTTGATCGTCTTTATGATGAAAACTTGATTGTCTCGACGCGTGTGCCCGCCTTCATGCTGTCAACAAAAATATACTTATGCCTATGCTGCTTACAAACATTTTAACATGTTTTTTCTCGCTTCACCAACAAACGCAATTACTTTTTAAAACATAAAAACAATCGTGTTTGAAAGTAAAGGAAACTTTCCATCATAAAACTACTTATCAAGAGCGACCCATGGCTCTAATCGTCTCGGCCGGGGTTGCAATTCGACCATCTAAAGAAGTGAACTCTACCTGAGAGCTGTAGCTCAAATGATTAGTTCCGAATATTACCACAAAAAAATGGATTACAAAAAGAGCTGTATCTCAGTGAGAAATGAAAATTCGAAGGTTTTATAAAATTCATAAAGTTTCATAAGGAAATAGTAAAATTTTACTCAAGAACTGAATAAATTGTTTTCGATTATAAATTATATTTTGATTTTGTCACTTGCAAATTTTTAGATAAAGATATTCTCCATCTGGCGGTGTAAGCTGGAATTAATTATGATTAAATTTTCATGAATTTTTTAGCAATTAACGCACAAAATTAATCATTATTAAAACATTAGTTTTTAATAAAAATCAAAGTGCATTAATCAAATCGATCAAATCAATAATTTCAATTAAAACGCTTAAAGTACAGTACTTTATAGGGCAAAATATGAATAATAATTATCATTTGCCCTAACACAAGTAAAACTTTTTTGCCGTAAATATTTCAGATAATAATGTTTAGAGGCAGGAAAATTTAAATAATATTTCTCACAAAAATTACAGTGAATTTTTTTTTACCGCAAATTATTATTATAGTCTTTGGAAGCTACTTGCACAAAAATTATAGTTTACGTCGCGTTTATTTCGTCGTTGTCACATAGTATTCACCACAAAAGTTTGCATGCAAAAGTGATTATTTTCGTAGATACTATCTGTTCCTGCACGTTACTTCAGATCCACGGGAGAATGATGATGAGCAATTGAAAAATTGACTCTTTTTGGATGCTGCAAGCAGCGCAAAGCAGGAACGAATTTGACTGAGCTCATCGAGGCGCTTTTCATGCGTGACAAAATGACTTCACTGCTTCCGAACGACGATGCTAGTGCAGCCTCGAGATTCAAACAAAAGCCGCACGCTGTAAGTTACATGACGCACGTTTTCAAGCTCTTCGTTCATTCATCGTTTTCTCATAAATTATGTACGTGCTACTGCACATACACTCACTTACACAGCTGTTGAAGAAAAGCCTGTCCCAGCGCTGCGCCAAGAGCGAGGAGTCACGCTCGTTTTTGGATTTTTCGCGCGAAAATCTCAACATCTCCACGAGCGAACTGGAGCAAGGTTTCAACGGCAACAGTAGCAACAATAAACACAACAATGGCAGCTGCAGTACAAGCAGCAGTAGCAGCGGGAGCAGTGGCAGATCCTCGCTCGGGTTCTATTGTTGCTGGCATCGTCGCGCCTGTCGCGCTCAAACGTTTCTCAGCTGCCTGGCGCTAATTTTGGCGCTGGGCTGTATGGCTTTGGAAGTCTGGAAAATGAGACAGGTCGCGGACAACTTCGAGGCTCTGGAGGCGATGAGGAGCGACGTGGAGACGCTGAAGCACCGGTTGCTGGAAAAAGATCTGCTGGACGAGTTGCGAGCTTTCGAGGAACAGGTTGGTAAAACCTCACGTGTAACGACACGCCGTTGAACTTGCCTACGATTTTTTCCATTTTTCCCCCCCTCTGACCTCGGTAAAAATGTTTTCAATGTCTATCTGCACGCATCCATATCGTGAAGTACAGAATGTAAATCATTCGAAAAATGTTGCTATTTAAAAATGCGTCGAATAAGTTTCAATCGATGTCACACTTATAAGACCTGGCAAAGGGAGTATATATCGATTTTCAACTGACGCGTATGTAGACCTACATGCACGCGCACAAAGTACAAGCGTATCGAGTCGTATTATCAGCATTGTCGATGGAATTCCAAGCGAAAAAAACACACACGTAACAGGCTGGCTTTCGCGGCTTGGAACTTTTCGCGCTCAATCTAAATTGACATATCTGTGCTGCGCACGAGAGCATATAATATCGTTTCAATTCAAGCGTGCGTATTAACTGTAGCGCACGTATAAATCTGGTGAATCAATATACACTTTATATGCGCCAAAGGAAAAAGTTTCCGTATCATCGCGTACGAGCTTTTCAATACAAGCGAACTGCGAAACTCTAGTCTTCATTGGGTGCACGCGCTTTGGACAGATTCATGAATTTACCTATACATATAACACGTGTGTGTGTGCGTATGTGTGAGTGTATGTGTGTGTATGTGTGTGTGTTGAGCAGTTCAAAGGGCGATTTAAAAAGCCAATTACTCGTAAATATAGTATTAGCAAGCGTTAAAGCACATCTCAATATTATTATATACGGGCGCGTTTAAACGGACCGAAATTATATGCAGATGCGATTTATTCTAGCCACGCACGGCTGCTATAACAGTACACATACACGTATGTGCAAAACTTGTTGGTGCACGCTTGGGCAGGGGTATTAAACGCGCACGCAGCTCATTAGCAACTTTCTAATGCAATATCTCGGAGAAGCAGCATCGGTAGCAGTAGAGCTTTAATTCCCTCTTCCAGGCTGCTGCTGTGACACGCGCGCTATAAGCAGGCAACTCGACTCTTCGCGAGCTCGGAGCCAACGATTTCCACTTTATAGTCTCGAGAAATACTTTCTGACACTACGTAACGCACGTATAATACGAAATATACGTGCGTGCGCCGAGGGAAAAAGCTCGCGCGTGTCCGCGTCAAGCTGCAGTCAGCGCGCCTCGACATAAATATAACGACTATTTCGTGTATATGGGCTGTGTCGCGTCAACCGCGTTGGATAAAATTGAAATACCCATTGTGTGTTCACGAGTATAATAATCTTGAAATTTTTTAAACTTTACTTCAATTCGTTATGGCCCTTAGTAAATACTCGAATTTTTAATTTGCCACTGTCCACGTAGTCTTCTATATTTACTTTGACAACAAAAAATTGTAAATATTATTTCTTCGAGAGAAATATAAATAGGAATCTAAAATCAAAATAATGAGTATCATAAGTCTAAAAAAATATCTCATTATGTTAATATGTTAAAAATATGTTACAAGCTTATGGCCAACGAAAAAATTTCTAATCATACAAGGGATATCAGAACTTGTAATATACTGACCTAAGCTGTAACGTTGCTTTTCTTGACATTTAATGATCATTTTTTGAATATATGAAATTCGTGGATGTTACCATTCAAATACATGTTCAATATACATTTATTTTCAATTTTCTTTACTGACAATGTAAAACGTCAATGAAATTCGATATGTTGATTTAATTTTAATAACATTTGCTTGTACTTAAAAATAAATATAATTACGTCGAATTTATTAAAAACAACTGTTTTTACTGAATTCCAAATAAGTGTTTCAAAATTCAAAACTTCCTAGAGTCTTCAAGTAACTTAGATTGCAAAACGCTACTCTCTCAAACTTAATTAGCAACCTCACAGTGCTCTGCCATATATAACTATTTTTCTTTTCTTCCACTTGCAGATTTACAAATAATGGTACTAGCCATCTAGTGGTAGACGCTTAAAGTGATATCGTACTTATAGTGATTGAAAACTGGTCTGAATCTTTTACGTGATTTAAAATGTGCTTTAAATTTATAACATAATTTTAACAAAAAATCAATTGGCTAAAACAAGCCAATCAATAGTAATGCATTATAAAACATTTTAAACTGTAATCTGTTGATCGTTAGATAATTATTCATATTGAGTACCAGAGGAAATGTTTCTATTGAATCAATCTTCATAAAAAGTATATATTTTGACCACGTAGTATAATTTTCCAACAATTGGTGTGATTTTCATTGTAAAAAAAACATCAATTTTTTTCATGTTGGGACTCAAAGTCTTTGATACTTAGTGATTTATGTTTGACTTGCAAGATCATCCCATATATTCATATTTATATAACGAGATAACAATTGAATTCTACAAAACTTGATAATCTGACGCTCGTACCAATATAAGCATCACGTGTCGCAGCGCCTGCGACATTGACGCGCGTTGCCACGAACGCCACTTTTCTTTCTCGCTTGACGGATGGTTATTCAGGCAGTTGGTCGCTTTATTTCTTCGGTCATATCTCGCGAAACAATTCGCTGTATACACATTCAGAGCTTGCACAAAAGAGCGCTTGGATTCGTGTACTACAACTGTCAAGAGCGCGACGCGTTGTTTTCTATAAAAAGAAAAAGATCGTTGCCCCGATTCACCTCGCTTCAAACTCATCCATAATTAATTTTCGATGCGGCTCTTTTTCGCCTTCGCCAATCGAATTACATAAAGCTGCATTTATCGACGCCTTCCATTTGCATCATAAAGTACATGCAAGAGCGTGCAAGCGTTATAGCGCGCCAGAACAATGAGACTCGGCTGCTTTTCGGAATTTCACTTTCTATAGCAGCTTGCGCGCGACTGAATGAAGAGTGAATAAAAGAAAAAAAGAGAAGTAAAGAAGAATTGCCATTGTTGAGGAATTTCTTTTCTCGATCGCACCTCTTAGCCTTTTCTTTTTTTCCTCTTCTACATATACTCATATACATCCGAGCCACGAGCTTGATTTATTTCGAGCTTGCAGCGCGTATGCGTCGGAATTCTCGCGATTGCCGCGCCGGCGGCAATATAATGCGAGATCGATCGGCTATAAAAAATCCATTTATCAAAATCACGTGTACGAAATTCTCTTCTCCTTTACTGTATATCTATCTATATTATCGTACAGCTCTACAGCGAGGGCACCAACGACGACGAATCGCCGACCAACGATTACGACAGCAGCTACGAGGATCAGGAGGAGTTCTCGCCGTCGCCGTCGCCGTCGTTGTCCGTGACTCCGGTGTCCGCGGAAACTCATGCTGCATCAACCGTTCGAACCGACTCCAACACCGTGGCTAATCTGATTCCCTGCACCAGCCGCGAGCTCGAGGACGTTTTGAGACTGCTGCGCCACGCCGAGACCGAACGAGGTTCGGTAACCGAGTAAGTCCACAACTAAATGGCTAAATTTTTCTTGTTCTTTTATCTGGCGTCCAATTTTTTCGTTCTTCCACAGTCGACTCGAAAAGTCACGCACCGCCTGAGCTGTAACGACGACAACCTCAACGTCTCACTCTTCGCATCTATGAGCGAAACATTTCGCTCTCTCGATTAAAGTTCATTTTGCATTAAAGCTCGTGCATGTACAAACGCGCCTGCACAGACACATATATCACATTCATTTGTACAGCTGACGCGTGTAACATATGCTCAGTGAGCGCAGGAAATTAAAAGGCGGTGATACGAGAGCTGTGCGTTGAAGGGAGAGCTTTTCATCTAATACTCGGAGGACCTCTTACCGCGACAGCCTCGACACACGTTATATATGTACCGCCAAAAGCACCCAGAGAAATTTGTGGAGAAATGCACGTATAAACGATGTCTAATAAGTCTATATTCAGCCGTCGTTTCACAAACGACAATTTATAAATGCGAATAATTTATTATCATATAAAATATATGTGTATTATAAGTGAAACGTTAAATTGTATATATTAAACTTACTTCTTTAATTTTGTAGAATCGACGATATTTACTTTTGTAACATACATGTGCAATAAATACGGCAGAGTGATTTTCCAATCAAAAACTACACACTGATTTTTGCGCAACCGCTAGCCGTGTCCACGGGTTTACCGCCCGAGCAATAGACCTTGGCTTCGAGGCCGTCGATGGGCATGAGCCGGCCGGGCTCGTCCATCAAGTCGACGACGTAATTTTCTCGCAAATAGCGCGTCGGCAGAAACTTGTCGCACAGATCGATTATCGGCCTCGACGATCGTCGCCGATGCTGCTGCGTATCTTCATTGGTTTCTGCGGCGTTCTCTATCTGCGTCGGCAAGAATAGAGAAAAGTCCTCGTTATATTATGGGACCGTATTGTAATTGCAGAAAAATAGCTCAAGCTACCTTGGGTACGGCTATCTCGATCCAAGATCTGCCGTAGGTGCCGCGCACGAGAGCAGCCGGCAGACCGATTTGATCGGCCAACGCCTTGAACATGAGAGCTCGTTCGAGATAGGAGCCGAGCTTCAGCATACCCAGCGATACGACGCTCGTCTCGATTTTCGCTTTTATCTCGTGCAGGTGCAGCTCGAGCTGCTGGTCGAGGCCGCCGCCGCTGTTCGTGGAATCAGGCCCGGACAATTGACGAGCGACGAAGACACCGAGAAACTGAGCCCGACTGGCGATCTTCGAAGCCTCGACCGTACCCGGGATCGGTGACCTGTTAAAGTACCGAAAGAAAACGATTACCTTCGAGTTAACTTTTGAAGTTATCAAGAGGGTCGAGAGTCAAGAGCAAATGACTCACCTGCATTGTCCGCGATGTTCGATGGCCGAGAGCTGGGCCTTGAGGACGTTCAGATGGCCAACGAGAACGGGATCGTACTGCAAGTGGCCGAACTTGAGCTGGAGCCAGGCGTCGATGGTGGCGTCGGAAACCCTTATGCCTCTGAGCTGACTTTCGCGGCGCATCGATTTACGCGCGGCTACGATACCAATGCATACCAATGCTCCTTGATGATTTTACTCCTTGATAGAGCGTTTAACGAATACTCACCCTCGAAGGCGGCGAGTTTGCTCTCCATACAGTCGTCGTTGCGGGTCTGGTCAGCTTCGCCGAAATTCACCACGTAGATGGGCTCGAGCGGGCAGAGCTTCAAACGAAATATGTCCTCGAGCACCGGGAAACTGCGTACATACATGCGGTGCTTTATACAAGTGTTGCGAATCCTATGGGCAGTGGGTCTTACGGGCAGGAACTGCGCCGAAGCAGGTAGAATCCGTTGGAAGTGACGTCGCCGAGGGTCAATCTGCCGTAGTAGGCGAACTTGGCGGAAAGATCGGCGGCGAAGAGGCTCTCGATGACGCACGGCCAGCTCGGCACGTGCCTCGACATGGCGGACTTTTGCTTGAGCATGCTGTCGAGCACACCGATCGGCTATAATACTCGCCGCGACTCTGGATGCTCGAAGCAGTCGAGTTACTTACTGAACGAGCAAGCCCTCCTGGGTGCACATATTGGCGATGATGGGATCATTGCAGAGCAGCAGACAGAGCTGGGTAGCGGCGTCGCGCACCGCCAGCGCCTCCGACTCCTCGAGGACGAGCTCGTGCAGGGCTGGCATCACGTGCACGCGTATCAGCAGCAGGCGCGCCTCCTCGTTCACGGGGAAGCGGCCCAGGGCGTGACAGGCGGCGATCTTCAGCTCGTCCGGGGCCGGCGCCACCTCGCCGGACTCGGGCTGGAGCACGCGCTGCAGAGCCGCGAACAGATCCCGGTCGACGAGGTCGCGAGCTATGCTCGGGTAATTCGTCAGCGCGCCGATCGCCTCGATGGCGCCGAGTCGCGCTTCCATCGGTGCCGCCTCGGCCTCTATCAGACGAATCAGCAGTACCTGTGCGAGGTTTTTAATAATATCCTTGTAACGCGTTGTTCTTTCTTTATAATTGGACTGGTAAAGATTAACTTACATGAGCTCGCGCATCGAGAAAGCCGATGCAATTCTGATAGGTCGAATCGAAGAGCTCCTTCAGTGCAAACACGCAAGCCTGTATCTCGTCCCATTGAGCGCGCGGATTCTCCAGAAGTTCTAAAACACACACACACACACACAGTTGCCCATATAGGTCACTTGAAAATCGAGCCAACCGAATTCCATTGTTTACTCAACTCGTCGCGTGAGGCAGGAACTTGTCCAGAGTCAGCTGCTCGTTGGCTGGTCTGTAGTGCGTCAGCTTGGCCGCCGCGCGAAACACCTCGGCCTGAACTTCCGTGCTGCTCGAGCTCAATTGTAAATACTCCAACATGAACTCGATGAATCCGATCGAGTGCAGTACCTGTATAAAAATTGCGCGCAGCTCGATTATCGCGTTGCAAGATTTACGTCGCTGCACGGACGCATTTTTCGATTACTTTCAGGACTTTTTTCCAAGTTTAATTAGACAAGAAGAATACCAGTGAATTTTAGCTGCGTTCGTAAAGAACTTTTATGGTTTTTTTTCAGCGGAAAAAGTTATGAGTTGGAAAAGCATTTGATGTACCTTTTGGCCCGTAGCATCGGACGCCAAGCGAGTCAATATCTTGAACGCAGCGAGCTTCAAGTCGTGATCTCGTGGATGTGCCTCCGCGAAGTCGTAGATGCGTTTTATCGCGTCGCCTCGGCTCATCGCTTCGGCAGTTTTGGCGTTGCAGCTACACGCGCAAACAACCCCGAGGACTTTGAGGTACAGATCCTGCCACTCGTCGTTCTACAACGTGGCACGTGAAAATTAGTAATCTTCGATCGATATCGTACACGAGTAATTCGTTAGAAAATCCTTGAAATTCGAGACTGAAATCACGAATGAAACTTTGATTACTTGATGGACTCATATGCTTGTTCTTTGAGATCTCCGAAACAAGGGGAAATGCGTGAGCAACAACTATTTTGACTACTTATTCCGCTTTCGATTTTTTAGACATCTTACGAAACTTTTCTCTGGTTCTGTTTTTGCCTTTGATATTTAGACAATATTAATCATGGAATAAGTAGTAGCGCGAAATTTTTGGTCCTTTGGAACGCAACAATAAACAAAATACCTATCAATATTTCCATTATTTCAGTGCTTTCCTATATTTCTGGACAACTATCAACATCCACCATACGCGTCAAGCGAGGAAAATAATTTTATTCGCGATTTTAGCCATAAACTCCAAGAATTTTGTTATATGATTACGCTTAATCGATACAATAGCTAACTTCTAAAATGTCGATGAGACGCATCACACCGTCGGATTTGCGAAAGAGATCCTGTATTTCCTCGTCCGCGGAGTGCATCGCGAAGCGTTCGATCGCGTCGATCGTCAGCTCCTGCATTATCGGATAGGATTCCTCGAGCAGTTTGTAAAACGTATCGAACGCGAAATTCTGTAAATGCAGGAAAAAAACATCGACGTCGAATAGAACAGAATCGTTCCTCGAATCGCCAAGCGTTCGCATACTTTAGCTTTGACGACAAAATCCAATCCCAAGAGATCTCTCGTGACGTTGCAGATGATTTCCAGGCAATTTTTCCTGATATCCGGATCGGGATCGGTGAGCTTGTGGAGCAAGAACTCGGCGTCGTCGCAGAGAGCCACGAGCTTGGCCGAGCCCCGGGGATCGCTCGTGAGCTCGGCGAGTATGCGCGAGGCGAACTCCTGCAGAAAGACGTCGTCCGCGCCGGCGCCGGCGAAACTCTGCGTCTCGGGCTCGCCGTGGCGAATCGTCTCGACGAAGAAGCGCGTGTACCCGTCGCTGCGCAGCAGGTGATCCTGCACGTTCTCCACGGCCGACATCATGGCGAGGAGCTTGAGGGCGAATCTCCGCGTGAACAGGTCCTCGTGGCGCAGCAGAGCCGTCAGCGAGTCGACGACGTCGAGCTCGAAGAGGGTCGCGAGATTGCCCCGGGCCCGAGCGCCGTACGCCGAGAGGGCCGCGGCGGCCGCGAGCAGCACCGGACGCTCCGGGCTCCGCAGCAGCAGGATCGCCGTGTCGGCCTGCTCGACCCGCAGCTCCATGGGCTCGAAGCGGCCGAGCTCCTCGGCGCTCATGCGGCCGCGATCGTCTCGCGCCTCGCCCGTTTTCCTGCATTTCTTGCCACGATTTGTACGTATGAGAGCGCGATATTGTTGACGCGTTCTTTGCAGCGCAACGGCTACGAATCTTATGGAAGTTTACCTTGGCGTTTCTTTCGGGCATTGTTTCGATTTCGAGTACGAAAGTGGTAAATCTTGATCGGAGGTTACTTCGATATCGAGCGACGAAAATTAGGTTGAATCAGAAGTCCTCGGCTGCATCGACTGCTCTGAACTCCAAACAATGTAAGAAATATGCAAGCACCTCGAAATTTTCGAAAGATTCGATTAAGTATGTAAAATTATCCACCTAGAGCCATAAAAAATGAATTATTTGTTTATGGTATCATAAAAAGGCCATAAACAATTTCTACATTTTCAACCTTCATTGCTCTGTAGAAAAATCAATGCAAGTTTCAAATTCAAAAGTAGTCAACGTTGTAAACTTTGAAAATTTGGTATTCGTACTCGGTTCAATGAATGAAAGAAGTTCAACCGCCCATGCAATTGACAATGCACACGTGCCGTATAGGGGCATGCGGCATTTACTTATACATATTTACAAATTATAGTCTAGACGCGCCAAGTTAATATCGATGCAAGTCGTGATTAAATAAGTAGTCAAATACGGAGTTACGACGGACTATATTTGTGTATATATCGCGCGACATATATGTAGCCTCATGACTCTATTCACCAGTGGCGCTGTAAACAGTGTCGTCTTGTCTTTGTCGTATGATTTTGTAAATGCGACGAAACTGACCGTGCGCCCCGCTGACTAGCGTAAAACTATATAGTCGTGTTCGTGTAGACTGTCGTCGTCGACGTCGTGGACTTCTCCTCGCGTCTCCTCCCACTCCTCGAATTTTCTTTTCTTCTTAAGCTCCCCGCTCGCGCCTCGGGCCGCCGAACCCGTCGTCGTGTTAGTCGTCGTCTCCCGCCATCTCGGCAATACTGCGACCTGCAGCGATAAGTGTACTATAGGCTATACGTATAACGTATACACACACATACACGTATACACAAACACACACGGACACGTCTGCTCACCCATACAGTTGACGTATGCCAAGATGGCAGCCGCTTAGAGATCCGTCTGTTTATTTACTCGGCGCTTCAGTTGCCATATAGCAAGCAGCACTACGTAGCAGCCAGAGAGCAGCTAACGTCAAAATCTCACCCCGTTTTCTACAATCTCGATCACGCGAAATTCTCGTTTAATTTTCGATCGCACTGCAGCGGCCGTGCGTGCCTGCGGTAATACCATATACACCAGTGTTTTGTGTATGTCGCGCGCGACGTGACAACGACTTTTTCCGAGCCTTGTCAAGTCTCCAAGTTTCGGAATCGAACGATTCTCGCATCGTAATAGCATAAGTTTGGTGCGTAGCAGTCTCGAGCGCAATAGCAAAGAAGCGGCCGAGTTGACAGACCGCGTGTGACGTGTTGTGCCTGTGTGTACAGCGTGGATCTATGAGGCCCAGCCAGGCTCTCGATTGTTCTGCTTTCGTCTCGGCGACGCATTACGTTTCAATCGCTCGAAACACTCGCATGGACATGCGTGACAAGAAAAAGCCCTGATTGGGGATGACCGCGCTCGTTATTATGAATCCTAGTCCATGATTACCGCGTGGAACTTTGTGTCGTTTCTCAGTGCTACATTAACCAGTGTTTCATCCCAAGTGAACCTCGAACTGTGAGAGTTCCAAAGTGCGTTCTGTTTGACTTGAAATTGGGTTCGCGTAGTCCTGTTTTTCTTTGCTGGACCGTGACTTTTCCGAATTGAGATTTCGAAAGGTCAAAAGCTTACAATTGTTGGCCTGACGCAAGATCCAGACAGTTTGCTACAACAGTTTGCTCTGACAATGGCTTCTCAACAACCAGCCCTGCCACAGGAACAACCGGAACAGGTGGTCGCCGAACAAGCGGTGCAACGGGTACCAGATCAAGGAGGCGACCCAGAGATTGCTAATCAACCAGAACAGCTAGTGCCCGCCGAGCAAATAGTTGTCGCAGACCAAACATGCAAGCCCGAAGACACTAGTATGGAAGCGCGAGTGGTCGGGGACCTGTTGAAAAGGATTAAAACCGATCAAGAATTATCGAATAAAATGGAAAACTTACACATTGAAAACAGAACCATTAAAAGACGTAGTCGTATAAGGTAAAAAAACATAACATAACCTTTCATGATACAATACAAACTTGTTTAATTACATTGCTTATCAAACTTTTTCATCGTTACCAATACGTTGAGCTTGTTATGAGCTTATTATTAACTTACTATTCAATTTTATTGAACACGATCTTGATCTTTTTTTAAAGTTAAATACAACTTACTTTATTGGTACAGTACAGTTTTTCAATTTTGATATTTTTCAATTATAGGGAAACAAGGAGTAATTTTATGACAGACCCCATTGCATCTAAAAATAGCCCCCTCACGGATTTGCGTGCAAAGTGCAGAAACTATGAAAAGCAGAAGGAAGAAGAGGAAGCAGTCTGCTCAAATTCATCATCCACTGAAACAAACAAACCAATTGTGCGAGCAGCTCAGCTTGATCTAAAGCAAAGTAACGATGTTAAGCTCTTGCTAGACAAGACGCGCTCGCTTAGTCTCACACGGTTAGTTTCAATTAAAATTTAGAATAAATACAATTTCTAATAATGAGAATTTACAACCAAACTAAAGTTATACTATCTTTGTATTTTACAGAAAGTCAGATGATGAAGAAAAGACATTTGGTGAAGGCTCTCTCTCCAAAGATTTTAAAGAGTGTGTAACAGTTACAGACAAAACTGAAGATAAATATAATGCACCAAGCTTTCGACGTCCCCGCACCAATTCTGCACCATCAATTGCTAAAAGAACTAATGATGGTACAAGTACAATGCCAAATCCTCAACAACAGCCAAATTCGTGCTCTGCCCAAGCTCGACTACCATTAGCTAGTGATGGAACAACTGAATATGAACTTTGTTGTTATTTTGATGAATATGTTCATATACCTAAAAAAATGTCTTTCATGGCTGAACAAATGTATGTTTAGGAGTGAAGATTTCAACACATTTATATGAATATTTTATACATTAATGTTTAGAAAAAGATTCGGTACACGCAGATCTTAATTGTTATGAGATTTTTCAAAAATTTGTTCAACCTTCTTATGTTGAATTACATCAAGGCAGAGACGCGGTAAAAATACAACTATTTAAACTTACTTTTGGAAACTTCTTTTGCAAACAGCTCAATAATGTTCAAAAACATTAAAAAAAAGTCACCATGTAAAAATTTTCAAAACTCTTTAGTAATAGTCTCAAACGATTATCGAAATTTTCATCTTTACTTTTGACATCCCAAAGTAAAATAGGATGAATTGAAGAAAATTTTAAAAATTTTTATTTATAAAACGACATTTTTCATGTGCAAATTTGTCTAATTCTGGAGAGCGTTTACAGTAGAATACTGTTGTGTTTAGTCAATTGTTGAATCTATATGAATACTAGTTTGAAAACACAAATTTTAGTATCATTAGAAAAATACGACTCTTTCTATTCATTATTTGTGATTTATAAGAGATATTTTTCATAATTAAATTATATTTTATGTATCTTAAGAACAAATTTAGTCAGTATATTTTGATTCAATGCAATTCATGGTTTTGAAAAGACTGTATGGTATACTGTTTATTTATCTGCATAAATTCGGAAAGATGAAGAAAATTCTGTCTTATCATCCACAGCTATGTATTTGTTTTAATTAGCTGGACTAAAATTCGTGAATGAATGTGTTAAAGTCATACTAATGAAGAAAATTTCTATACACTGTTAGTATTTGCATCAATCAAATTTTTAAGCTATAATCAAAAAAGTCCAACTTGTAAAAAATCTTCACTGGACTTTGATTTGATTCCTATTATATGATACATTTTAACGAATATTCTCTTTTTTATAGTCACCTGTAAATATGTATGTTTTGAGAAAGAAGAGAATAAAATTTTTAAATGCAATCATATAAAAATGGGAAAAACTTTTTTTAAATTCCTTCAATTACCTTGATTGAAAATAAATATTTTTGTTTTAATATTCTTTGGAAAAGAAAAGGTATAAAAAATGAAGCGTAAGTATATTTTTTTTTCATGTTTATTATACGTAATCTATTCATATCTCCAAATGCTTATAATATTTTTTACTGCACTATTCAATTAAAAATCTAATTTGAAATGAAAAATATAAAAAAGAACTTTGGTACATAAAAATGACAATGATTGCATCTACTTATTGGTATATTGTTTATTGTTATATATATATATAATATATATGTATATACATACATACTAATTCAAACCTTTTTTTCAAACCGATTGATATTCATAACGTGTTATCAGTGCATACAAAGTATTTATGTATTCTTTGCATATATCTTGGTGACTTGAACCTCAAGCCATTTCTCGTTTTAAAAGTATCACATACTATCGGACGCTCACAGCAATACTAATGACACAATGAAAAAAAAACAACAAAATTTCGACAAAATCAAATGAAAATAGTAATTAACTTTCTTGGAACGCACTTATTAACTGCAACGTATTAACACATTATATTATTAAGAGGTTTTTCAAAAAAATAGCTCTATTTTTTCTCGCGCTTTTTTTTCTAGTCGTTAACCTTGATCATCAACTATACATCATGTTTAGTTCGTACTATAAATACATTAGTATCACCAACAGAATGTAAAAAGTATTAAAAACGCAGACGCAGTAGTAATCGAAAACTAAAATATCTGCATTGCTTTAAAGTCGAAATTCATGACAAAGTTTACTTCAAATTTATTTTCACATTACAACATTAGTTTTTGCGCAATTTTCGTGTCTTAATTTTTTTAATGGAATGGTAACTTGCATTTGATTTAATTAAAATGTGTTTCCTTTTGCAGGTCGAAGCATGTCGAATTTTCATTTATTCATTCTTACTTAGCATACGAGACCTTCTACGAGAACGAAAGATGAATTGCATTTTTTAAAATCAACTTTATAATACCCATTATAAGGCATACGCATAACATCTATGTGAAGCCGTAAAAATTAACTACAATGGGGTCAACATAACAAATGAAAACGGACTAATTATAAAATTCTATCTATGTACATACTTATTCTATATTTTCAGAAATTTATAAGTACTAGACTATTTATAAATGATATCACCTGAAGCAGGTGAAAAAACGATCAATTAATTATGATGTAAATATACGTACATCCCAACGAGCATCTTCACTCGTTTAGACAGTCGTTTCGTTTACAGCTCTAGACTATTCATATCGACATTTTTGCGGACGAAAATATCACTGACATGCGCACACAAGACTTTTATTATTTATTTGGCTCAAGCAAAAATAGTATCTTTTTAGTTTGTAATGAACTTATGTACCTCGCTTCTTGTCTTTGAAAAAACTTTCGAATTTGTAGTTTCACATCAAAAAACATTACGATTGGCAAATCTTGCGATACCTTAACTTTAAAGCGAGTCTTTACTCTTCGGAGAGATGTGTAGTAAAAATGAGTAATGCTATGAGTGATCATATGTGTATGCTTTTCAAAAACTTCTTGAGACTCGCAAAGTTTAATCTTTTCGATAACTTTAAATAGTATTTAAGCCTTAGGCCTTCGATGAATGTGAACTTTGAAATTAAGTGATAAGTTTCATTACTTTAAGGGAATCAATCGGGTATAAAAGATTTCATTCCCAGAAGTTGCCATATCTTTTTAGTGAATTATAAAAGAAAGCCAAACCAAAAACGCACAAAATTATAATTTTTATACATAACGACACTAATCTATCAAAGAATTGATGAATTTTGCAATAGATCTATTAAAAATGCTTCAAATTTTAGTATTTAAAATTTTTATCAAATGGCAGTCATTTTTGTTCGTTTGAGTATAAAGGCATCGTCTTGTATGTGCCCCTTGACTAATGGGCTATAACTCTAGACACATCATTATTTCATCAATTTTAGCTACACAATAATGTTTTTATAATATCTTTTAAAAATGTTGAAACGCGGATACTTATGTTTCTTTCTTGCGATCAGTCGCTTCATTTTTTCCAAATTCAAGTTTAAACTCTTTGTTTCACAAATTAATGGAACTGAAGGAATATTTTTTTTTGATTCGTTTATAATATCTGATAATCTGACAGAAACTTTTTACAAGGAAAAGTATTAATTGACGGTTCTCAAAAATAATGAAGAGTAGTGTAATAAGTCCTCATTTGTGCAACAAAGAGTTAGTATAACATGGAAAAGTGTATAGTGAATTGAAATTTCAGTTTTGTATAACAATTTCCATGATAACAATTTTAATTATTCATGAAGTTTTTCCATCGATACTTTTTTTGTAAATGGCTAGCATCGCAAAATTTATTTTTCTTCTTGACAACTATTATTTTTTTTACTTTGTAACAAGTGAAATTTTCATAGTTATTGAAAATTTTTATATTACACAGATTATTCATCGCTCTAGTAATAACGATTAAATAAACAATCTGATTTTATCCATGAAAATATTTCTTCGACAGGCAAATGAATTTTATTTTATTAGATTATAAAAGATAGACGGTATTAACTTTTCTTACCAAATTGAAAAATAAGTGCAACAACATTTCTCAAGTAACATTTACATCTTTTTTCTCATAATTGGACACGGTTATATGATTTTTAAAAATTATTTACAAATCTTGTAATTTTAACTTTGACAAAAAATTATTGCGCGTATTGAATATTTTGTATTGATTTTATAGAAACACTAAACTTGAAAGATTTTATACTTCGTATTAGTTTGAGTAAGAAATAGAATGCTCGCAACTGGAAAAAGATGATATTTTTGTGCTAGTAACCTTCAATATAGGACCTGTTATCTCGATCTTACAGTCGAGTAAGAAATTTAACGTTTTGTACGAATAATATCTAGTTTTCACGTTTCTAAACTATTTATGTAAGTAATTTTGTAATATTTTTAGTAACTTGTGTCCATTTACAGTGATTTCTACATAATTGTAACAACGTTCTTCTCCAAAATGAATAAGTCTTCATTTCAATGGCAATGTCATGGTATGTCATACGTACATTGACAAATAGTTATTTTTAATTTAATCTGAAGTACGATTCTAATGCATCATAAGTTATCAAAATAAACTTAAGCGCTTAAGATTTTGTACAAAAAAATTAAAACAAGAAAAACCGTAATGTAGAAAGTAGAAAATTGTTACAACTTTTTCGTAAATGAAAGTCTTGTGAAGTAATAATGAATTAACAGAATCACAGCGAAATAAGAAAAATCATATAAAAACTTCTTAAATTAATGACTTATAAAAAATGCACAACGATAAACGTATCCTATACATATGATTAGATAAATTTGCATCAATATCTCTACATTGCAGATTGTCCACTGGTAAAATAGACTTTTTGCAAATGTTCTATGATTATCTGGTTCATTAAACGCTGTTTTACATCGTAAATATAGACACCCTTTAAAAGTCTTGAAATTTGAGTATTATGAACGAATACTCAACTTTTACTCTACAAATGCTTTCAAATACCATTATTCGTACTGACTCAGCAAGTATGAATTTTCGTAGACAAATTTTTAACGTATAATTGCAGTCGCGCACCATGAAAAACGTTAACGTGCCAGATGCGACGATCGAAGGGTCAGCACTTTACCGTGTCGATACGCAGTAAGCATCGCGGCTAAATAATACATTGTCTCTTGAATCGAGTTATTACCTAATTAAAATCATCGTCGGTCGCTTGCAGCCTTATGCCTAGTAACTTTATAAAAAGTGAAGCGAAGGCAGTTTACCCGCGCAAACTGCTATCGTTCGAGTCCGCAAATCACAGGCGCGTGCAAGTCTTATACATAGGTACGAGGTAGTCTTTTGGAGATCGTTGATCACTGTTCACTGTGTGTCGAATTGTCGTGTCGCCCTCACGCGGACACGAAGCACCGCACGAACACACGTATGCATATGATTTTTGCGCGCATGCATACGCGCGTCGAGCTAAAAACGCGTCGAGTCTTTCACGTTCATCAAGCTCCTGGAAGCAGCAGCAGCAGCGGCGGCGGCGACGGTGCTACTGCCGATTCAGCAGTAGATGCCGTAAAATTCCATGGCACAATTAGCATTGTGTGGATGATAATGATGATGCGGCACAACGTGCGCGTGATGGGCCATGTATCAGTCCGTGGGTGGCTCCAGGTACGGTATCTCGCTGGTAACGTTGAACGATTCGAAGTAGTGATTGAGGAACTCGAAGGTCGGCCTTTTCTCCGGTACAGCGTCCCAGCACTGCAGCATTAATCGATAGATGGTGTCGGGTAGCGGATGGTTCACTGGTTTTGGCATTCGGTAGCCGTTGTTTACTTGCTCGATAACCTCGCGGCCGTGCATACCTTGAACGAGAAGAATGGGGGATTAATTAGTTTTGTTTGACGAGAGAGAGAGAGAGAGAGAGAGAGAGAGAGAGAGAGAGGAAGGAATTTCATTGACTCGACATACCTGGATAGGGCACCTGTCCATACGTGAAGAGCTCCATGAGTAAAATACCGTAAGACCAGACATCGCTCTTGATGCTGAATCGGCCATAAACGATGGCCTCGGGCGCGGTCCATTTAACGGGGAACCTGCTACCCTGCCTCGGGCAGTACTCGTCGTCCTCGATGACCCGGGCCAAGCCGAAATCGCAAATCTTGGCCTTGTTCTTCTCGCCGATGAGTACGTTGCGAGCCGCCAGATCTCGGTGAATGAGCAGTTTGCTCTCGAGATGCTCCATGCCCGAAGCCACCTGAGCCGCAATGTAGATGAGATCCTCGAATTGCATGTACTTGCCGTCGCCGGTGCGCAAAAAGTCCAGCAGACTGCCGTTGCACATGTACTCCTGGACGATGTAGATCGGCTCCTGCTTCGAGCAGACGGCGTAGAGAGCGACTAGATGCCGGTGACGGAACTGCTTCATGATCGTGGCCTCCTGCAGGAAGGCCTCCGAGGACATGGTGCCGGGTCTCAGCGTCTTGACGGCGACCTCGATCTTGTTGCGCCACTTGCCGTAGTACACCTCGCCGAAGTTGCCGTGGCCGAGTTTGCGGATGAGCTGGATCTCGTTGCGATTGATCTCCCACTTGTCGCGCAACTCCGGTCCCAAATCCCACATCTCGGGCTGTGGCTTCGGGCACGGCTTGGACAGCACATGGCACAAGCCCAAGGCGTTTTCTGAGACGGGACGAGCAGAGTCGATGGATTAGCGCGAAATCCTACATAAAATGCACGAACGATGTATATCGTAATAAACGGTACTCACTGCTGTAAGCCAAAACGAGGGCCTGAAGCGTGGGAAAGGTCTGATTCGTAGCGATGAAGAAGCCACCGTTGTCGAGGGGCTTGATCTTGTAATGCTTGACGTGATGGCCGCGACCCTCCTCCCAGTCCTTGACCGAGAGGCTGTAGCCGCGCGGATTGTGCTCGCTGGGGCGCACGAGGAAGGTGCCGCGCGGGTTCTCGTCGACGAGCAGCAGCTTGCCGGCCTCCTTGCGCGAGACGTTCTCGAAGAACCAGTCCTCGCTCTCGACCGAGCGCTCGACCGCGACGAAGTTGAACGGTATGAGGCCCTCCTCGCCGGTCGTGAGATGCAGCACCCGCCACCAGTCGTGCTCCGAGTCGTCGAGCACCTCCATGCGGTCGCCCTTCACGAAGCTCACGTCCGTGCTCTCGCGCGCCGTGTAGTTGTACATGGCCACCACGACCTTGTTGATCCGTTGGCCGTGCGCTGTGCGTGTGTGTGTGTGTCGTGCAACGGACAACGAGTTAGTTTTTTTTGTTTTTAGAAATAAAACGGAGAAAGAAAAAAAGCCGAAGCATTTGTTATCGCTCGTCGCGCGTACACATATGAGATACGGCAAAGCAGGGAGTATCTACTTTACATCGAGCTGACTCGAGCAAATTATATATAAGCAGCTTGACAGCTTTTTCTATACGTTTTCCGATTGTCTACTCTTTTTTTTCTCAATATTAAAATCTACTCTAAGGCATGCGGACTCTAAATACAACTATAACTAGACATTGAGTAGATATAGAATGGTCACATATAATATGTAAATAAATATCTACAGTAGTATTTTATTAATTAAGACTTGAAATGATAAAAAAGGTAGCTTGAGAAACAATAATGCATATTAACATGAAATGGGAGAACACGTCAAACCTTTATGTTGTTCGGTAAAAGATAAATATTAAATTCGAACTTTGATACTATCATAAAAAACGAGTCCATGATCGATGACTCGCTAAAATATAGAGATACCTAGAACTTAACACATGAGTATAATGGATGCGTTTACGGCTCTTCCGAACTCATGCGGACAATACATCGGTCGAATGAGCTCAAAAGCGCAGCACAACGCGAATACCCATTATGTATAAACCGTCGACATGAAGTAGAAAAAAAAGGTATAGGCAAACAAAATTAGTAGTATATATTTATAGGAGCTGGTCTAACAAAATAAAAGCTACACACATGCATTGGGACGAACAACGGCAGGCGAGGCGTTTTTACGGGCGTGCAGGGCAGTGGCGGCAGCCAAAGGTAACGTCGGCAGATGCAGCTGCTTACAGGGCGTCGGTCTAGGCCGGATAATGTCCGCTCGGGCCTGTCCTCCACGCTGATTCGGATCGGCTGTGTAGCGGTCGAGCGAACCCCCGTTACTGTGCTTCGAATTCAGACCGACCTCGGCTTTTTTGTAACCTGAAAAGAAATCGCCACAAAAAAAAAACAAAAATTTTCATTTGGTTAACAAAATTTTTCAATAATTTTTCAGAGATATCTACTGCTGCTGCATCCATTGTCAGCGATATCTGTGCGGCCTGATTTTGAGAAATGTATGGGAAGCGCAACTGCGAGCGCGAAACACACTTTGTGTCATTATTATAAGTTTGAAATTTAAGTAGCGGACTTGTCGTTGATTCCGTTGAGCAAAAGCGTGGTGTTATTTTTAATTTGTGTTTTTTTCAACTTTATTACCGCGATTGTCCCAATTTTCTACGCCTATGTACCAGCCTGCAGCTGCTGCATCGCTATACTGTTTTGTCATCTCAATAAAAAATAAAAAAAAAACGAATAGAGGAACAATGATCAAACAAAAAAGTGGACAGTACAATGTATAAAAATAATTACGAAATGAAAGACGAAATCGAAAAAAAAAAAAAAAAAAAATTAAATAAAAGCATACCTGGGCGGTAAAAGTAAAAATCGGTTGTCGCCTTACCGATGGGTTGCGGCTCGGGCCGCTTGCTGCAGCACTTGCCCATGATGAGAATTGGTCGTAGAATAGGTTTGCGTCGGTCTTTGTTACGACTGCGACTCGCCTCCGATAATCTTCGCGCTCCGCTTCCTTCGGAAGCGCGGATGTACACACAGCAGCTGAGGAAGTTTTCAGCTCACGACTGCGACAGACGAGTCTCCATCTCGTTTATCCTCTATCTCTTTCTCTGTACCGAGGTGGCGAAGTTGCTAGTCACAGCAGAGCTACCGAGTACCTGAAAGGTCATGTATCATGGATGAGTTTTCATTAATTCACGAAATCGTTATGAGAAGACGGTTTATTACAACGAAGTTGAAGTTAATTGAGACGCAGCATTTTTAACATATTAGCTGAAGTTATTCGTAAAAAAATGCTGTACAGAGCAGCTGTAGGAAAGATCGACTGCGAGGCGCAAATAGGCGCCAATGACTCGGTAAAAGTGGCCATGCAGTCTATTTAACGCCTGTGTACCAACATAGTGTGGTTATCCGCCCGGGCGCGCGTAGGAGACGGCTCAATTCGCTCTCTCTATCGTCTCTCTCTCTCTCTCTCTCTCTCTCTCTCTCTCTCTCTCTCTCTCTGACTTACGAGGCGCACGAGCGAGTTTACGGGCAAAGCCATCGCGAGCCTGATGCCGCGTACTCTCGGAACTGCCGCTGCGGTCGTTTATGTTATATATAAAAGTAAGGAGAGTGCGCTGTATGCCAGAGTCACGGGCCATCTGGACGATCGTGAATTGTAAGGCATATCGGCTGCGGCGGTGGGCCGAACATATTGTGGGCCGCCGACGCCGACGCCGCGTTAAGCGTTTTAAGTACTCGTACTATATATAGGTATATAAAATAGCTGTGTGCGCGTGCGAGAGAGCATCTGTCGATGCTTCTCCGGCACCTTTCACTCTGTGTACAATATAATATGAAGCAGCGAGCGATCGTTTCACTTTCGATAATATTGGCTGCGCCGGCGGACAGGGACCAAAACACAAACAAATAATCGTGTTATTGTATCGGATAAAAGCGGCCAAGACATTGCATATCGCGAGACGAATTAGCGGGATGTGATCTTTATCTGTCTCGCCCGAGAGCGATTCCGTCTCGCGAGACGCCAACATCTCGACTCCGAAATTCTATGCCTGTAGGTACGCATGTGTGTGTGCGGGATTGTATAGACACAACCGACACACACGTGCCGACTCGTCTCGACGCGATCTACAACGACGAACTTCTACAGATATATATTTATATTGGCCATGTATATATCCGCATCGGTGCGCGCGCTGCACCATTCAGTGCCTTTAATTAATAATCAATTCCTAATACAAGCTAGACAGCATCCATGCCCATTCATATTCACGCCATGGGAAATCGAGGCGACTTATTTTTAATTCCTTTTCCCTCGATAGCTGACAAAGTGTCTCGTATTTATAAGCGCCGCAAGCACGATGCAGTACTGTTTATATTATATATTATACTAGACACTGACGCGCGAGTGCACTCGCCTGCATGAACGCGCCTCGACGCTGCTGCTGCTGCAGTAAAACCCGTCGTTTATTTGTCCCGCGGAAGGTCGATCGATGCTTCATAAAGCCGATATCTCTGTCGAGGTGAAACTATGATATTGTCCTTGTCGATGTTCACCGTGAAAAAAAATTACGGCAATAAATATACAGAGGAGTACAAGTAACAAGTGCCTGTGTGTCGAGTGGTTTTCGTCGAATTACAGCTCTCTCAAACGCTCTCTCTCTCTCTCTCTCTTTCTCACTCTTTTGCGTCGGAGAGAAATATCATGGAAATCGATGCGGACTCCGTTTAACTCTATCTATCTCGATATAATATCGTATCGTCTCTCGTGACTTACACACAAAAAATAACATTGCCTTGAGCCGGGAAGCAATTAAAAGAGAGAGAGAAAGAAAAAAAAATCTAAACGTTGGCGACAGCGACGTCGACATAGAGCAATATCCCACGGCAGGAGGCCTCCTCTGTGCCTACTTATGTGTTCTTCGTTGAGTTACAAGTCTCTTTCTACTCTCCCGCTTCGCTTCCTTTTCCTAACCATCGCTTTTGGTATTACACACACGTCCCGAAAAAAAGTTCGCTCGGCTATATTTATGCAAATAAGAATTGCGATCAGAGAAACCGAAAAAAAATATTGTATATCGTACGCGCCACGAGAAGTGCCCGCGCGCCATCGTTTGAGAAAAAGTCAACGTAAGCAAAATAATAATAATAGTAATTAAATCATTACGATGTCAACCAATTCATGATTGCTTCTGTCGGCTAAATAATAATAATCGTTCTTACACAAAGAACTCGAGTGCTTCGATCGGACAGCGAGTCCTTTTGTATTACGGTATTAGAACAACGTCTTGCATACATAAAGAGGCGCGATAAAGTTTATTAGAAGATAAGAGCTGCCCTCGCTATATAGCGAGCAGCGGCTGAGATGAAAAAGGTCAATGAACAGAAAAATACAAATGAGCGAGAATCGCGATTGGATTTCGAGCTTCACTGGAAGCGAGCAATCGCTGTGTTACATACAGCAGGCAAATCGAATCTTTGCTCTCGTTTGCCACTATTAATGCAGGAAGTAGGCCGCTACCGTCTGCCTCATGTATATATTCGTGTAATATTTAAGTATATAATAGTCTAAACGCGAACCGTCGCCGCCACCGCCGTCGCTCGAGTAAATCTTTTGTCAGTCGTCACGCTCACGCGTATACACATCTCTCGTCGTGCATGCCACATTGCAGGCGGTGTGGCACACTAAACGACGAACGAAAGCAAAATGTGTTATTATTAAAAAAGAAGGCGCAGAGGAGTGATATATTTTTTGCGCGGCGCTGTGGCTCGCGGCACGTCGTGCGCAGCGATAATTGTTTGAGATCGATCGACGCTATACAGAGTCGTCGCAGTCGTCGCCGCCGTCAACTGACTTTCGAGTTTTTTTTTTCGCAGAAGTGGAACAGTTTCTTAGATTGCGCATGGCCCGGCTCAGTAACTTTCTCAAAGTCGTACGCTGCACGGGAGTCGAATGGTTTGCGCGCACGACGCGCGTGGCCATTGCCCGTTGTTTCCTTTGGACCGATCTCGTATGACAAAAAAAAAACTCGGAAAAAAAGAAAGAAAAGTTTTGTCAAAGTTTTGCGATAGATGCCGGGCCCGTTTCCGGCTTCCGCGCCGCGAGCACCCAGAAAATAACCAGAAGACGCAAAAGTGCGCCGGCTGCCCCTCATACGCGTATACATTGCATTTTGCCTCGGCACATATAAACGCTGTTGCGTAAACGTAGGGGCATATACACACATAATATAGACTGCGAAGAAATAGGAGCGACGAGAGAGAGAGAGAGCCGGTCGCGTAAAAATCAATAATCCGAGGCAAGTCTGCGTAAAGTAAAAGAGCGCGCGGGGCACCCTCGTTGACTCGTGCCGAGATATACATTATAGAAAGTCGTCCTGCACTTCTTCTTCTGTCGCGACGGTATAAAGTTCACGTGCGGAGGGGAGATGCATGACACTTGAAAACTGCAGCCGGATCGGATCTTCGACCTTTGAGGCGCGAAACTTTCGGTGCATTTTGTCACCTCGCGTCCGGCCTATGGGCCTATGGGTATCCTCCCGTTTGTAAACATTATTTAGCATTAATGCGATAGTCGGCTTGTTTACAAACACATTTTTATCCAACAATATAACGCGTGGATTCGTATCTCTATATAACAAAAATAGCTTGAAAACGTTCAAGAGCTACGCGAATAGCAGCTATACTTGATTCAATTAATTTCGCTTGCATAAACAAATCCTAAATGCAGCGTATATATGAAGTGAAACAGGAGCGTGGTTAAATATGACAAAATCGATATCGTTATTGCGAAATCGATGAGTCGCTCTCGCAAGCTGTGTCAATCGATGCCCTGCGCTGCGGCTTACAAGCGCGCCTTAGCAACGATGCGCACCTCCTCTCAGCCTATACCTATATGTCTATATTTACTTCGTCTCTCGCTCGTCTTACCCAAGCGGCAGCTAAGTTCTTTGTTGACAGAACTAGCCGTGATACGCGAAGTAAGTATTCGCAGCAGCACATTATACCGTACACGCGAACTCGGAAACTATACGTATAAATAATTCAGCAACGACACAAAAGTTTTGGCGACGCAGATACACACACACGAGCTGTGCTGTGGCATCTGCGTTTTTTCACGTACATCTCTTTCTTTCTCGGCCGATTTCTCTATACCAGATACCGAGTGGCCAACGCAGCGGTGTCTCCAAATAGAAACTCACACTATCTATATATGTCTGTGACATAGGCGCGCTCGACGGCGCATCCTCTACGATAGATATACGTGTAAACGTAAAGTGCGATTTCAGAGTTCATTGTCTGCGGGTGGAAATGCTGTATACGATACACGAGTTTGTCGACGCCGCGTTGGTGCTGCTGATCCCTGTGCGTGAGTCCGTCGCCAGAAGGGCGTCGAATAGAGCCAACAGGAGTGCGAAAACACCACGCGCATTACATAGATGTGCGTGTATTGGTATACGTGCATGTGCACATGGCGCGGATACGAGCTTGTGCGGAGGAACGAGAGCGCAAAAAATCGAGCACGCAACGCGGATAAGCTCTTATTCCTCGGCTACTATACTCCTCCTCGAGAAGGAGAGAAAAAAGAGAAAGAAGAGAGACTCGTACGTACACAAACACGCTGTGCTAAGTAGGACTCTTATACTTTCTTCTTTCTACGTATAAGCTGCGATCTAATCCGTACACAATTATAAAATACATCATTTATGCATAATATGTGCGAGGCAGCAGCTCGCTCAGAGCGCTGTAATATAAGGTAGACGAAGGTGCTTTTTGCCGTGCAAAAACGACGCTTCGCTGTTAATATACCTGCTCACACGCGAGTCCTGCGCCTTGCAAACGTAACACGCATAATATGTATAAAACGTGCGTGTGCGCGCACATTATATTTATACGTACACGCTATACACATTCGTATATATAATATATTATTATGTCCATGCCTCGACCGTGCCGCTTTTGTGTACCGTATACATACTTAATACACGATGCATTATGCGGGGCCCGACGTGCAAGCTGCTGCGGCTTGGACGCACGCGCTCGCCGTGCACTCCCGCAGAGCGACGAGCGCGTGCCTTTGTTTATGAACAAACTGCACGAAGAAAAAGAAGAACTCGCGCGTGCAGCATCTCGACACAAAGTCTCGTCTCGCTCGAGGTTGACGCACCGCTATACAGCTTGCCCGATTAGCATGTAATGTATATTTACCGTCGCGCAGACGAGATCAGCTGACCGATAGCGACGATGAATATGTGCGAGAGGCCCAGCACGTCGCGCAGCAACTGCACCCCTCCCCCCCTCGTATCTCCGCATGCCCCAAATTATCCCGACAAAGGCTCGCTGAAAATTATAACGATGTAACGCGTATCTCGAGCTCGTGCGCACGCCATCGAGAGCATCGCTCCGCAGAGAGGCACACATCTGCACCACCCCCGCGCCCCGTCGCCGCTTGGCTATTAGCATCGCACGCGCGCATCCACCTAGAAGCGACATTAACGTTTTAAACATTCGTGCATCCCAATAAATCGCATCGACGAACTGCGACAACAAATAACTAGAAGCAGCGCAGTCGAGCGACCGTGTACTTAATATACCTATGTATACACGTATATAATAACTCAAGCAATCGATTGTAAGCTAGCCACTGTTATATCTGTGTAGCAAACTGCACCATGTCCTGCGAAATATGTGTATACTATTAAAGGTTCGATGAGCGAGTCTCCGTGCGGGAGAAGAACCCGATGCACGCAGCCATCCGCGCAGCATCGAGCTTACAAGACGCATGTTTACTTTTTATTTATAAATACACTCACCTCCAGTTGAGAAGTCGTTGGCCTGTCGCGGGTGTCTCTCTCTCGGATTCGAGTTAGCAGATCCCGAGCTCGTTTCTTGTTTTCTTTCGTTCGATATAATGCTACACGCGTGCTACTGCTCGTCTTCCGTGCTAACGGCACTGATCGCACATACACGCATAATCATTTGCACAGAGAAAAGCACCGGACACATTGCTCTCGAGAAAAACCGAGAGGATATATACGTGTATAAATATGTGCACAGACACCTACACACATGTATCTACATATTTACACACTGGAAGGCTCAACTCTCGAGCCGCACGCGACGACGACGAAGACGACGACGAAGACGAACAATGACACCGCAGTGCAGTCGCGCGCGCTCTGCAGATGCGAGTCCTCGCAGTCCGAGGACTTGTCGGACAAGACTACGCCTTTCCAAGCGTATAACTGGAGGAATAGAGAGACTTCATCGAGCCAGCTCGACTATTTGAAAAGCTCGCAGTTCTTTGCTGCACACACATACACACGCGCGCGCACGCACAGTCACCGAGACACATAGACTTTTACACATGCACTCGATTGCAGGACAGACAGTGCACTAGGTGCAGCAATAGCGCACCTAGGATGAAACGATCAAACAAATCCGGCAGCTATGCTGCGTATGCGAGGGAGACTCGAGAGAGCGTCAACTCCGGGCCGCCTGTTCTCTCTCTTTCTCTGCTTTGCTCTGCTTTGCTGCTCTGCTCTGTCACACCGCACAATCCGCATGTAAAACGAGCGAGGAAGGTATCTGCGACTACTTTAAGCTATTGGAGAGAAACTGTATTCACGGACGGTGGAGGCGCTACTTACAGGCGCTTTGGCCTCACTCGCGCACCAGCTTATAATGATAATAATAACAATATGATGTTTATATCGTATGTATATATGTATATAATCCACGCCGAGTCTATGTGCCGCGAATGCGAACTTTATAGCTCACGAGTCGTTGACTTACACTGCGACAGGCTGTGGCGGCGTCGGCGGCGACGGTGGCGACTGGCGAGCCACTGCGTTATAGCAAATAGCAACAAAAAAGTTGCCACAATTGAACCCTTGGCGCATTCGCCAGACTAACGACATCTCTCGCTCTTGATCTCAACTACGCGCTAGTGTAGACTTGACCCCCGGCCTCGCAGTCCCAAGTCCCAACACTATATAATTAATTCATGAATGATTTACATGTACAGAGTCTTTCTTTTTGCAGTTTTTTAAATTACTTTATTGACTTTTGATTTTAGAACACGAAAAGTAGAGGAAATTTTAATAATTTATTTCTTCGAAACTACTCGGCGCAGGGTAAAATCTCTAGTACCGACCATGCTCTTCCTGTTTTCGACTACTGAAGAATATACTATTTAAACAATGAAAATTCATATAAAAAATTTATTTGACTTAATCAACAATTCTTTCCCTTTCAAAGATGTTATACTTTTTCAGAAAAACTATAGCTTCATTTGAAAAGTAAAAATAAAAATAAATGAAAAAACATAAATATGCCTATGAATGAAAAACATGAAAATTAAGGATTACTATTAAAATTTTTGTTTCAGATGTAAAAATATGTTTTTTTTATAGGTCCTTTTATAACAAAAAATATGTCTAGTTCTTCTTATTATTAAAATTCATCCAGGATTCATAAATATTGACTTGTGATTTCTAAGTCAATGATGGCACGATTTTGAATGTAATATTTATTCAATTTGCATCCTTTAGGTCTCAAAAGTTTTGTAATAAAATTCTTTTCTACTTGAGTGAAGTTTTGATCAATATTTTTTTATTTTGTAGTTAAATATTAAGTGTTTTGCTCTTCGCAATGATCTTTGTACAAGTTTTTATAACACTCTAATTATTTTTCGATATTTTGTCTAAATTGAAGGCTTCGAGTCATGATTGGGACGTAATTTAATGTTCGTTCAATGAGATACTCTGCATCGGCCAAAATATTGCCAACTACTTTCGCAGTAAGAACAGGCTCGGGTTCTTCATTTGCAATCATTTCTTCTTCAGCTGCTGCATTTTGTACGATTGCATCAATCTCGGCGACGCTTAAAACTTCAGTTGACGATACCAAATCAAAAAGCTCGGATTCTTGCAAGTCACTGAAACTTTCTCCACCAAAACTTCTTGCAATGTTAACAGCTTCACGTATCACTTGCTCTTGCACATGACCTTGAATTTCAGACACTTGATTTTTCTCAACTAGTTCCGGTAAAAGGTTGTTCCATTCATTATTCAACGTTGTATTTTTGATCATTCTCTAACTTTCATCAACAATAGATATTGAGTGAGCGATGTTAAAATTTTTTCAAAATTGTTTAACATAATTTTCAGAAGCATCTAAAATTTTAATTTCTTCCACCGAATTCAGCACTTTTTTATTCTATTAGCTTACAATTTTCTTATTGCTATATTATATGCTTATTTAAATTAGAAATTTAAGGGCGAGTCATAATTAAAAAAAAATTAAAAATCTTTTTTTAAAATGTATGAGCGAAAAAGGTTAACTCTGAGCGAAGAAACCGCAAATACGGAAACAAAATACCACGAATACTGAAGTGAGGTCACAAACAGGGTTACCGGGAATACGGAAAATCGCGAATACCGAATCCGCGAATAACGGGGCACGCTGCGCCGTGTGGAAAAATCTTAAAATCGACTTCTACTCGATGATGAAAAATAATATACGTAACTGAGGCGGGGGGTTGTCTATCTTGCAAGAGGGTCAGTTTGCAGCCCGAGCGTAGCGAGTAATTAAGTAATTCAGTAGCGAGTAATGTACTATTGGGCACTTGTTGCATAAATAACTATTTATTAATTTTGTGCAAAGTCATTAGAGGAATCTTTTACCGAAGCAATGTTAAAATTAGCTACTTTTAATAAATTGTAATTCTTTTTTTACGTAGTTCAAGCATGTTCAAGTATCTTATTCTTCTTTTATTAAAAATTTTTATGAGTACAGAGATATCATTGACGTTATGTACGACAGTCCTGTTTTAAAAACCTAAATTTTTTTTCATACCATAAGTATTTAATCGAAATAAATTAAAAATCTTTAAACTTACAAAGTTTACTATTTGAAAATGTAAGACTACGCAGGGTCCAGCATTCCAAGCACATGGCTTACTCGCTCTTTTCATCATTAAAAGAAAAATTAATCTACTTTTGGCTTTCCACCGATACCAATCGCTGAAATAACTGTTAATACACAATTTTAAAGTACAAAATTAATTATTTTTCAATTATTTCTCACCAAGCGAGTCCAATATCGCTGCTAACATCAATTAATAATTGACTTGGAAAACAGGTTATAGCAGTACACACGATGGTTCCAACGAAACCACAATACATCTTTATCGCATCCACAGTCAATCCTTTTTCGAACATAGTCACTGACTACAAAAATCAAAATTTCAAAGAATTACAGCCACAGTATATGAGGGCCAGAAAAAGATATTGTTTCTTGTTTGCATTGTTTTATTTGTTGCATCCTAATCTTACCGCATAACCCAGTATAATAAATGACAATAGATTGAGAGTAAGGCTGTGAAGTAAAATTGGCCGACAATATTTATCTGCGATCTCGAATAATCTGAAATTTTTTCATTCGTATATTGGAAATTGATTTTTTATTATTAAGCGATTACATAATACTTAACTGAATACTCATTTGGTGGATTTTTACGCACTTAATCAACTTCTTTTGAATTTCTTCGGCGCTTTCTAAATCGAATATAATATCCAACTTTATATTTTCAATCGATTTTCTAAAATTCATATGATGAATGTTCAAATGATGAAAAATAAAATTATCAATAAATTTTTCGTACTTCGTATGGTGTAATCGCATAAATATGAGACAACTGTAAAACATATATGAGCCCAGTAATCCGCTTCCAAACAAATCCATGAAAGTAATATTTACGGTTTCATAAATAAATATATAGTCGTAGTACACATCGTCATTGACAGAGAACTTGGCATATATAATAGGACTTTTCTTATTATAAGCTACCAAATTCCAAACAACAGGAGTATAAAGAAACGCAAAATATAAGCTAGACATAAAACCTGAAAAAAGGATGTAATAATTAAATGATCTTAATGAATATCTACGTAATATTATTTACAGAATCCTATGATCCACATTTCATAACAGATTCTCAATGATTTTATCCACGAATATTTTTCCATTAAATTATTTTCATTCTCATAATTTAGATAAATAGTGTGCACGCAAACAAGAAGCTTAAAAATAAAATTCAATCATTTTTAAATTGTATTTTTCGATTATAAAATAAATTTGAACAATCTACTTTTACCTGTTTGTTGTAAATCGTTCCTATTAGGTAATACAATAATAAAGATACAAGTATAAATAATTGAAATAACATTTCAAATAAAATAACTGGATCGGTTTCTAATGGGCTGCAAATCTCATGGTTAATGCAGGTGATCTTGAATACGTTTTTATTTTATTTATTATGAGATGCGCGAATTGTTAATTTGTTTAAGTATAAAAGAATGTATCTTTACCATGGCGTACGTAATGAAAACTAAATTCATAATGATGCACGTCCTACCTGCAAAATTTACTCTATAATCACTGTAAGGCCACCAAAAAATAAATTTAAACGCCATCAAAAGCCAATAAGTGTGCGTGTAAAAAAACTGTTCTAGTTTCAAAATAGTCTTTACGTCGTCCATTAGTAAAGATTAGTCGCATTATGCCGCAGTTGATAAATGTGTTACATATTAGTTGCCATTTAATACTTTTATATTTAAAATACCTATTTACTCGAGAATTTTCGCGAAATAGTACTTGCTTTTGTTAGCATAACGTCTATTGTGAGTATAATTTTGTAATAAGTAGAATATCAAATATTACTGCGAATGATGTTTTTTTAACGAACATCGCATCGTAGCGCATGCCAAGCACTAAATATGATTGGAGCATGTTCTGAAGACCTGAAATATATGAAAAAATACCATAATAAATTTACATCATAAAATCAATTCTTATTATTTAATCGTGAACTATTTTATTGAAAAAACTTTAATGTACAATTAAACAGTAAATTAACAAATATCGACATAAGTTACAAGAAATATGAAAATTATCTACATAGTTGCTAATTATATTATTTTATATGAATAATCTTTTATGAATCCAGAGATATCATTGCCATTATGTCCTGATAAGGCCATATAAAAGTCATCTTCACAATTTTTGGGAGTAGTGGAAAATGTTTTTCGTAAAAATCATAATCATTTCCCTATTGTTAACATTTGAAAACATTCTTACAGTCATTTTAATACAATTTTTGAACTTTTAATTATTCAAATTCCATGAAATAGATTTTGAACAATTATCATCTATTGTTTCGTAAAACTTAATAATAACGTTGACCATAAAATGTATTAAACTTTATACTTAAAAAAAAAGAATAATTGAAGAAAATTCCTTTGATGTGCTCAACGTTAGTTACACAAAAAAGAATGTAGTTGTAGTAAATATATTTCAATTCGACCGAAAGTTTATTTTATTAATTCATGTAAGACTTTTGATTTGAAAAAGAAGGTCTTTAGGTATACCTCATTGATTTTCTTTTGTCTAACATATATGAGTATAACATCGATGTTCAGCGAATATTTTCCTATTGTATTATGAAAAATTCGACGCTGAAAATACTTTTTTAAACTGATTTACAAAAAATTGTTCTTGAACCACAGTAAATAGTTTTCTGAAACCTATAGCTTAACCCCTTGTTAGTATTGTGAAATTTGTAGAGAAAAACATAAGTAAAAGCACATTTCGTTCGAGTTTTATCTTAGTCAGCCCATTTTGTCTAAAAAATCCTTCTGCTTCATAGAAAATGAAAAAAAACCTCATAAAGCATTCTAGCTCCATACACTTCCATTCTGTTCCAGTTAAGTATTTGTAAACACTTCGAGGTCACTCGGCTGCTTCTTCTGCTCGCGTAGACTCGTCTTCATTTCGATTTCATAATTTTTAATGCTAATTAATTTTAACTGCATTTCGTAAAACAAAATGTATTCATCAAGTAATCTTACACTGCAAAAAAATGAAGTCCAGTGATACAACCAACTATGCTGATGAGTAATTGTCATTTTTCAAATTAAAATAACGAAATTAGGGATTAAGCGATAGTCAGCGCCCTCTGTGAATTCAATGCGGTCGTCTCATAAGAACCTTAGGACCGCCTGTGATCCAGCTGAAACAGTTTACAGGCGGTACTAAGGTTCTTATGGGACGACCGCATTGAATTTACAGATGGCGCTGACTATCGTTTAATCCCCAATAATTAAGGGTATTTTTTTAATTTTATCGATTTTTAGATAATAAAAGAAAAGCCTTTTGATATGTGTTCTAATGAAGAGGATTATGGCGAAACGAAAAACCAAATATTATGCACTGACAATCGGCAATCCACAAGGAAATACTGTGAGTTGGTTCGTAACTTTTTTTTATCAAATTATTTTGCCCGGTTGACTTGACAGAGAATCGGCCAGGTGCATTTAGATACTTTTCTGGCCAGTTAGAAATTAGGTAGTTTTGCTGAATAATGCCACGTGGACGCAATACAAGGAGAATTAACATAAAATTACTCATAGTTAACTTCAAATCACATAAAATACAATCATTTTATCAAAAATCAGATGAGATATCAGGTGACTCCACAACTAATGTCTTGGCATGATTTTGTCACCTGATTTGTCACCTAATTTTTTCCTACAGGAAATAGTTAACCAAACGCCGAGATAGAATTCGTTACAGATTTCTAGTGCTGTACTACGTATTCACAGTTAATTTCATAAAGTTCCGATAGAAATTGAAGAAGTTATCGCTAAAAAACACGATTTCGAAAATTGGAAATATTCCAATTTCCAAAAAAGGGGCGGGGCAATGCGTATGGAACCGAATTAGGCCAAATCGTAATATTTTTCTGCCTAAATTAATGGTTTTCTCAATATTTTCCTACTAAAGAGTAACCTTTGCGCCTGAATAGTATTTGTTACTGATTTCTAGAGCTGTGCTACGTATTCACAGTAAATTTTATGAAGATCCGATGAAAATTGAAAAAGTCATCGCGAAACAACCCAATTTTGAAAATTGAAAATATTTCATTTTTCAAAAAAGGGGCGGGGCAGTGCGTATGGAACCGAATTTGGCCAAATCGTAATATTTTGCGGCCTAAATTAATAGTTTTCTCACTATTTTCCTCCTAAAGAGTTGACTTTGCGCCTGAATAGTAATTGTTACAGATTTCTTGTGCTATGCTACGTATCCAAGGCAAATTTTATGAAAATCCGATGAAAATTGAAAAAATCATCGCAAAAAAACACAATTTCGAAAATTGGAAATATTCCTTTTTCCAAAAAAGGGGCGGGGCAATGCGTATGGAGCCGAATTATGCCAAGTCGTAATATTTTGCGGCCTAAATTAATAGTTTTCTCACTATTTTCCTCCTAAAGAGTTAACTTTGCGCCTGAATAGTAATTGTTACAGATTTCTTGTGCTATGCTACGTATCCAAGGCAAATTTTATGAAAATCCGATGAAAATTGAAAAAATCATCGCAAAAAAACACAATTTCGAAAATTGGAAATATTCCTTTTTCCAAAAAAGGGCCGAGGAAATGCTTATGGAACTGAATAAGGCCAAATTGTAATATTTTTCGCCCTAAATTAATAGTTTTCTCGATATTTTCCTAACAAAGAGTTATCTTTGAACCTTGACAGTATTCGTTACTGATTTCTATAGCTGTGCGACGTTTTCACAGTAAATTTTATTAAGATCCGATGGAAATTGAAAAAGTCATCGCGAAACAACCCAATTTTGAAAATTGAAAATATTTCATTTTTCAAAAAAGGGGCGGGGCAGTGCGTATGGAACCGAATTTGGCCAAATCGTAATATTTTTCGGCCTAAATTAATGGTTTTCTCGATATTTTCCTACTAAAAAGTAACCTTTGCGCCTGGATAGTATTTGTTACTGATTTCTAGAGCTGTGCTACGTATCCACAGTAAATTTTATTAAGATCCGATGAAAATTGAAGAAGTTATCGTGAAAATACGCAATTTTGAAAATTGAAAATATTCCATTTTCCAAAAAAGGGGCGGGGCAATGCGTATGGAACTGAATTAGGCCAAATCGTAATATTTTTCTGCCTAAATTAATGGTTTTCTCAATATTTTCCTACTAAAGAGTAACCTTTGCGCCTGGATAGTATTTGTTACTGATTTCTAGAGCTGTGCTACGTATTCACAGTAAATTTTATGAAGATCCGATGAAAATTGAATAAGTTATCGCGAAAAAACCCACTTTTAAAAATTGAAAATATTCCGTTTTTTTCAATTGATACACTATAGTCCAAAGAAGATAAATACTTACGTATGGAAGTGTCCTTTGAGCAAAGTGGGGCTCCTAAGTGATTGATGGCGCCGCATATGGGGGTCGATGAATAGAGAAAAATTTCAATTTTTTTGGAAGATAATTCTTTCAGGCACCAAAAACGTTCGAGCAATTAATTATTCAGGGAATCAATTTTCGGGGGAAGTACCGCGAACCGGACTAAGTGATACCATGTCGGGCTGCCCTAGGAGTTGCTGTGACAAAATAAACGATAGTCATATAAAAGATCGAACAATCACAGTAAATTTATTTTAATCCTATCAAAAGCTAATTTTATTTATTCATGTAAGAGTCAATTTTGTTTTGAAAAGAAAGGTCTTTCCGTATATCTCATAGATTTTCATTTCATTGGAATATGACTATAACCACGTGCATTGAATTTTTTTTATTTCACACATTTTCCAGGCAACGTATGCGGAAAAACATTATCATAAAAGTCTTATCTGAAAACCTTCATGTATTTAGTCTTTTGAAAGATTAACAATATGGAATAAGTTTATTTTATTTGTATTAATTATCGATGAAGAGCATATAACTCAAAAACTATGATGCCATTAAAAATGCATATTTAAAAAAATTTTTTGAATTTAAATCATTCATCAAAACGTTCAAAACGTTCGGGCAATTAATTATTCAGGGAATCAATTTTCGGGAGAATTGATGCAAAAACCCCGACGGAAATTTTTCTTATGAGAATGTTTTATAAAATCATTGAAGTGTTGAAGCATTTCTAGAAACTTTTAGAATCACTTTGGGGCTTAACATTTTTTCGAAAACCGTGTCTACGAACAAACCAACTAAACAATATGAATCGTAGCAAGTGAAGATACAGACTGGGCAGATATTTATTTTGTTGGGTGTACAATTTGAATGGTTCCATTCTGGTGTGAATAATATACTCATCATTTATTTTGCATAGACTTAAATTTAATAAATTTGCCTATTTACATGATTATTAGCTTTGAAGTAAATTATAAATGTACTTTTTATTTTAAAAATAAAATTTCAATATATACATGTAACAATTATACATTTACTTGTCAAAAATTATTGTTTTACCGTAGTATTTGCAGCATTATTACAATCATTAAAGCAACTACAAAAACAATAACAGGTACACTTTTTATAATAGCATCATATGGAATTTTAATGCTTTTTATGATTTTATTATTTAGTTCAAAAACAGTTTTGCTTTCTTTAATCAGTTCTTCTTTCTTTTCTTCACTTAATACTGAAACAATTTTATTTATGGTAAAACGTAAATGTGTTTTCAATTGATGAACAGTTGTTCCTTCAAACTCTGTTATATTGTAACCGTTTTGAAAATTGGAAGATCCAAATAAGTTATTTTTTAGAATCATTTTCTTACGTAAAATCATTCCACCACTTAAGAGACCCATATACAGATGATAAATATAGGCAATCAAAAGTATCGAATCAGAACGCTCTACTTCTTGCAGTTTTTTCAAATAATCAGTTACGCTTTTCCTAGAAATATAATTATACTATTGTTTATTACAATCTTGACTATATTCCGAACCGCTTTTAAACTTATATATTACCTTGATTGATATGTTTTTTTCCAATCTTTGCCTAAGTAATACTCTAAATCTTTTTCAAAAGCCTCAGTGCGTTCAAGTCCTTTTACATACATAAGCCCAACAGGAGAATCTTTTAGTCTGAACATAGCTTCTTCCATAAATTTAAAAATTTCATAAAAGACTAATAACCCATCAGCCCACACTTGATTATCTGATAGTCCTATGAAATGATTTGTTGCATTAACAAATGTTGTAAAGAATGTCGTAATAAATAATATGATCCTTTTAGGTTAATTTACCTAGCGCTAATTTCGCATTTACAAGTGCATCACTGATTGCATGAACCTGTCTAGTAGCTTTTCGCATTCTTTTACAGAAATCATCTTCAGCATCTTTCATGTTGCTTTTAATCTATAGAGTGAGATTTGACTCTCATTCGAATTGAGCAGTAATTAGATGGATAAACGTGATAACTATGGTATATTGTTTTGTTATGACTTTAAGTTTTACAATTCTTGTCGTCTGCTGCGCAGAGCGCGTAGACTGCATACGATCGCTTATAACATGGCTATATTGTTAAGTGTATTTTGAAATCAACGCGGAGCACAATCACTAAAATTACGCCTAAAACAAAAGCAACTTTTGCGACCGAGCGGTATGTCTAGTACGGTACATTATGTTCATGCTGTGTCGTCACGATACCAAGTGGTACTCGTCAATGCCGTCAAGAAATATTGAATTTTACTCGATAAATTGTTATCGACATTAAAAAGTCGAAAATTTACAAGTTCGAATTCGCTGTACAAAAAAGGCAATGTGAGCTAGTTGATTGTCAAATATGCACCTTATTTTTTATCACTCTATAAGATTGTCGTAAAACTGTCAAAATAAGCAGTCGACTCTGCTACTGTTTCACGTAATCTAGCTCCTATAGTGGCTTCAATGGTACTATTTCTAAAATACACCCAGTTTATGAAATACACCCTGAGTTATCGGACAGGTTGAATTAATTGATGTGTTTTAACTTCTAGGTGCTACGACCCGCGTGATACATAACAACGATGACGACTGTCAGTCGCGAAATACCAATCCCCGACCATTGAGAGAGAGCTTTCACGAATTCGCGTGTGTAAACATTTAGCACTAAGCGTTATATTATACGTACTTCGCACACACCGGCTCCTATACAGTATACATTATTTGTATTGTTATTATTTGCCCGCACTTTTTGCTGTCGGCTGTACATACAGCAAGGCCTTGGACGATGAGCAGTAGCTTCGCCATATCTCAAGTTGGCTTTCGTCTCAAAAAATTTATTGTTTATAATTTGTACAAGTGCAAAGAGTTATGTAAAGCAACAATGGGTACTTACACCTTTTTTTTACTTTTTCAAAATGAGTAACAATTTTAATTTTGATCACTAAATTTTCTGTAATTTAGCTGAACCTATGGTGCAAAGTAAAGACCACATCATATGGATTGATCTTGAGGCTAGTTTTTTTATATCAATTTTGTATTTTCAGCTAAGTTTTTATTACATCCATGTAAATTGATATTGTTTTATTTACATTCACAGATGACTGGTCTCAATCTCATTGAAGATAGGATTTTAGAAGTTGCCAGTGTAATAACTGATAAAAATTTGAACATTATTAGTGATTCATTTGAAGTTGTTATAAATCAGCCCAAAGCTATTTTAGATGGCATGATTCCTTGGTGTCAGGAACAACATACAAAAGTATACAATCCTACTTGGTGACTTATTTAGCTATATCTCAACAATATAAACGATAAATTAACTTATAAAACTTACAGACTGGATTGATTGATGAATCACTTAAATCAGTTTTTGATGAAGAGATGGCAGAAGAAGCTTTAATAAAATTCTTCAAGCGATACGTACCTTCTAATTCATGTCCATTAGCAGGTAATTGCTTGTATATGGACAGAGCTTTCCTTCAAAGATATATGCCAAGAGCTTTTGATTACTTAGGAAAAGATGTTATTGATGTTGCATCTATTAACGAATTAGCCAAGTTAGTGAAATAAAATTTGTCACTTCCACTATTTATGAGCATATTTTTATAGTAGTATCATCGTTTTTGTGTTGTAGACGATGGAACAAAAAAGTTGAGAAGAAAAAAAAAAGAAAAACAGGTGATCATAGAGCACTAGGCGACATTAAGGATAGCATTGAAGAACTTGAATACTATAAAAAAAATTTTTTTAACTGACTTGAAATGATCAGTTTATAAATAGTTTTGTACAAAAAAAATTGTTAAAAGTCAATGTATGTTTATATTTAAAATAATGTTCATGTAAAACCAAAAGATCATTTTTTTAAAATTTTAACTGTTTTTTGTAAAAACCACGGTGATTATGTTGATGAGATATGAGATTTTAAACAGCAAAAATGTATAAAGTATATATAAATGTATATTTTTATAACATCTTAAAATTGATTATTATTATTTCTTTGTTTATAATAAATAAAAAAAAATAGTATCAGTTGAGCGAGTTATTCGCTATATCATCGTAATTCACTTCTTACGTTGTTTTCTATTTTCAAATCTACAAGTAGTGTACATATCCGAATAACCTGCCTTATGTCAACATCTTTAACGCGAGGAGAAATAAAGACGAGCATATACTTCTCCGTATTGTGACGTCAACAACTCGAATGAGTAAGGAAGGGTGTGTTATAGGTACATACTCTACTTAGCTGAGTTAGCAGAGCTGTATCACAAAGTGTAGTATTGTACAGTCATACTGAGATTGGCATTATATAGGTATAGTATACCTTAGTTGCCGTTAGATCGGGGCCACAGGCCGTAGCGTAGCTCTCGTTCCATCCTTTTTCCCCGTTGAACATACCCAATACTAGTTTACGCAGTGTGAATAAAAGAAGTGAAATTGAGTTTCCGCAAAGGTGAAAAAAGCGTTTGACGCTTGTAAAGCCCAGTTTTAATTTACATGAAGGTATGTAACATGAGAATTTTCACTTGACGTAAGAGCATAACAAATTTTGGGTGTTCCTCATACGAGTACTGTCATATACTTATGTCGAATGTTATATTTACTCATTGCAAATAATGAATTTTTTTTGTATAACATTTTTCTGTTCTTGTCTTTACTTTCATTTTCATCTGTTTCTCATCGATGATTAATTGATGAAAAATTTACGATGTTGCTGTGACTCATACACACTGTACTTTCTGATGAGTGCCAGCAAGGAGAGGCGTTGTTAATGCAGCGAAAAGTACAATACTTATCTCGTGTTTGCTGCATTCTTTCCTATGGTCGTTCGCAATTTGTAGTAAACTAACACTAGGAAAGTCTAGCATTTCATTCTTCAATCAGATTTAAACACAATCGCTTCTAAAAATTTTAATTTCAAGATTTAAAAAACTGAATTATTTTCTATTAAAATAACGAAAAAAATTTTATTTGACAATTAAATATTTTATGGACAGGAAAATTTATTAAAGTGATAATTTTGTTTTGCTAGAATATTAAGTGACACTGCAAACATGTCGGACCACTACGGGCCAATAACTTTAAAATGGGATCCCAAAAATTTAGAAATTCGTACCATGTCTGTAGAAAAAACTTTAGAGCCTTTGGTTCTACAAGTAACAACATTGGTCAATACAAAAGGACCAAGCAAGAAGAAAAAAGGCAAGTCGAAGAGAGCTAGCGCTCTTGTTGCAGCTGTTGAAAAAGCTACAGACAATTTTATTGAAAAAGGTGAACAAATTGCTTATGAAAATCCTGATATTACCGATGAGATGCTGAGTGCAGTTGATGAAGTTAAAAAAACTGGATCCACTATGAGTATTGCTGCCAGGTAAAGAAAATGAATTATTTTTACTAAAATAAATTCTAGTTTTCAAATCTTTATTTTAAAAAATCAACAATTTTCAGAGAATTTTCAGAAGATCCTTGTTCATCATTAAAAAGAGGCAATATGGTACGAGCAGCTCGTAACCTACTCTCAGCTGTTACACGTTTGCTCATTCTTGCTGATATGGTTGATGTACATTTGTTACTTAAATCATTACACGTTGTTGAAGATGACTTGAAAAAATTAAAAAATGCTTCATCCCAAGGAGAATTGATAGAAAATATCAAACAATTTGGTAGAAATGCTTCTGAACTTATGAACCAAGCTGCAAAACGTCAACAAGAACTTAAAGATCCACAACTTAGAGATGATCTTGCTGCTGCAAGGGCAGTTCTAAAGAAACATTCTACCATGTTACTTACAGCATCAAAAGTTTATGTCAGACATCCTGAGTTAGCTGCTGCAAAAGCCAATAGAGACTACGTATTAAAACAGGTTCGTAGCAGAAAACTTATGATTAATGAAAGCTATGATACAAATATTCAATAATAACATATACATTTAACATATACATTTAACGCATACATGTAACTCATACATGTAAAACTAATGAAAATATTCATACACATTCAAGCTTCCAGAGTAATACATGTTCATTGCACATTTTCAATCAATAGATCAATACTCAACCCCTACTAAAAGAATCACCTATAACAAGCTTAAACTTGTTAGGTGCTTTTCACATGCACGTAGAACGCGCGCAACCCACATATGCGTGTGGATGAAGAAAAACCATTATGTATCAGTTTAATTTTTTTACTCATGCAGGTATGTGAAGCGGTGAATACGATAAACGACGTCGCGCAAGGTAAGATTCCAAGCGATAGCCAACATCCTTACGACGGACCGGGTGAATTAGCCGCGGCGTTGGACGACTTTGATGAACGTATGGTCATGCATCCATTGGCTTATAACGAAGTTCGCACCAGACCAAGCTTGGAGGAACGCCTCGAGAGCATAATCAGTGGCGCAGCGCTTATGGCCGATTCTTCGTGCACGAGAGATGACAGAAGAGAAAGAATCGTTGCTGAATGTAATGCTGTAAGACAGGCATTACAAGATTTGCTGAGCGAATACATGAAGAACGTTAGTATATACTTTTATCAAATAATTTCTTATCAGTATTCCTTTTGTTACCTCTTATTCAAAAAGATGAAACTTTTTTACTTTAATAGAGTGCTTTTTATTTTTTTAGTCAATTTTAATCCATATTTCAAATAAATTCAGCTGCTTTAATGTTCATTAATGATTTTCGAAACTTGATATTTGTTACAGTTTATTACAATTTTGCAATAAAAATCTATTGAATAATTTAAGCTTGAGAACCATGCAGAAAGCATCTAATTTTTTCTACTTTTAACTTATTTTTAAGCAATCTATTACAATGTTTCGTTTTATTTTTGTTTTAACTCTTGACAGTTACAACTGGCTCGTGCTGGTAGAAGGGTAAATATTTCAAATACCCCGTACTTCCCGTTTATTGTTAAATTATATTCTCCTCATCAACTAATTGTAACCCAAACTACGTTTTTGATGATTTATACCTTAAGTGTTGTGAAGTTTGTGAGTGTATTTTAAAAGTATATTTCAACAGAACAAACTTCTTTTATGTGCAAATGCTTCACTAATTTGAAAAGTATTTAAGAAAATTTGTGCGTTTTGACTACTATTAAGCTAAAATAATTTCTTAATGCAATTCTTTTGTTTGTTTTTCAATGCCGCACTGTAACGTTTGCACTTTTGGATTTCCAGTAAATATAGTTAATCAACACGACTATATGAGCACAAAATTATTAAGATATATAAAAATGAAACTTCCTTGCAAACTTGATAGTTGACTTATTTTTGAACAAAAAAAATTTAATTTGTCTATTATTTATGCTGATTCTATAATTGAAGAATACTAACCATGAGTTCGAAAATCTGTTTTAAAGTTTTGAGTGTTCTAATTTAGAGATCATAAATATTTCTTCAAATTTCATGTTTTTATCATTTAGATGGGTGTGGAAGAACAGTCTGAAGGACTCGAACGAGCCATCGACCATATGTGCAAAAAGACCCGCGACTTACGCAGACACTTGCGAAAAGCCGTGGTCGATCACGTCTCCGATAGCTTCTTGGAAACGAGTGTTCCTCTCTTGGTCTTGATTGAAGCCGCTCGCAACGGTAGAGACAAAGAAGTCGAAGAGTATGCCCTCGTATTCACCGAACACGCAAACAAATTGGTCGAGGTAAGCCCGCAAACTTACTGCTAAATTTCCTATATGAACTCTCACCAAATTAATTTGTGGTAGGTGGCAAATCTAGTATGCAGTATGTCCAACAACGAAGATGGCGTGAAAATGGTACGCTACGCTGCGGCTCAAATAGAAAATCTCTGCCCTCAAGTAATCAATGCGGCGCGCGTCTTAGCCGCACGTCCACGATCCAAAGTAGCTCAAGATAATATGGAGGTGTTCCGTCAAGCTTGGGAGAATCAAGTCCGTGTTCTGACTGAAGCCGTGGACGACATCACGACGATAGATGATTTTCTCGCAGTATCAGAAAATCATATTCTCGAAGATGTCAACAAATGCGTGTTAGCTTTGCAAGAGGGAGACGCTGACACTCTGGATCGCACAGCTGGAGCGATCCGTGGTCGTTCCGCTAGAGTTTGCAACGTCGTCCAGGCTGAGATGGACAATTATGAGCCGTGCATTTACACTAAGCGCGTGCTCGAGGCTGTTAAGGTTCTCAGAGAGCAGGTCATGCCTAAATTTGCCCAGAGAGTTGAGGTGGCCGTTGACGCATTAGGCAGTACACCTCCAAAGGACGTGGATGAGAACGATTTCATCGATGCTTCCAGGCTCGTGTACGACGGTGTCAGGGAAATCAGACGAGCTGTCCTCATGAATAGGGTGCGTACCAGGGGTATTTTTTTCGTAAGCTTATTTTTATTGTTGATTTTCTTTTATTCCTTATTACTTTACAGGCTGATGAAGATTTAGACCCAGAAGATGTTGAGCTGGATGAGCACTACACATTAGAGACACGCAGCAAGTCAAGCGCCCAAACAGGCGAACATGGTGTTGATGAGTATCCAGAGATCAGCGGTATAACCACGGCTCGTGAAGCTATGCGTAAGATGACCGAGGAGGATAAACAAAAAATTCTTCAACAAGTTGAGCATTTCCGCAGTGAGAAATTGAAATTTGATCGTGAAGTTGCCAAATGGGATGATGCCGGCAACGATATTATCGTTCTTGCCAAACATATGTGCATGATCATGATGGAAATGACGGATTTTACTCGTGGTCGTGGCCCCTTAAAGACCACCATGGACGTCATCAATGCTGCAAAGAAAATTTCTGAATACGGTACGAAGCTTGACAAGCTTACTCGACAAATTGCCGATCAGTGTCCTGAGAGCTCAACGAAGAAGGATCTTATCGCATACTTGCAAAGAATAGCTTTGTATTGCCACCAGATGAACATCACGAGCAAAGTCAAAGCGGACGTGCAGAATATCAGTGGTGAACTGATCGTATCAGGCCTAGACAGTGCCACTTCTCTTATTCAAGCAGCTAAAAATTTAATGAACGCTGTCGTTCTTACTGTTAAGTGTTCTTACGTCGCCAGTACTAAGTATCCCAGACAATCCACCATTACGGTAAGTTTTTTCTCGATTATTTATTATTATTATTTCCTTTTAAACAATAAAATCATTCCATAATTCTTAATAAAACTGATGAGTAAGCAAGTATCTAGAAAGGTATGATTTGATAATAAACAATTATTGGGCTTCCAATGTTTGTAGACTATTGGCGAGAATGAAAAAGAGAAAAATGAATGTCTGGAAGATCCGCTCCTGTTCTACTTACCCGTATCATATAATTTATCTATTACTTATTCAGTATCACTTGTATAAAAATTAAAAGTGCACATGAATAAGCTGTCTAACTAGAACTAACGTTCGCATATTTACACATTGCAACAATATACCTGTATTTATACTATTTAATTAAACTAATCAGGCCACTAACACAGCTAATATAATTATTGATCATTGACACCGATCTTTGCTATCAATAATCACATGCATACTTCAATAGTATTAATGTTTCAAAGCTTGCTAATAAAAATAGCTTTAATGACAATACATGAGAACATAATTTAAAAATAATTCGTGCACAGCACCCTTATAACTACTAAAATCTGAGTTTTTAAAAATGAATTTAGCTAATAAATCCTTTTTATTGCTTGCTAACCTTGTATTTGGAATATGTAGACCGTAAGTATGCGATTTGAAAATGATTACGTATTATAACAAGAGAAAACCTTATTTTAAACTCAGACCGTTGAAAATAATATACATTCTGTATCTACTGAAACGTTCTACTGACCCAAATATTTTAAATGAATTTTCACATTTTAGTCTCCAATCGTCGTATGGAAGATGAAAGCACCAGAGAAAAAACCACTCGTTCGCCCTGAACGCCCAGAAGAAGTTCGCGCTAAAGTACGCAAGGGCTCGCAGAAAAAGGTTCAAAACCCCATTCATGCGCTTTCCGAGTTCCAGAGTCCAACCGAAAGTGTTTAAACATGTAATCATAACGCGCAGAGCGTCAGGAACTCATTCGTGCATCTAATGCACGATTACACGAGCTATCTTTTAAATTTTATATATATTTTTATTTGTATCAATCTTCAACAAAATTTTTTTCTTGTAATCTAATATAATCATACAGTACAAGAGACTGCCAATCATGAAGTATCGATTACTTGAAGGGTTGTATATAAATACATTTAATCTTCATATTTGTGACTGAAACATTTTTTTGATAAATTTTTATATTATATAAATGAAGGGCGAAAAACTAAAAATTGGTGATTCTTCATGCGATAATAATCGATGCATTGAGCGATAAGTCTTAGGTAAAAGAGGCGATATACTTACGTGTTTCTTGCACGTATCCATTTGAAGCAATTGCTTTTTACAAAAAAATTTTGTAACTTATTATGTAAGTGTATTAATTTAAAACAACTAAATAATTGAATTTATACAAAACAAGTTGAATTTTACTACCAGATTTTAATAGTTAAGTAGCACTATTTTTGTTATTTATATGTAATTGCACACTAACAATTTCCATTTAAAGTATTCTAAAAATGTTTTATTTTAAATTAATGCATACCATCGCAAATGAAAACTCATACAAACTATCAATTTTTTTTTAATATTTCACACGAAATTCTAAATAACTCAAATGAAAATCTTTATACTTTTTATACTTTGAAATTTTTACCTAATACTGTGTATTCATGAATTTATAACGATTTGTGTTAAAAAGTTAACAAAATGATACTTGAAAAAAAAGGAACACGATTTAGTAATTAAATTGTATGATAAGTTTAATTGTAACTATACTTATGGGAATATATAAATCGATCAAGTGTAATCGAAATTTTTTGAAATAAAAAATTATTATATCAATATTAATCACTTTTAAGCATGTGCTCTTAGAAATTTGTATTTCTAAAAATGATTTATTTATGAATTACTTGGTTTGATAAAACATTTTAAATCTTTGAGTGCATAATTGAGCTTTTATAGATTAAGGATCTCCATATTTAATCTATAAATTATTTGTTCAAAAACGCTTTGAACATTTTTTTAATTAGATGATCATCATAGTATAAAGCAAACATTAATGTCTTGAAAAGTAAAATTCAATTTTAATTTAACATGCTCAAAAAAAGTATTATTAAAAAGGCAATATAAAAATTTAAGTTGATGTAATGTAACATTTCCTATTAACTACACAATATTATAAAAAAATAAAATTTTACACGTAATCAAAAAAAAGTGTGTATTACTTATTGATCTTTGAAAATACCATTAAAGAATAATTATAAACATTATGTTCAAAAATAAAATAATCTTAAATTGAGTTTTTGGCGTAGTCTTTTTATTTTTTTTTATTGGCATAATGCCGTCGTTTAAATGCTACAAACAAAATAATGATAATTTAAAATGCTGTAGTTTTTTATCCTGAAACTTAGAGATTATCTGGAACATCTTAAAGCAAACATTTCAATGAAATATTAACAATGACATTATTAATCTAGTATTTTCATTCTCAATTCATCATTTATGACAAAAATATAAAAAATGAAATGTTATTAAAAATCATCATTACGTATCCAACGTAAAACTGTAACTATAACTCGGTTGAATTCTTCAGTTACCAATTAGTAAAATGTAAATTAACTCATTAAACTTATTAGTTACATTTTGAACTTATATACTTTTGTACTCGAATTTCATAAAATTACATTTTTTAAAACTTTGAATCACTCTCCAACATTTAATGAACTCATAAAATTTATACATTTAGTTATAATAATAATAACCGCTAATTTAGTGATTCTACTACTCAAAAATTCTTGTGGCGCACCATTGTTTTTTGTACAATTTAATCTGCTATACATTTTTACATTTAAACGCGCTTTTAACTGCTACAATTATGATATTATTGATTATAATCATAAATTATTATACCCAAAATTATTTTCAGAATCAAATAATAAACGTATTTGCTTTTACGCTCACATTCAACTTACTTTGTCGATCCATACAACAAAAACGATATCAAATCAGTTAATTAACACTAGTGAAAAAACATTGTATGTGATGAATTTACACGTTTTATATACTTGGCTTGACTTACAAATTATAATCAATAATATAATTAATTATGAGGTGGTATATGCGTTTACATTTAGATTGTACCAAACAGCGGGCATTTCTTCAAATTACAGTGATAAGAACGTTTGTTAGACATTTAACAAATGGTCAAGATTTTATTCTGATTATTTTCATTAATCAATTTATAAATCATTTGGACAGACAAAAATGATCGAATCTAAGCCAGTAGAAAACAGTATCAATATTTACGTCTGTGAAATAAACAAATGAAACATGTATACTAGAGTTTTTTAAATGGTTTACTACAGCTTTAAAGGAAAATATTTCTACCCAAAAGTACGTATATTTTTATTTAGAGATTCAGCTTTGATACCATTCTTAAATTCTCATGAATCAAGCACCATTTACAGTAATAATAAGTAGCCAAATGAAATTAGTACCGTATGGTATTTTTCTTCAATTACATAATTAATTAAAAAAGTGTATAAAAAGAAAACTTGTAAAATTATAGTTTAAGAGTCTCTTTAAACCTAAAGGAAGACTCTTCGGTCTGTAACGAAAAATTACTGATGACATTGACTTTCAAATCGTTTGTGAGAGGTTTTTGGCGTAAAAATGTAAAATTGGTGAAAATATTCAAAGTGTACATTTTTCTTGTAACCATCATTAGTGATATTAAAAATTGAAGACATTCAAATAGAGATGTAAGATAAGTACAAAATAGTCAACGCATCACTTCAAATAGACACTTTTACCGAAATTGATACCTTAACTAAATTAGAAATCTACTGGATAATACTATACTCACTTTCTTATAAATTCAATTTTTCGAGTATAAATATCCAAATATACAAATCTAAAAATCTAAAAACAATTTTTTTTACATATCTTTTTATATAGCTATTTTTATTGTTTTTGTTTGCACGTGTCATCTGCTTTACTTTGAGCTTAAAGATGGTAGAATAATCAAAGTTGTTTATTTAAAATTTAAATTAGTCATAACAGGATTGCCTTTGAGTATAAATCTCATAAGACTAGACTAGCGTTCAACAAGCGAGGCTCGTAAGTCTTGAAAATATAATACAATTTATTTTAATCTTCAACTCGTATTTACATCTTCAAGATGAATAGAATAAGCGCTTTTAAAAAAGCAACATTCGATTTACGAATCTAGTAAAATGCATTTTTTTTAACTTGACGAAAAATTCTGTTATTGTTTTTTTCCGATGCAAATTGAACAAAAACGTAATTTAATGATTGAAATTCTGATTTATTAAGGAATTATTAAGTCCTTCAATTGATAAAAATGTTCCCATGATTATTCATAAACTATTAATATACAGTAAAACAAATTTTTTGCTCATGAAATACAGCAAATATATTTATGTACAACACGTGCTTTCTCACTCTGTTTCTTCATTATCAATAATATACATATTATATTAATTATATAAATCGGACAGCATTATAACTGATTTTTTTCATCTTATGTTTTTTTTTTGTATATGACTACTACTTTGCACTTTTTGTTTTTCTTTTATCTAGTTTTATATCTATTATAATTTGATCTTACACAGTTAACGTATGTGTACCTAATCATTTATCGATTATGGGAAGTTCATTCGATAATTTTATATTCTACACATGCCAGTATAATGGATTTTTTTGTTTTTTGTATTTTTATAAAAAGTAAGGAGTGAAAATTGGGACTTCTACGACGACTCAGAATTGCTCTCTTGCGTACTACTGTAGTTTGGAACAAACTCAGCCGCTTCTGGATTAAGTGTACTCTGAAAAATACAATTATTTAACAATTTGAAGAAACTGCTTTTAAGTATGGTAGAGGGTGAAAACGCTAGTACCATACGGTGTTCATTACCTCATTTACAATGTCGACATCGACTCTTAAGTTATCGAGCTGCGCGCTCAATTCTATACTCTCGCACGCGTTATCCAGCTCATCTTGTAACTGATCCATTCTGTGTTGCTCCTCGCAAACCCTCATTAGTTCTCTTTCCTCTAAATCTCTCATAAACTGTGGACAGATTTAGTTTAAAGTAATTTGATATACATTTTTTTCTTCATTAATAATGTTAAAACGTTAGCGTACGTTCGAGTCGTGTTCTTCTTCATCTGCCATCCATAAGTAATCTGAAAAGTCATTGTCCGGTGTGGCAGACGTAGTCGATTCAGATTCAGGCTCTGAACCCTCATAAACGAAGTCCATTGAAGGAATTTCAAGTCCGTAACAACCAGTTTCTGAAGGGGCGGCGTGGATTTTCATGTTCATTACACTAGCTTGGTTGAACTGCAAAAAGTGGGAAAATACATTGAATAAGAATTTCATAAGCTATAAAACTTATCGGTAAGTTCAAGTGTTTTGAAAAATTAAACGTTGAAAAAAAATGATACCTCAACATTTCAATAAACGGCGGATTAAAGGAGTAGCAGTTTAATATTTAGAATGATCTCATAGTTTATTCTTTTTGTCGCTCAAACAGTTAAAATAACAACTGTTTCAACGGAAAATTGTTGAGGCTTTTACATACAACGAACATATCTAGTTATATAAAAATCACATTGTTAAAAGATCGATGTTTACACTAAAGTCTAACCTGCAAAATGAATATTTGTCGGCACGCTTATTTTTGATCTTTTTAAAATGTTCAAAAATATGCCATACGAACTACAACAGATGGTACCTGAAAACACAGAAGGGCGATACCAACTAAAACATGAAAAATATCTGCTTATCTTTATATATTTGTTAAAATGAGGATGCGCCAATAATGACGAAGAAGCGTACCTCTTCGCAGAGCAGCAGCAAATGTTTCATGATGAGTGTAAAAAGCGTCGTCGATTATGTATATTATGCCGTATTTATTCGGCAAACGAAGACCCGAAAGCTTTGAAAGGTAAAACTGAGAATTTTCTACGACATGTCGCCGGGAGCCAAGAGCGGGTTTAAAATTTCGGAGCGCGCGCGCGTGAACTGTCACGTTGTCATAACGGTGCGGTGAATGCGGCCGACGATGTCGGCTCGACTCAGCCGATGACCGACTCGAGAGCCGCTACAGGCGCATCACAACGAGCGACGCGACACGACGTCGTCGGCCAGCCGGATAAATTCAGTCGTCGATTGTCATTCAAGTGCAATTACTAAGTAGCCCTGATACTTTCGCCCGTTGCCGATTCAAGAAACAGTATATCTATCGTAAAGATGCCGCGAGCAGCGACCATGTTTGTTACGTGGACTGGTCGAGCATCTTTTAAAGCACATTTTAAAGAGCCGGTAAGCGGTTTTTTGTTTACAAACAAGAAGTACAGACGGTAGCCAGTTGGCGCGCGTGCCAAGCATTGGCGACGAGCAGCGAAGAAGAATATCAGAAGCAGCAGATAAACTCGACTCCGATTATACGCTATGGCCTTGCTCGACCGAGCTCGCCTTGCATATGTGCAAATGAGGGAATTTCAATTAAATTTCGAGTAAGAGGGCAAAAGAAGAGAGAGAGAGAGAGAAAGAGTGGCGGCAGAAAAACTGCCGCTAAGAAATTTGTATGGGTTACTCGTGCGGTTATAGTCCACCGTGTGGTACATTTGAAAGGCCGATGCACATAAGCGAGCCGAGGCCAACATATACATAGCATCGACAATCGCGCAGTTCCTTCCTCGCCTTGTGTATACGTATACATTATGTATATGATAATTATAAATATGGCACAAAGTACACAAGCTCGTCTCGGTGTCGTGCAAACAACAAAATTACCAGCACTAGGAGGGGAAAAATGACAATTAGCTCGAGAATCGCTCGCGAAATCAATCGACGAGCCGAGCGAACGGACTCGCGGAATCGACGAATGTCAAGTATCGCGCGAATGAGAGAGAGAGAAAGAGCGCAGCCATCTTATATGCTGCGTATGCAGCAGCAGCAAATTCGCGCGATCCCAATTGCAGTTTGCAGCTCGCTCCCACCCCCTTATTGTGATCGAATGTAACGCACTGTTTGTTCGTATTTTCCTTGTTTACATAAGGTTTGCCGACTTTTGAGGTGACACCCAGTAGCCCCCAGTCAGGCACGCATACAACAGAGGAACAATGGGAAAAATTGGCCCGGGGTATAAAATATATTGCGATTGATTAATAAAGAGGAGAGGGCCGAGAACGCGCTAGCGAGCAGCTTATTAAAGAGCCGTGTTGGCGGAAAATAAACGGCAAGTTAGCGAAGAGCTTACCTTGTAATCGATTGGATCAGCAGCGGTTTGCGATTTAGAATCGCCAAGTGTACCAAAATTAACTTGTAGGGCAGGTATAGTACGGAACGAGCCTCCTCCTGTGAGCTGCGAGTGCGGCGCAAGAATCGTAAGCTATATTACAACGGCTCTCCTTACAAAGCGTATACTCTTCTCTTTGCTTTTATCCTTTTATCCAGTCGTCGTCGTAGCCTATTCTCTGTTTGCAGCTCGCGAAGGATATCCTCGTGAAACGTGATCGACACTACTCTGATCGCACGTACATATATATAAATATATATCTGTATATAATATAATGCGAGGAACGTCAACGCAATAGAGAGAGAGAGAGAGAAAGACGAACACTCGAGCTGTTTCGGAGCACTGAGCAGTGACGCCTCAGTTTTGCTGCCTCGTTGTTCGGTTTCCTACTTGCGTCGCAAATATTGCTTCCCACCTCGCGTGTATGCGCGCACCAGTCCCAGCAGGCAAGCGCAGCAAAATATAGAATTCAGCATATATAAAACGAACACACATACAACACAACAGCGTCTCCTTTCCCTTCTCCGTGCTACTGTCTTCTCTCGTGTTATTGCTTCCCCGCATGATCGTGAATCGAGAGGGAGAAGAGCTCGACTTTTTGCACCTCTTTTGCGCTCGCAGTGACGCCGCGATTGACCGGTCAGTTTTATTCGCGATAGCGCCAATTTTAAAATCTGCTAATTGCACTCGCGAGTGTTCGTGACAATTAACCGGCCACTCCATACCGGAAATTCGATTCCTGAAAATTCATGCGTTTCGGAGCTTTAGCCAAATTCTGCTAATTATGTACCTGCGCCAAACGCGCGAGATTCAACGTCACGGATCAATTAGTCAAGATTTCTTCGTTCGTAAAAATAGATTCGGGAAAAAAGTTGCAGCGCAAAGATAAAAGAATACGAGACGACGCGCCGTTGTCGTCGTCGCGCGATCAGCGCGAGTCTTTCAACTCTGTTCGGCACGACATGTGCAAACTATAATACACTTTGTTCCCGCAGACGCGTCAACGTCTTGCGTACGCCACCAACCCGTCGATATCTTGCCAAAATCTCATTCGATCGTGTCTCAGTCCGCTAATTTTTCTCTCGTTAATGCTGTACACCTAACGCACAGCTCGAGCTTTTCTTTTTTCATTCACGAGTATGACAAAAAGACGTTTCGTTGTTCGAGCGAGATCGACCTCTTTTGGCTAAATGATTTTTACAACCCCCCGAGAGATGATTCATCCTCGACGTCGTTACTGTAATTAATTGAAAGACTAGAAAGTTATTTTTTATAAACCTCAACGACGGAATGCTCGAATGTGAGCTGTCGTTTTGAAAACTTTCATCATCCTGTGTTCACGAGGCGAGTGAGTACATGCTCGAAATGGGGCTTCCCGGAGTGGAGAAATGATGTAACGTGGTAACGCAGTGGCGTAAAGTATAATACGAGGCGCAAAGCAGTTTTCCCTATAACCGTTTGAATCGAGAATAAAACAAGATAACGGTATATTAAAAAAATTAAGAGTCCATAATAACGCTCGAACGGAATAAGGAACGACGCGAGCGTGGATAACGGCCGGCAGACAATTGATTTCGTAATTTGTACGCGTCTATAACATTTTTCCGTTGAAAGCAAAAATTCAGCACGATTAGTCACGATAGCCGCTGAAAAAATTTAATTTTATACATAGTAAAATAGTACAACAAAAATGAGTAGCTAAATCGAGTATGTGTTGAGAAATGACATTATCACAGAAACTCATTACTGAAGTATGTCACACATGCAGGTATACATATCGGACGCTATAGTAAATATATTAGCAGCTATTGTAATAAACTGCAAGGAATTCATTGTTTGCGCATTATATACACATTTGATCATCGATTGTCAGTAAGTATATGCGTGCACGTATATTATAAACCGCGAACGCCGTGGTGGTGTGCGCGAGCGGAGGAGGTGGTTGTTCGCAAAAGTTTAGTAGTATTAGTATTAAAGTAATGTATGTACATAAACCGCCTCCCCCACTCTGTCGTGCTAAAAAGTGAACCGACACATACTATATACGCGAGTTCTCTCTGCTCGTGCGGTGGCCCGTGTTGACGTTTCTCTGCCTGTGCCTGCCTGTGTGTGTGCATGTGTGTGCGTGCGCTGCGCTGCAGAACTGCCAGTCTGCGTGCACAACCAAAACAAAGCACAGCGCAGTACTTAGTAAGCGCGGCCGAGGCGACGACTCCGCAGTTCGCGATCCGCTCACGAGCCGTACGGATAAGAGATATATTTTTTGCACGAGAGGCTCATCTGGCCCCTAGCCAATACCTATATCTATCTGTGCATCTCACACAGTCCGCTGCGGCATTTCAAGTTTTTCGTTGTTTTTTTTTGTGAACTGCGTCGATCGAGTGAAAGAGCGAGAGTCCGAGGCACTTGTTGCTCGCTCCGTTCGTTCAGCCGCAAGTGCACCATCGTAAGCTTCAAGAGGGCATCGAACAATCATCGATTCCGTTTTCAGCGCGTAAAAGTTGGCCGTACGCAACGAGAGGGCCAAAAGCCCAAAAAGCAGCTCCTTCGCGAGGCGCAGCTACACAGCGGAGGAATAGCAAAAATCAGCGCCTGTCGTTGTCCCGTCGATTGTCGAAATAAAGGACAGCTGCTACGCGCCTGCGTGTGGCGTAATATAAACATTATATAGAGAGAAGTGAGAAAGAGAGAGCCCCTGCCGGAGAGACTCTGGAGAGTATCGCGCGGGGCTGCTGCTGCTGCTGCTGCTATATATCTGCACTATTCGGACTCGCTATACAGTGCAGTATACCTCACATAGCGCATTTATACACACAAGCTTATATACATCGAGTAGCACGCAAGGGAGAGCCGAGTATATAGAGAGCGCGATTATACGAGGAGGCAGAGAGGCTCTCTCGCTTGGCCTGCCAAGTGCTGCACCGTCGACCGGACAACGCATCGCATCTCTGTATACATACATTAGTGGCTTCTCTCTCTTTCTGTGCTGCTGCCACTGGCTGCATCCTACAGCGCAGTACAAGCCGCTATACAAATTAGCGCTGGGCTTTTGTACTGCGTTCTTCGGGGGCCGAGTGAGAGAATATACACTGCTCGTGTGCATATTCGACGGGCACGTCTTAACTCCGATCCAGTGACCGGACAGCCGCGTACGTCAACATGTCGAGCAACAACGCCAAATTCGCCTCGGACGAGACGCTCGGAGGTGAGTTCGTATGCATTGAGTTGTGCGCGCACTTCTGACAGCTGTCAGAATCAGCGTCGACCCCAAGTATACACAACATGTACATAATTCGTGCCTTTTGCGTATAGGCTTGCTCGATGTTTACCTACATCGTATAAGGATTTTTTTTTTATGTATACATGGAAGTTCGTGTAGAGCCATTCCCCGCCGCGCGCGCGAACGAGCTGCAGAGCCAGACGAGCCGAGCGAGAGAGTGTAAACACAGGCATGCGCCTGCAACGCTATACCTAACAATCGTACACACAATACAACGCTCTCTTTTTCGCGCGTAAGAGACTTTTGCGTCGCAGGTTCGTCGGCCCCCGTGGCCATGACGATGTCGTTCTCGTACAAGCTCGAGATCGATTTCGCCTCGTTATACTTTCATCTTCGCTGTAGAATCTCGAGTCTCGTAAACGAGGACAAAACGATGCCAAGAGATCGGAGTCGTCGTCATCATCGCGTCGTCGTGCGCGCAAGACAGAACAGCTGTCTTTTGTTTGGGGTTCGCTTGCCGCCGCGCTCGCTCTCTCGTCCTCTTTTACTATACGCGATGATCGCCATCGCTCTCGTCTCGCACGTACACATCATTTTCGCTCACTGTACACAACGACGTTTGTTTTGTTTTGTTTCCTCGCTACCTTATTAGATTAGAAATTATACGCGGCCATTGCGCTTTCGCCCACGTACATACACGTAAGCGCCTACCTATGTGGATATATTGTACGCGTTAAGCGCGTAATAAAGCGCAGGTAATACGACTTATCGCGAAAACGTATCGAATTATCGATGCTCGATCGAGCCTATTAATAACAACCGAGTCAAATAGAGCATGCCGAAACTGCAATAAACAAACATTACATCACGACACATCCAAGTTGAAAAAAACCGGAGCTATACCAATAAAAACGCCTGTTGCTACTTTATAAGGCTACGAAAATTTCTCACAACTTGCCCCGCGCTACCATCAGTGCTTCTATGCACTTACATCTCTCTCGCTTTTTACAGCGAGCGCTTAATGTTTACGTTCTTATCGTATGATTTACTTTTTCTCCTCTCCTTTTTTTTTCTTTCCTGCACTGACCTGTGTCGCGCACGCGTGCGCCTCTGCCTCATGTGTGCGTGATTCTCTGCTGCATCGCATTATAATATATACACAAGTTGTAAACAAAGATTATCAGAAACAGGTTTTTACTAGAGCTTATTATAATGCGCGCGTGCTGATTAATCGGACTCTTCTTTTAAGCCCCTCGCTTGTTTTTATTTTATATTGTATTAATACATGATATACAAATCTGACGTAACGCATTAAATGCCTACGTATTTATTTGTCAATAATATTATTGTTTCGGAGTCGGAGGCTTTTTTGCCTTGCAATCGCGCGATCGTTCGCTCGCAATCGTTGTATAAAAAAAAAGGAGAGGAGCTCTCGCTCGCACGCAGGGGACGGGAGAGCAAAAAACAGAGAGAGAAATTCGAGAAGAGGCTCGAGGAGAAGAGATAGCTGCCGATAAACGACAGGGGCGTGAATCGGCTTCTCGTTGTTGTATCGTGTATACAATTTATTTTTAGGTTCGATAGGCGCTATCAAAGGCCGAGATACATTACACACTACGTATACGAGTACGTAACACGACGTTAACCAACTGCTCGCTCACATTGTGGCGCGCGTGCATTATTTACAGCATTATGCGAGTGCGCGTTGTTATGTATCGCATATGATACACGTATCGACGTGGTCAAGCTCGAGCGAACAATTCGATACATTCATTACGAAGGCGTTTTACAGTTGCTGGCTCGTTGGGCGTTTGTTGCCTCGACGGAGGCGTTCGCGATGTTTGAGAACGGTCGAGTCGTCGTGCATGGTCAAGGAGGAAAACAAAGTCTCTCGAGTTCGGTATGGAGCTTTCCAAATAAATCGGATGAAATTCAGCACTGCAGTTGGCGTCGTTCAGGCTGAGATTCGGATTACCTCGCGTCGACGATATTACTTATTATAATACATACATAGTCACCTACCAAGGACGAGTTTTAAATATATTTGTTGCGATAGGCGTGCGCCGAGCCGAGTGGCGTACAAACTGCGGTAAGTCGTGTAATAACGTGGGTGCAACACAAAGCCCGCGCTGATCGCTTGCCTGCCTTATAATGTAGCCTGGCTTGCTGGCTAGGCGGCTGCACATCGGCAAAGTGCACTTGGCAGGCGCATTAACGCAACGTCTCTCTCGCTCTTGCTCACCACTGTAGCTCTAATACAATAAGGCGCCATAAGAACGCCTCGCTTTGTGAGCGCGCAAAGCGTCGTCGTGCCTACTCTGCAGAGGCTCCAAGCTCGTGCATTATAATATGTAATAATGCTGCTGCTGTTCAGAGGCCACGTCACGCCAACTTTGGCACGTCGATGTAATCGTCGAGCTGTTGCGTCGCGATCGCGCTCATGGTTCCGTTTTGTTATTCGTTTCCGAGCCGCGGCGACCCCGTCGACTACATGTATCGAGCGCCGTTAAACGTTTCGTTGAAACGATCTATGCGTACGCGCGCGCGAGCTTTTCCAGGCCCGCATAACACCTCGAAAAAAAAGTAACTCTTCCACGAAGCCGATCGATGATTGTTATTACGCGCAGCTCGAGCAGCTATTCTATATCGTTACTTATCCTCTTCCCCCCTCCCGCTAAGCAGTACTTAGTAACCACTTTTCACGAGGCAAGCAAATAACGATTTTTTTTCTTTATTTTTTCATGTGATATATCATGCGATCAGCAGGCGTCCCTACCGCCCCGTCACCCGAGTCAGTTGAGTCATCCGAGCTTGCGATACCGCTGTGGAAGAGCTACTTTATGAAAAGTGAGGGGCAGAGACAAAGCGAAAATTAGCGTGTACACTCCCGTGCGCGCGACGGCGGCCGCTTCCATGAATATATCGATTTTGCACACTTTTTTTATACAATCACAAAAGCTCATGCCTCATTAACACATTTGCTCCGACGTTGACATTTTAAATTTCCGTCAAGAGAGTAACTCGATGTTTTTTCTGCTGTTTCACAGAGTCATGGGTGGTCTGCCCGACGCCGGTCGACCGCGTGACTCCTTTGCCCTTCGGCAGCGGTAGCGAGGAGTACCTGCGACTCCTGAGGGACGCCCAGCGCGACTCGACCCACTCGTCCGCCAGGCACTCCCTGGCCTCCTCGAGGCGCGACACACCGAGAGACAGGTGAGCTTTTAAGCTTCTATCAAACTGTAAGTTTTATTTCGCTTTTTTTTGTCTCGTAAATGCGTCACCGCTATGCACGTATAATATAGATTGTACGAAGGTTAAAAATGACCCGTTGTTTATATCAAACATGAGACAATCTTTAGATTTGTTTGTAACTTTGAACGATTGTGCGTTTCAGTCCCAAGAGCCCTCCCAACAGTCCCAACAACGAATTGTCGACGGAGGATGAGCTCAAAGGAGTCTACATCAATCACACCAATCACAAGGTTCGTTTCTTAATTGTTATTTTACTCCGATCATTACAGCAAGCAAGCTTATATCCCAGATACAGAAATTGTCTTACATCCGGAACATTTTAATCGGGCTAAAAACTCGCAGAAGCTCGTCTAAACGCGCGTCTTTTAGCCTCGTTGAGCGAATAATTAAAATATTAATATTACGGATACGCACACATAGCACGCAGAATGCTCGGCTCAATTTATTCTAGCTCGAGCAATCGCCACGGTATTCATAGAAATGTATACACAGTCGGCTCTCGGCCTCAGCGTTTCGCGCGCGTACATCATATAATACACACGTATAATATGCACGGAAAATTTGCTTTGCTAATTCCATTTACGCGTAAAACTCGCGACTCGCAAGTGCAGGCATATTTTTAGGTGTATAAAACAGCACGACGTCGATTTTTATGTACGAATACAGGTAAATAATGAATAAAAAAGAAAGAAAAAAAAATACGCCGAGAAACGACGCGACGCGATGTGCACATACAACAGTTGCGCCGAATTGGAGCTGCAACGCACGGGTAGGCGCGCTCGCGCGAACGTGTGTAAACAGTTCGTTCTCGCGCGTGTTTTTGTTTTTCCAAACTCGAGAAGTTCGTCGCGCGATCGCGCGCAGTAGCGTGGCATTTAAACTGCGCATCGCGCGATTCATGACACGTCGTTCGCCGCGGATCGTCAATATTTTCTTCTCTCGAAAGAACGAACGTACGAACGAATAATCATTGTTCATCAATTGCGACGCATACAGGCGCATTCTCGTCCGTGGCTATTGACATTTTTCCTTTTTCCTTCTTTAAATTACTCGTTTATATATATGTGCATATAAAGATACGAAAGGAAACGCATCGGCTAATCGTTCCCTCGTCGTTCGAGACAACAAATGACCGTGTCGATCGCGCGCACAACTTTTTCTCAAAAAATCGAACGGAGCGGAGCGAGATAGAGAGCGGCTCATTGACCTCTCGGCAGTATAGACGCATTCAAAAACGAGCGATACGGCACGACGCTCTCGTCCGAATGCAAAGCGCATAAGGACGAGTTCTCGCTCGCTATAATGGTAAGCCTCGCCGCATCAAGATAATCGTCGTGCTTGCGCGCGCCTCGTCGTAAAGAAGTTTGATCTCGCGTGACGCGATACTTATCGTAACTGCGTAGATTCTCTTACTCGCGTTTACACGCGGCCGAGATACACGTGAGCGAAAAATTCGCAGTCTTTGATTCGCAGCGGTGGTAGCGGCGGCGTAACTGCATAGCAGCGCGACGATCGGAGCGATGAGCGCGAACAAAAAAAAAATTAACGTGCGCTATGCATGTTATTAGATCTATTGCGGGTCGTCGTGTGGCGGCGACAACAGCGCAATAGATGATGCTTTCTAGTCGCCAAATACGTCAGACTGCCGCGAAAACGCAGTCGAATGTTAATGGACTTGTATATGTGTAAAAGACCTTGGCACTCTCGGGCACGACTACGACGACGCACTGCCTGCGATCGAGTTGTGTACGAGTGTGGGGTATAATGCAGACGCGTCTCCTGCAGCGCTCGCGGGACATCGTCGCGCTATTCGTCCGCACCGACGGCGCATCGCGTGCGACGCCTGCCGCCTATCACGTAGACGCTCGATCTAACATCGATATATCGCGTGACGCCGATTTTTTCGTTGCACTCCGCTACTATACATACTATACAAACATATAATACTCGTGATACGCGCGCTCGGCCTATAACCGTTGGCGTATATATAGAGACGAACGCGAAAATGCGCAATTGGCCTAGTGCAGCGCGCGCGATGCTGCAATGCGACTCTGCAATTTCTTTCATGCCTCGTTGTGTTATTAATGCCGCTGCCGTTGCTGCTGCACTCGTATAGATCATTATCAAGCCGTCTTGATTTGCCCGTATCGCCGTATGCGATCGGATTAAGCCAATGAATTTTGACTCAATTTATTCATTAGGATCGTTGTGGCCGCTTGATTGGATGTATTAAGAGACGAGCCTCGTTCGAGCTTGGCCACGTACACGTATAAATATAATAATAAGGGCGGCGCGCGCCAAAGGGGAAACATCTAAATTGAACGCAGCCCAAAAAGTGATCCGAGACATTTTTCGAATCTCAGCCGGAAGCCCCGCATGCGAATTATTAGACTTTACGCACACCCACGCATATACACACGTTTATATACGGCACATATACTTGACATTGTCGACGATTAATGCACGCTAAGAAAAATAACAGCGCACCCGCCGATCGTGTTTATTAATAAAGCAGCGCCGTTCCCCCCAATCGACTATACACTCGTTGCTGATATCGAGTCCGTACACTCTTTTTTTTCTTTTCTTGTTTTACGATTTCGCCGCAGCGCGGCTTCTCTATCTCCACTCCTTCGCGCTGTATACTTTTCGTTGTCTTCTGGTTAGCTGTAAATATACCAAGGCCTCGAGATAAATTGCGCTTCGGAGCTTTTATTCCGAAAGCTTGCGACTCTTTCTTTTCACGAGTCTCTCTTCATTTTTATATACTATATGTGGGTGCGTGCGAGCCACGCAGAAAACTCGTGCTCCATCTTTCGCCTTTTACTCGTTCTATTTTCGTGCGTTTTTTTGCACGCACGCGACAGCGATAAACGTGCGTTGCTAGTAACGGATTCGCGTCGTTGCGGCAGCGGAGAGTAGTAGCCGTCCCTCTCCGCTCCTCTTCTCCTTTGTGTCCGCGCGATCGCGCGATATGTATACCTATATGCACAATGATGCGCCGTTCGACCGCCGGGCTTTCTTGCGAAAATCCGTGCATTGTTTTACGGCTGAATCATCGTCGATCGTCATGCGTCCGTAAACTGCCCGGCGTATATATTTTTCTTGGCTTGCGTGAAAAAAAAAGCTCGCCTCGACACCTGTGCCTCGAGTGCAGCAATCGATGTTCACAAGAGTTTTCTTTTTGTTTTCAGGATGACTTTGACAAAGGATCCGACTGGATTTACGATTGGAACACGAAAATGGAAACGAGCGGACCAAAGTAAATATTTTCTCCTCTTATCGAAAGCCATCGATATTTTTCATATTAATTAGTCTTTTTCTCTTTTTCCGCAAAGGGAGTTGAAATTGAAACAAGCACTCGGAATGGTTGGTAGGCGAAAAACATACAGCATAAGGACAGCCAAGGTGGGCAAGAACGGCCTATTTTCCAAAGAAGTTATCTACACGCTCTTTCTGACGAACATACTTTCGCTCATCATTGGTACTGGCATTGGGTGAGTCATATCGCGAGATTATATCAATTTTTTCCTTCGTTCAAAGAACCGCAATGTATGACAGAAATTTATTTTGCAGTGTTTGGCTGACTAGGCGAGGCCTCATGGTTTCGCGCATCACCTTCGAATGAGAGACGAGAACTTGAGCAGCAGCAGGATAGCAATAGTTTGAGAGGAGAGGCGTAAAAAAACTCTACGTACCGAAAAACACCGCGTTAACGGATTAATGGCATAATAAAGTAGGCGATTACGCGTGAACTTACATCGAACGAGTTGCTATTTATCGCTAAGACTGAAAAAGATGATAGAGGAAAAAAAGTAAAGGAGCCGACAGAGCATTTGCCAACTTTCGGTAGAATTTTAAAATTGAATCTGCGATAAATGCTATTGTATACACACACAACTATCTATTATTTTCTTATATTGATATTCTCTACGCCTGATCGTTTTATAATACATAATTACAGTGTCATTCTCTTAAGCGCTGATGACTTAAGCGTTCTTGTCGTATAAGCTGATATTTAGTGAGATATACACATATATTATATAATTGTACGTAAATAAATATTAATCCGTATCATTATTTACACATAAATATTTGTTTATAAAATTAAACTTGAGAAATTCGTACAAAAAATTTGCGTCTAACCTGAATTTAAAAAAGTCACGCTCGAGTAAACTTCTCAAGTGCAAAGTGAAATATGAAAAATGTAAAAAAAAAAGGAATTTAACAGAATCAATTTGTCCATTTTATACTGTTTCTAACGCGTTTCCACTTGAAATAGCTATTAAATAAATGTAGTTTTCATATAGTATTTATCTTTATAACAATCTACAAAAAGGAGGGAACAAAATGAGTCATGCCATTTGGGTACAGTTTTTGATGACACTAAAATGATGATAAAAGTTTTTGCATTTGCCAATTATTATTAGACTTCCAAATACATGTGAAAGTAATCATTTATATAAAATCAATGCGATTTCTAATAAGAAAATTCTATGCAGTAACTTGAAATTCATTATTGCTGTGGGTGATATTATGATAGTTTTAAACAAAGATAGTAGATGTGACGGAGAATTCGATGGTTGAGTATAATTTGAGAGTAACAGTTGAATGTTTGAAGTATTTTTAAGAAAATTTTTGATACTGAACGTAAAAAGTTGTGAAAATATCCATATTTGATTTGACCGTCGAATTCAAATCTCCTTTCAAAAAATCTTTGTCCTCCTTTGTGTAAACAGTACCTGTTTAAATGAGTTTCTTCAATTTTATGAGTAAATCGTGCCCAAAAAAGTGTACATAAAAATTTATTATAATTAAAAATCGTTTACTGTATAATTTATAAATTTGAAGCAACGCAAAAATATGAACTTACTTCATACCATATATTTTATAAATGCGATAATCATCTTTTCAAATTAAATGAATTTAACTTGAAATTTTGATGATAAACTAGTTGAAAACAATTCCGACAAAACAATGAAACAGTAATTGACTACATGTATCGTAAATATTCAATCTTACAGTTAATTGTTTTCTTTGAACGTTCAAATGTAATTGCTACAATAACGAGATGTTTTTAAATCTCCTCCGAAGATAATTTTAATTGATCTTTACAAGAGTATCACTTAAAAATTCATTCTTCAAAGCATTTTTTAAATTTGTTGAATATAAAAATAAATAAATGCATGTTTCAATTCTTATAAAAAAGTTCTAAGAGTGAAACGTTTTTATACGTTTCTTCAGTATATGGAAAGTTTCGTACGGCGTTGTAGTCTTAATAACGATATTTTTCAAGCCTGACTAAATGTTTATCCAGCACAATTTTTATAATTCAAAGTAAAGCAGTTCTCTGCGATTTTATTGCGTACAACTAAGGACTGTGCATGTATAGAACTGAAATATTGACCATAATTAATTGTAAGCTTTTTTCAGGTGAATCAAAGTTATTTATAATATTTAACTTATTTGTAATAAATATTTTTATCATTCAAAATTCGACTCCTTTTCATTCAAATTCCAAAAATTCCCGCACGCCCAATCAAATGCCACGAGATATCGCTCGCGTTTCCGCTTTAGCGCTGAACGCCACATCATACAGCTCTTGTGTCTAAGCCAAGCCTTACACGACTACACGGGTATATTTCGATTTTAGGCCGTTTCTCGAACGGTGACCGCAGCGCAGTCGAATACATCGTCATGGCTCTTCTCCCTCGTAGTCGTCGTTGTTCGTGTCGAGCAAACAGCAACGCAGCCGCTCTACCAAGGGCGAGTAAGAGGAAGTTTTTTTGCAATCGCATCAGTTGAGGGCAAAAGTTGAAGCAAAATGACGGCTATTCCGGGCTCTATCGCCTTCGATGAGTACGGCAGGCCCTTTATCATTTTGCGCGACCAGGATAAGCAGAAAAGATTAACCGGCAATGATGCCATCAAGGTATAACCTCTTTATAATTTGCAAATACTCATCAACGTTTATGCCTAGCCCAATTGAACAGTTTATGCTTTTATGATAATTTCTTATTCTCAATCTCATGTCTTTCTAATGTTTACGGGAATAAAAAATTATGATTAAAAGAAATTTTCACTGTAAAGCCATGAAATTGCGAGATCTAGAGTCCACGTGAGTAATGGGAAAATGGCGGACCCCATTGAGATGGAATTTCTCGTGAATTTTTTTCATATACTTCCGTGATGAACTGAATGAATTTTTCACTATGAATTTATTGTTGATTCAATGATTTTGTTACTAAAAATTAATTTCAAGATAATCGTCCGAACAATTTGAATATTTTCGGTCTTTGAGAAATGTCCATATTTGGAAATGATTCCAAAGACCATTTTGATGATGTTGCTCGTACCTAAATATATCACACAACTCCCAGCAACATACATTTATTTATTCAGGGTAATTCATATGCAATCCTTGAAGTTTTAATACTTTACTTAAATATCACTAATACCATAAATAAGTTATTTTTCACTTTTTTTTTTAATTATGTAAAATGAATTATTCAAATATTTTATTTTATTTCTGTTTAGTCTCACATTACGGCAGCTCGTAGCATTGCCAACACACTCAAAACTTCTCTTGGCCCAAAAGGTCTTGATAAGTTGATGGTGAGCAGCGATGGAGACATCACTGTTACAAATGATGGGGCCACCATCTTGAAACACATGGATGTTGACCATGAAATCGCTAAGCTCATGGTACAGTTGTCACAGTCGCAGGACGATGAAATTGGTGACGGTACCACTGGAGTGGTTGTATTGGCTGGTGCCTTGCTTGAGCAAGCTGAAATAATGTTAGACAAAGGCATTCATCCCATCAGAATCGCCGATGGATATGAACTGGCAGCGCAGTGTGCAATTGAAAATCTTAATGAAATAGCAGAAGCATTCCCTGTTAGCCCAGACAATTTAGAGCCATTGATCAAAGTTGCTATGACTACCCTTGGATCCAAAATGCAAGTATATATTGTATTAAAATCCAATATTTTTCCAAAACTGTATTTTGCCCAATGATGACAAATCTGCGCAGAGGAGGTTGAGGGTTTTTAGTATTGTTATGATAATGTCTTCTTTAACCACAGATTTTTTGTGAGAGAGATGTGAAAATGTTTTATTCTCCTCAAAAGGTGTGGCAATTGAATATATTCTCACTACAAGAAAAAAATTCTCTGTTGTTGCTCCAATGATCAAAGATTATGAGAGCTGAGGGCAATATTTCAAATTAATCATTGTAATCAAATTTTTATATAAATATGAACAATATTAATTTTTTGTTTTAAATTTGCAGTATCAATAAGTGTCACAAACAAATGGCTGAAATTGCTGTCAATGCTGTGATGGCTGTTGCAGACCTTAAATCTCGTGATGTTAACTTTGAACTTATTAAAGTTGAAGGCAAAGTTGGTGGACGCTTAGAGGATACTATGCTTGTACGAGGAGTTGTAATTGACAAAGACTTCAGTCACCCTCAAATGCCTAAGCGATTGGAACAAGTTAAATTAGCTATTTTGACATGTCCCTTTGAACCACCAAAGCCAAAAACAAAACATAAGCTCGATGTTACTTCAGTGGAAGATTACAAAGCATTGAGAGAGTATGAGAAAGAAAAATTCATTGAAATGGTAAACCAAGTTAAAGATGCAGGAGCTACCTTAGCTATCTGCCAATGGGGCTTTGATGATGAAGCAAATCATCTTCTTCTGCAAAGAGAATTGCCAGCTGTTAGATGGGTTGGAGGTCCTGAAATTGAAGTAATTACTTCTTTCTTAAATCACGTAATAAAATCTTTTATAACTTTCTACATGAAAGAATTATTTATGTACAGTTGATTGCCATTGCTACTGGTGGTCGCATCGTACCACGATTCGAGGAACTCTCCCCTGAAAAACTTGGTTATGCTGGAGTTGTCAGGGAATTGACTTTCGGCACAACAAAAGACCGTATGTTGGTCATCGAAGAATGCAAAAATTCTCGAGCTGTTACAATTTTCATCCGTGGTGGTAACAAAATGGTAAGGTTTTTTATTGTTTTGCTTTTTTAACTGTGCAAGGAGAATTCCAATGGTACCTTCAATGTGCTTAATTGTTCAGACACCTTGCTAAATCAATGAATTCGAGTTTTAAATTTAGTTAAATAGCTCATCTACTTTATTTAGCTAAACTTGAATTCTACATATTTACTATTAAAAAATTAAATTTTTTTCAATTTTTGATTCAAATTTGGAACTCATTTTTTTTTATCATTTCAGATTGTTGAAGAAGCCAAACGTTCCATCCACGACGCTTTGTGCACCGTACGTAATTTGGTGACCAATGAAAAAATCGTGTATGGAGGTGGTGCTGCTGAGATCTCGTGTGCTCTTGCTTGCGCTGCTTCCGCTGATAAGATCAGCTCACTTGAACAATACGCATTCAGAGCATTCGCCGATGCTTTAGAAGCCATCCCAATGGCTCTTGCTGAGAACAGTGGTTTACCCTCTGTCAGCGCATTATCTGAAATCAAATCACGTCAGCTTGCCGACAAAAACCCGGCTATTGGTATCGATTGCATGAACCGTGGAACTTCGGGTATGTACTGATATCTTTATGATTCAACATTATTAATTTTTTTATCGCTGTTTTAACAAATTACTTTCTTTTTGTAGATATGAGAGTTCAAAATGTCATCGAATCGTTGAAGAGCAAAACTCAACAAATTTTGCTGGCAACACAGCTAGTGAAAATGATCTTGAAAATCGATGACATCCGATCGCCAGCCGATGCTGCTGGATATTAAAGAAAGATATTTCTTAATTGAGTGTTGATACCAATTTAATTGTTGAACATAGAAATAGAATATTTTTTCATGTTTATAACTGAGTCCTGATTATGAACTGACCATTTTTTTAACATGAAAATTAAAAAATTCACTTATAAGAATTTTACAATAAAAAAACTCGAAACAATATTTATTTAGTTTTTCAAAATTTCTTGAATCCTATGAAATTGACAATTTTGTTTTTCTTTCGTTGAATAATCACCAATAATGAGTCAAGGTGCAATATAGAATCTATCTATTTTCGCTACTCCTGTAGCGAAACTTACTATTGATAAGATCGTTCACTAATGTACTACTGAACTATTCATATAGTAGAAAAGTTCTTGAAACAAGGTTTAAATAATTCCAATACAGTTGCTAATTTATTGAAACTTATTTTAAAATAGGCACATGTTCGTTACATTCGATTTTTTTCTTAATACGTACAATTAAACGGCACATAATGAACAATGTTTGGCAAGTGTCGAATGAAGAAAAATTTTCAGCGCTTTTATTGAAAAGCGTCACTCAATGGCACTAAGTAAATTAGCTTGTGCGAAAATAAATACATCTTTTTACGTTTCAAATTATCAAAAAAGGTAATTTTTGATTTAAAAAATATACATGACCCTTAAATCTTATAAATAAACGTATGAATATACTATATATTTGTACAATATATTTTTCTAATGGTGTGTACAGTTATAGTACTTTTGAATTAACTACATTTTACTCCCACTGGGATTCAAAATAAACAATAACAATTTTTAAAGAATGCTAGATTCCAAAAATGTATAAATCTATACAACTATACATGATTAACGTACGAAAGCACAGCCCTAAAAATTTAGTTTAGGCATCGAATTCACATTTTCGAAATTATGAAAGTTATAAATTTAGATTTTTCATCAATTAAAATTCATCATTTTTATCGAGAAGAGGGACCTTTCGACATAGAATTTTGTGCGTAAAATTAATATTCTACTTTGTACAGTCGACCTTACATAATCCGAAAAAATGTCTCATTTTATAAACCGTTAGTACAATGAGTAATTTTGGAAAAGTATTATATAAAACATTTTTTCTCAAAATTGGATTTTCTGACGCTCTTTAAATAGTACTTGAATAGAAAATATATGAGCTTATCTTTAGAGATCTGTATTTTTTTACTCAGGCACATTCAAAATAGTTGATCACTTTAAGCCATTTGCAAGATATCTCAAGAAGATAAATATAAATTTGTACTCTGACGTTTAATAAAAAGCATTCACTTTCTGCCACGTCATTAATATGCACATTTCCTTTTATATTTTATCAAATACAATTTCAGCCGTTTTAATCGATTATAAATACATATAACAAGTTAAAGCTCGGGTTTTGACCACGGATCACATTTTAAAATTTGCGCCGACGTAAAATTCGATAACTCTCTATTCAGAGCTAATACAGTGTAAAATTAGCTATACTCTAAGCAAATATCAAGTCTTCGAAGTGCATTAGATTTTCTTGAGCATGGGTAAATTGAGTACTTCTGGTATTTCGATGTCCTCCAAGCGAATGTTGGATGGATGATACGGGAACCTGATGGGATAGGCAAACTTGAGGTCCATGAGGAGCTGAAAAAAAATCGGTCCATTACGATTCGCTCAAAAGTCGCATAAGAAGCAAAGCCTCGAAAAGGGTATATATAGCTCACCTGATCGGAATTTTCCTTGCGCTCTTGCAGCTTGATCTGCACCATGTTGATGAACGACTGAGGCACGCGGCTCTCGAACTCGTCGGCCGGCGTGTACAGATTCAGTATCTTGACGATTTGATTGGCGCTGAGACAGCTGCACATGTCGCAGACGGCGTCGACGTCCTCGTCCCTCTTGCGCGCCTGCAGCAACTGGGCCGCCTGGACGATGGGCTGGAGGGCGTCGGTGGCTGGCACCAGGCGATAGTCGCGCGCCCACTGCTCGAGATGGCTCAGGTTGTATCTGATCTGCATGCCCTTGGTCCAGTGGCAGAGCTCGTGGCGCAGCAGCAGATTGTTGAGCGCGCTCGCGCACATGAAGTAGAAGAGCTGCTTGAATATCTGCACCGAGATCTCGGGATCGATGCCGTGGAACTCGAGCTGCTTGAGGATCCTGGTGAGCTCGTCGATGAGCCGATTGAGCCGCTGCTTCAGTGCCTCGGCGTCCTGGCCCGTGGTCGAGCTCGAACGCGGTCTGCTCGCGTCCAGGCCGGCGATCGCTTCGTGCTCCAGCAGGGCCGGCACCGTCATCGGCTGGACGCGCTCCTTCAGATGGTCCACGACGTTGTTGAAGATCCAGAAAGCCACGTTGCTCAGCTCGACACGGAAATCGCCAAGCTCGAAGTTGCGCAGGCACTGCTCGTTCTGTCGCGGGCTGTTTTCTGTAAAAAAAAGCAGCGATCCTGTCACGGCCGAATATTTCCAAGCATAATTCAGCCGATAAATGTAACTTACCGAGCTGGAAGGGCTTGTCGCCGGAGTACTGTTTCATGTTGTGCAGCAGTCTCAGGGTGTTGCTGAGCCAGAGCACGCTGACCTCGAAGTCGCTGTGCTTCTTCACGACCCTCTTGACCGTGTCGAGATAGGCCGTGAGCAGGGCCCGCAGCTTGTCGCCGTCGTTCGCTTGATCGGTGTGACGCACGCACATGAAGAGTATATAGGCCGGCAGACCCGGCAGCAGAGTGATGGCCGTGCGCGGATTCAGCTCGGCGATGAGGTGGCGCGCGATCAGGCTCACGTCCTCCTTCCTGAATTCGAACATACCCTCGAAGTCGCGCTCCTTTTTGCGAATCATACCCGCTGGCAATACGCTGTCGGCGTTGCTCGACGATCCTCGGCGCGTCGAAGATGACGACGACACGATTCCACTGATGGCGTCGTTGCTCGAGCTTTCCGCAACTGCAACCGATGCAATTTTTATAAGCCACGCATTTTTAATATATTTTTTGTGTTTAGTAACGATAGAGATGTAATATGGACGATTCGATGCATTGGGATGATTATTAGATTCATCAGCACTGAAAAACGTTGGCTCACCATCGGCTTTGTGCCTGTGCTTCGCACGAGGTCGTGCCTTTGTTTTGTACTCGTCTGCGAATACGTCGACTGGAGGTAAGCGTTACAAAAGAACAATTACATCGTTCAACGCGAATTTTCATTAATTAATTTACCATCTTCTATGCGTTTTAAAATAGATACGTTTGAGGTGCATTTTACTTACGGCCGCCTTCCTTTAGTCGCTTTTGAAGTTGCTTGATTTCCTTTTTCATTTTTCGTGCTTCGGTTGCTATTTCATCGTACTTGTCTTGGAGCTCCTGTTTAGAAAATCGGAAATCGAATCAGTCACACACTCGTACCTCATTCAAAGGGAGAGTCGAAGAGAGGAAAAAATGTAGAAAAACGTACCAAATTTTCGGCGGTCAGCCTCGTGATCTCGTACTGGAGAAATTCCTCGGTCGGCGTCTGCGGTGCTTTGCTCAGGTTGATCGACACGAGTTTTTCCTGGCGCTCCACCTTCTCGTAGAGTTGGTCGATTTCCGCGCGCCAGTCTTCGCGCTGCTGCTTCCATTCGCGCTCCTTGGCCTGCAGCTCGCTCTCCAGTTGACGATTGATCTTCTTCTGGGCGTCGTAGGCCAATTCGAGCTCGGCGTCGATGATGCTGTCGCCCTCGGCCATGCGCTGCGTGTTCTCGGCCAGTTTGCTGCGCAGCTTGATGCATTCCTCGCGTCTGCATTCCAGCTCCTCTTGCAGGGCCGTGAATTGCTCTGTAAATTGATAAAAGGAAAACATTTTTAAACAATTGATTCTTAAGTAGTGATAAAAAATAAAAAAAAACTTTTCTCAAATCAAGATCGGTGGTTGGTTAAAATTTACAATGTAATTTAGACTTATTTGGTACTCACCGATCAGAGTCTTTGGAACCGACGTCGTTGAGTCGGCTTCGGCCACGTTCTTTCGTAGCATGCCCAGATCACGCTTCAGTTGGGCGTTCTCCACTTTCAGCTCCTTCAGCTGTTTTTCGGAAGTAAGCTTTATGTAAGGCCGTCTAGTTTCGATATTTCTCACCAACAGTTTTACTTACCCTGAATGTGTCTTGAGCCGTCGATTGTTCATCCAAGAAGTTATCCACCCTCTCGAAGCCCTCGACCATTCGAATGAGCCGGCCCTTCTCCTTCTCGACGTCCTTGAGTTTCTGCTGGAGCTTGAGCACCAGGCCGACGTCGACCGGCGCGTGGTTGGTGTTGTTCGGAACTTCTCCGTTACTGGGCGACTTCACGCCGTCCGGAGGACTCTCGGAGTGACGCTGAAGCGACGTTTGCTGACTTTGCTGATTCCAGTCGATGGTCTCGAGCCTCGAGTAAGGCGCACTCGACGACGTTCTCGAGCGCACGGAGCCGTAGCCGAAATCCTGCACGAAGCGTTCGACGGTCAGTGTTACGCTTTCGGAAGCTCGAAATTCGAAACTAAAAATTGTACTCACGATATTGTGATCGTCCTGTGGCAATTCGATCATGGGATTCGGCCCGCTTCCGCTGGACGCGTTGCTCAGGGTCCTCGAATGTCCCGGCGCGTAAACGGCCAGCTTCTGCTCCAGAATTTCGTTCCTCTGCTCGAGATCGTGGTAATTTTTGAGCAGCCTCTGATAGGCCGTCTTGTCCTCGTCCTGCTCGAACAGCAGCAGGTCTTTCTCGCGAGCCAGGCGCGACATGGCGAGCTTGCGCTCGTCGTCGTCCGTGTCCTGCCTCTCGACCTTGGCCCGATCGGTCTGCGACTGGCTCAGCTCGACGCGAAGCAGCTCGTTCTCGCGCTGCAGCTTCTGCACCAGCTCGTCTCTGTCCGCGACCACGGCCTCGTGCTTCTGCGAGACCCGAAGCGTCTCTTGGCGCGCCTCGTCCAGGCTCGCCTGCAGAGCGACGACGGCCTTGTCCCTCTCGATCAGGATCGCATTGAGCTTTTTGTTCTCGGTTTCCAGGGCTTTGTGGCCTTCCAGCTTGGCCTTCATCTCCCCCACTTCCAGATGAAGCGCCTTGTGATGCTGATTTTCTTTCGTCTGCAAAGCGGACAGATGGGTTTGTGCTTTAGGGAGGCGGTAAGTCTGTCCCGGTGGTGGGCTACGTGCGTGCGTATGCCTTATCTTCGACTGACCCCTCTCGAGCACACGCCATAATCACGTGACGAGAAGACGGGCCAGTGAATTTTCATCAACGAATCAACAATTTTTTAATATTTACTACAGGATAATGAGGCTTCTGATTAATTTTCAGCTACATTTTTACAACAATTTCATACTGTTAATGTATTCATCGATTTAACTACGGCTAGTTAGTGGCTACATAGGCTTAATGATTTATACGAAAAATCTACATTAATTTAACAAATGTATTAAAAAAAGCTACGTTTAGAAGGATCATTTCTACAGGTAACTAATAGCAGTAAAGGATTAAAAGTAAATGTACGATCTGCAGGCATAACTCTGTAAGTATCAAAAGTTTGGAAATGAGATGAAATTTAGTTGAAAAAAAAAACAAAAAAAGTTTTATGAATGTTACAAGATTAGGGGATTCGTTTTAGCCAAACAAGCAGAGTTAAATCGACTAAAAGGCCAGCAACGTGAAATGATATAATAGATTAAACATTGAGGCGAATGAGTTATAGCAAGTACGTTTCAAAAAGCGTTAATAATAATTAGATCAAACCAAATAAGTTATGAACAACAAAAAAGTTAATAGGATCAAAGACAGCAACAATAACATTATGATATAAGCTCGAAGATAAGGCAGGCCATGAAGTGACTCGGCCAACTCGCGGGCATACCAATTCGTTGATCTTGTGCTGGAGATTGATGATCTTCATCTCGAGGCCCTTATTGAGCGACTTGACGTGCTCGACGCTGCGCGCCTCAGTCTTCAGGCGCCGGAACAGCCTCTTGGCCAGGAACTTGCGCACACAGGCTTGCACAAGCACGATCTTGGCCAGCTTCCGCTTGCAGGCCAGTCGCGCCAGATATCCGCGTGCGTACCTGCGCGACGAGATAGTCCCGAGGACATATGGTTATAAAAAAAAAGCACATACTCTACAGCTGGTAAACAGAGATCAAGCTCACCTTTGAATCTTGGTCGCGGCTGCCACGTCCTGCATGTGCCTGAACCTCCTCCTAGCCAGGAGGCCTCGGGCTCTGGTCTGCAAGCCCAAGGCCGTTTTTCTGATGCCAAGGTACTTGCGTCTCTGGGCGCAGCCCCTGTACCAGGCCTGTATCCTCGTGGCGGCCCTGTGTCTGCGTATGGCCCGGGCTTTGCGCCGCGCCAGAAAGCCCCGACCGTAGCGCTGCAGGCCGAGGATCGAGCGCCTCAGCTGGCGGTAGCGTTTGCGCGCCACCCAGCCGCGCACAGTCTTCTGTATCATGAGGCAGGCGTCGCGCTGCTTGTCGGCGCGCAGCTTCTCCAGGTAGGCCACCTGGCCCGCGCGAAACAGCACCTTGGTCTTGCCGAACTTGAACTTGTCCTTGTCCTTGATGTAGCGGGCGAGGATGCGCCGACAGGTCTCGCGCAGGTCGTCGCGCTTGATGTCCTTGAAGTGGCAGAGGCACCTGTAGCGCTGGAAAAAGTCGCCGTAGGTGCGCTGACTGGGGAAGCCCGCGGCCGAGATGCGAATCGTCTCGAGGACGCCGCAGGCTCGCAGCTGCTGCACGGCCCGCTGCGGATTGTACTCGAAGGCCTGCTTCGTGTCGTTGGGCTTGATGCATCGCACGTAGTGCGGCGTGGTCGCGTTCAGCGTGCCCATCAGCATGTTGAGCGAGTCGCGGAACTGCGAGCCGACGGTCTTGCGGTTCTTGGCGGCCGAGGCGCTCGTGGCTTTGTTGGCCACGGGCTTGACGTGCGGCGACACCTTGATCCTCTTGGTCGGCTGGGGCGCTGCCAGCTGCTCCTTGTCCTCGTCCTCGGGGCTGAACAATTTCTTGAGCAGCGAGTTGTCGGCGTTGCGCAGCACGTCGATCTGCTCCTCGACGACGGTGTCGCGATTCTTCTCAAGGAAGCCGCTCGTCTCGTACTGCACTCGATCGGCGAAGTGATCGACGAGGAAGGCCGACGTGCCGAACCTCGGCTTGGCGAAGTGCTTGTGCTTGCCGCACTTGGCGTAAAGCTTCTCCGCCCACGAGGCGTCCGAGCCTTTGGGCATCTGCAAAGGATATAATAATAAAATTTCAACTCGAAGACAGGCAGATCGACTAACAATTTAACACAACTCACCCTACACTCCTCGTCGAGCAAGTCCAAAATGCCGAGCTTGGTCTCGATGAGGTCGATGCAGGGCTGATTGTCGTAAAAGTCGATGAAGGTCCACTCGATCTCCTCTTTGAGGTACTCCTCCTGCTCGAGCTTGAAGACGTGCTGATTGAACTGCTGCTGGAGCTTCTCGTTGGCGTAGTTGATGCAGAACTGCTCGAACGAGTTCACCTCGAAGGTCTCGAAGCCGTAGATGTCGAGGACGCCGATGAAGCACTGACTGCCGCGACTCGGCGACTCGAGGCTGGCGTTGACGCGCTCGACCATCCAGTTGAAGAGTCGCGCGTACACGTGCTTGGCCAGGGCGTCCCGGGCGCGGCGGGCCTCCTGGGCGTTCATCGGCTTGACGATGACGTCGCGCATCGAGACGATGCGCCGATTGCAGAGCCACTTGCGCATCGGGGCCGCCTCGAGGCCCAGCAGCTCCTGCAGCACCAGCAGATGCCTGTCGGCCGAGGAGATGTGGCAGCTCTCGGCGTCGGCCCGCTCGATCCTCACGTTGCCCAGGTGCAGCACCGCGGCCAGGATTCGCAGCGCGTCGTCCTGCTGCTTCGAGCTGAAGCCCAGCACCGTGAGCGAGGTGATGGTCTCGTCGAAGCAGCGGAGATCGTCGACGCCGTCGATGTGGGGACTGCCGCCCTGGGCCAGGTAGTGGAACTGCTGCTCGGCGCCGAGCTCGAGCAGCTGCAGATGGGGCAGACGGCGCGCGGCCGCGCACATCTGGTAGAAGATGTGATAGTTGCGCTCGCCCGGCGCCTGGAACACGACCCTCGACTTCTCCAGCAGGTAGGTGCGCATGCTCGCCCCGACGATGTTGTAGGCCTTGTTGAACTGGATCTCGATGTACTTGCCGAAGCGCGACGAGTTGTCGTTGCGCGTCGTCTTGGCGTTGCCGATGGCCTCCATGATCGGCGACGAGGCCAGCACCTTCTTCTCGACCTGGGTCTCCTTGGACGAGCCGCCGATCGTGGCGAAGTAGCGCATCGCGTACTTGGCCGAGACGGTCTTGCCGGCGCCCGACTCGCCCGACACGATTATCGACTGGTCCTTGCTCTCCCTGCAACGTCGTCAAACTCGTCGCTTGAAATGTTCCGGATCGAAATTATACAACGCGTCGTTACCTTTCGAGCTTGGTGTAAGCCTCCTCGGCCACGGCGAATATGTGGGGCTCGAGGTCGCCCATCGCCTGGCCCCTGTACGCCCATATGGTGTCGTTGCCGTAGATCGGCAGCTCGCTGTAGGGATTGAAGGCGACGAGGACGATGCCGCAGTAGGTGTAGATGCAGCGCCGCTGGAACCTCACGTGCAGATTGTTGAGCACCGCCGGCTCGTGGAGGAACGACAGCGACGTGAGATTGTTCTCGCCGAGGAGGATGTCGGGATTGCGCAGCGGCGGCAGATCCTCGTCCTTGGCGATGTCCACGCTGCGCTCCTGCTTCGACTCCTCCAGCTGGAGCCTGAGACTTTTGCGGCTCGGCTCGTAGTCCTCGAGGAGGATGGCCAGCTCCCAGACTCGTTCCGCGTGCGGGAACCATACTCTGGCGCCCTACATATGCACAAAGGTCATACCGAGGTAAAAACAAGCTCTATACAGTGCGCTAAAGTACGCGGAATATCTTTATATCACATTTATATACGTTGTGTACATTATGTATGGTGCAGGCGGCAATCCGTGGACCATGTCGAGCAAAGAGAGAGAGAGAGAGAGAGAAGGAAAGATGTTTCGGCGCTGATAAGGCCAGCTCGCTCCAAATGGAGGCGCACTCGGGCGCGCGAGTTCACGTTTGCTGCAGTCGCGAGAAAGTGCAGCCGAGCTTAGGAAAACCGAGAGAGAGAGATATTAATCGCTGCAGCAGCGTCAGTCCATTCTTTTCTGAACGCGTGGTTCGGCTTTGCGCGAACGAGAACTCGAATACTGCATTGCATTATATATGTACGTGCCGATGATGGGCTTTCACACTTGGCGCCACATGCGATGATGTTCCTCTTCCGCAGAGCGCGACTCGATCGCGACGCGCGAGTCTCGATCGTCATGATCGAACGATATACATAGCTGCTATGAGTTGCAGAGGAAAATGTTTAGACGATGAAAGAAGAAATAATGATAATAATAAATAGTGGGTACGCGGTGGCATCGACGCTTTTATAGCTCGAGGAAAGTCAAGCCTTGTATATATTATATTTTATATTGCGGAAGTGCTCGTTGCGATCGTTGTTATATATAAATATCGTGCGCGACGTCGGCTTTATGACGAAACAATTATAATGTTTACAATTGCCACTGCGCTCTCTATTCAAAACTCGAGAGACCAAGCCGATCAGAGTCTCGAACTATAAATAATATATAGAAATGTACGTGCGCGATCGACGATGTTTTCCTCGTCCTTTCTTTTTACGTGAAAAATCAATAAAGCAATACCGAGTAAGCAACAATAAAATCACAAGGGCAACGCCAGCAAATCATATTCCTTCGGCGGTTTTTTGTATACGCGTGCACGATGCTGCACAATGATTGCATATACGAACGTGATAGGGTGCCCGTAGTATAAGCCCGCGCAATCCCATTGAACAGTTTTTGCATTTGCAAGTTCATCGTCGGATACGTGAATTTCAATTTGTGTACTTCGATATTATTATACCGTAGCTTCAATTGCGTGGAGAAGGAAAACGGGAAAGCGATTATTCAAGAATTTTGTTGCTTCGAAAAACAGAACATGAAATATCTTATGGGATATACAATTTCTAAGAGTGGAACTGCTGATTTAAAAATTATCGAAAGAATAAGAGGGGTGCGATCCATTGACAAAATTTTGGAAACTACCGACATTTGCAACATTTAATTGACAACATCGAGGGCATTTTTCGAAAAAGTTGTTAAAGTTATCATGTAGAGTGCAAGAAATTACACATAACGATTTTAGTATTTGTATACACTTGAGTTTTTATACCTCGTTCTCATCATAAAAATAATAATTTTGTTATGTCAAAATAATAATCTCTAAATCTTAACCTATGGGTCAAAATAATTCGTTTTTATAAAACCGTGCGCACGTATATTCCCGATCTGGGCGCGATTTTGGTATCTTGTAGTACATGGTAAAAAGGTCCCAAAACCAAAATTACTTGCAAAAAAAATTTCTACGCTATACGTAATAGACTCGATCATTTTTTATATTTTGTCTGTAGGTGCTACCGCTTCTCTTGATAATCAACAAAATTGAGCGATTTTAATACACGCATCAGTCGCGTCTAACTTTTACTTGAATAATAATCATATAAACATTATACTCTTTCCCTCGAGCGATTATGTCATTGCGCGCTATGCAGTAATAGAGGATGGGAATTAGCCGGCGCGAAAACGAAAGCCGCCGCCGTGCAGCATGAAGAGTTGGCAATAAGTATAAAACTACAAGAGCGCGCCAATGCTCCTTATGTATATTTTCCATCGTGCACGATCGCCGCTTGCTCCGTACTTTTGAAAACTACTCGACATGGCGCAGCGATCGTTCGGTGTTCGAGCGAAGGCTTTGGAGTAGAAAAGATGCGCGTCAGGAATCCTCTCTTGTTAAAGCGAGCGCTTACGTAAAAATGTAAACAAAACACTCGGGATTTTTGCGTACTGAATGGTGCCTCGTACATGAGATTTGAACGGAATAAAGCTCGCGAGCGGCGTCGGTGGCGTGGCTCAAAGTTGGGAAAGAATCGGATACGATCGAGAACGAGAAGAAGAAGCCATCGTTTCGTAATAACGGGACTCGGCCGTGTTACTTTTTGTATTATACAGGCGAGCCGAAGAGCTAGGCAGTTTTTTAGTTATTCCGGCGCGTCGACGAGCGCACATTACATTTTAAAACAATGACCCATACGCTAGGTGTATAGCTGTTGTCGTTATACGTATGTTTTTCCGCTTAGGAGAACCGGAATATCGCACGTGCGCGGCTACGTCGATTTTGCATATCGCATCGGCTTTGGCTATACGTGATGCGTGCCAGGGTTATCGCTGGTTCCGATTGCGAGCTGCGAAGCGTTACCGATCGCGATGGCCGATCTCGCGCGTGAGTCCACGCAAAAGGGCTTGCGTCGTGCGCAGTAATCGTATACGCAGGTTCGGTTGTGCATCTTGAGCTAACGAAGCGGTAAACCTGTGTTGTTGTTGCTGCTGCTTACAGCTGGTGCGTGCGGAAATGTTAAAACACCATATACATACACGCAAATACGCAGATATATATGCAGCTCGAGTTGTGCAACGATTACGGCGTCAGAGTCGGGTTACGGCGCATTAGCATGAAAAGACGCGCGCCAGCTTATAGCTATGGGTCGCAGCAAGTAGTCCGACGCGTACGCAGCTCTCGTTTTCTATATTACCTGCCACAGTAGCGAGTATTACGACTCCTTCCCATGTATGTCGGTGCACTAGGCACGCGTATGCAGGTACACCGGTACAATTACGCGATGGGCTTTCCAGTGAAAAAAGCCGCTTACGCGCGCGAGCGCGTCAAACAATAAACATTACAACACGTAAATTCGCTAGCTCGTCTAGAAAGAACCGAGAGCTATTTCTTAGCATGCTTGTGTACACGTATGTGTGTATTATGATCTCGATTGTGACTTAGTGAGAGAGTCGAGCGAGTCGACAATGAGAGCTGTTACATATATAATACACGCGGCACGTTTTATATAAGCGCCATATCAGGCAGTCAAAGCAGTTCGCGAGCACGAATATAATATAAAGGATCGGAAGAACGTTTGTGCACGCGCCGAAACAAAAGCGCCCCCATGAGCGCATAATATACGTCTAGTCAGGGCATTGCGACAGATTCTTCATCGGTTTTTTCGCACACACACACACACACACACACACGAGATCGGAACGACAATAACACAACTTTCGCTCTCGTCGCGGAGAGTCTCCGAGCATTTGTATATATATAACAAATTTGCCCGACGCGGCCTGCAATGCTGTGTGCAGCGAAGCCAGACACGATCGAGCGAGCCGTGCACAGTGGCACATCGCAGAAACCACACGGCCTCCGTACCGTGAGCGCTGCACAGATAATGCATTACAATAATATATATCCAAGATCGTCGCTGCACTTGTCATGATTGGCCAAGTCATGCGCAACCTCGCGACCCAATTACGTGATACATACTGTACAGATGGAATGAAAAAAACGAGAGGAAGATGGAACGAGAGAAAAAAAACGAAGGTGCAAATGGCCGTATAAGCAATAGCGAAACGTATAAGAGAGCACAAAAAAGAGAGAAAGAGAGAGACGACACGCATCATAGCTCGCCATGGCAGTCGTTGGCTCGTTACACGCATCGCGTAGCCGCAACCGATATTATACCTAACTGATTTGCAGGAAAAAAAAATTGCCGATTCCCACGTTACTCGCGCGCAAAGCATAGCAGCTATAAGGTTGAATATGGTAACGGGGGTGCGGGTAGGAGGTATTTAATTATATATTCGTTTATTATAGCGCAGCGATTATTGGATTTAACGAGTATAGTCGATAGCCGCGCTAATCGGCTTCTCTCGCATTAGCGTATATTACGATTTTTTTTGTTTTTTCATCATCATATGGTCCGTGAAATATGTTTATATATACTCGACCCGCTCTGCATTGAAAGGAAAAAAAAAACTAGTGCTTGTTTATATACGTACGATCGTTGCGCAACGATACCGTACCTATAGCTCGCATGCATGAATCTGTCGCGCTGCAATAGAACAATATTGCATGGAGAGAGAATAGCGCACGCGCTCTAATACAATAATGTCACATGCATTATCCACAGTAATGCTCGCTAGCATGTTATTAGCCCAATACGACCTTCAAGACTATAAATTGACGGCTGCCGAAAAGGTGGATATAAGTAAAAAGACGTCTTAACTTTGACCTATATTGACAATACAAAATAAAGAAAAATCAGCGCGTTTAAGTACAATTTGCAAAAAACCATGAGAGCACAAGAGCCTTAGCCAGCCATTGGCCAGGCCGAAGTTGACGGAAATCCGATGTAAATCCTAAGGCTTCCGAGCGGTTATAAACTCGGCAATCGCTGCAGGCGAGGTGGGAGGCTTCTTTTCCCGGATTATCGTATAATCGCGATGGGATGGTCGATCGTCCGAAGCGCTCCGCGACTCGCGCTCGATCGAGCTGCAATAGGTACGAGCGCCGACAGCGACGATGACGATGACGGCCAAATCGCTCGACGTCAGGTCACTGCACTCCGCCCCGAGTGCCTGCGCGATATACTATATGAGCGAGTTGTCACAAGACATTTCCCGAGAAGCCGATTTGCGCGAACGATTGATTTTACGGAGCGCGAGATGTAAATGTATATTATTATTCGCGATACAAATATGTTCAGAATCCGTGAAAGTTCGCCGGTGCGTACGGACGCTAATACGGAGCTCCACGACGCGTAACTGCAGTGTGCACCTCTTGCACCGCGAGGCACCACACGCACGCACGTTCATCGCTCGCTTACACATCGTAGCTGAAATATAATAATAATAGAGAGTGTCTATATATTCGGCAGCCA